GAAGTCAAGGAAGGTCTTGCAGTTGAGCCAACTGGGCGTCGACCTCCGCAATTTGCCTGGCACCCTGCCTCCGCTGCATTGTGTTTGAGGCCACGAACCCGGGGAAATCCGCGGGTTGAATGGGAGGCATCCTTTGAGGGCCAGGGAGGGTCGGTCGACGGAGCCTTTGGATGCAGGGTTTGCTTTGGTGCAAACACCGGTCACATGGCTTAAAGACCCGCCAGGCCGATGGGCGACAACTTGTGAGAGGCACTTGGCCTCCTTTTTGCATAGAATTACAGGCCCGAGGGCTTGAATGGAATAAATCACGCAAATGGCTTGTAGTCATTTGCTTGTAAATAGTGCACTTTGCACATTTTGCTTTAGCTCTTGGAACGGCAGGCTGCAAATTTCAGGGGGCCTGAGAAAGGTTGACATGTCGCTGATTTTGACGAAAGTTGAGATCCCATGGATCTGGATCCTGCCTGAAATTCGAAGACCGAGTTGACTGGGCAACTTGGGCATTCCGCATCCACCCAACGGTGTGCGATCAACTGTCGTTGGAACATGTTGTCCAACACGGCAGCAACTCATAGGCTGAGTAGGTGCGGCAAAGCTGTCACCTGACAAGTTCCAACCAATTTTTCATTACATCTCCCGCACGTGGCGAAGCCATTCCTGGGTTCTCGTAGCACCGGCCGAAGGGACTGCTGGCAATTGGCAATGCGGCAATGCCGTGAACCTCACGAGCAGAAGCATCGCTTCAGCTGGTCAAGATTGAGCACAGCACATCGTGTTTTTGAAGCGGCGGTTTTTCATCCCGTCTAATTTTGTGGTTTGTGGGCAACATCTATGCAGGTTGTGCTCTCTTGCACCAAGCGTGCCAACACTTGAAACCTGAATAAACATTCAAGCGTTTCATACTGAGCCGATTTTGCAAACCGATTTTGCCAAGCAAACGCAGGAAACACATTGAATGCGCCCCACAGATGGCATGAGGTGTGTTTTTCTGTCGCCTTAACATCTCAACTGGGGGGGGCAGGTCGGTCAACAAATTCATCATTGTGAAAATCAAGATGTGGCTGATTGACTTGCGAGAATTGCAGCTGAGTGTCGCATTGGATTCTGAACGCGTATCTGCGACTCCGTGTGTTTGTGTGTGTGTGTGTGCGCGTGTGTGAGCGCCTCAGTGCGTTGTAACATGTTGCATGTCATTTGACCGCAGCTTGCCAAGAATTCGATCAACCACTTCGAGATTACAATCAGATAATGGGGTGTCAGTTGAAACAAATGAAAAAAACAACAAACTGTTTTCTTGCTTGCAATCTTACGGATGAGAATTCGTTTGAAATGTGAAACCAACAACATGCAACATTGGTTGTGCCAGATCCAATTGTTTGTATTTGGTTGTTGCAAGTGCGGATGGAAGCTGGCCGAGTGCGCCAAAGGCTGGCCGAATGCAGCAAGGGTTCTCATGGAGATGGGGATGTTGGGCGTTGTTGATTTCGAGCAAAGATGATTGTGCGAAAGGTCATTTCAGAAGCGAATTTGGTTTTTGAGGTGCCATGAGACCGGTGCAGGTTGCAGGTTGCTTGGGAATGTGGAGGCTTTTAATCCAGGGTGTTTGTGTCAGCATCGCATGTGTAGCCCAAGTCTTCCAAAGACGTGTCAGGGAGTTGCCTGACTAGATTGCGGCAAGTGGTGAGCGTTTGTCCTGCGCAGCCTGGCTTTGCTGCTGCCTGCGCTGGTGTTCGTCTACTATGAGCCGCTTATTGACTTGGTGAGGCCCGGGTGCATGTACTTGCATGTGAAGGTGTAAGTTTGAATATCGTTTGCAGCCCCAGGCCTTGTGTGATTAGTCAGAATCCAGGAAGGATGCAATCTTGCCCGAGGCTAAGCGTCCCATCAGTCCAGGAATCCAGGATGTTTGCAGATACTTCATTGGCCAGCGAAAGGTCAGTCCTCACAGCTGCGGGTGGGGTACACCCTCTCTTTGAAAAATTGTATAACAGGGCGGGGGGTACGTCGAGGATTACACACGATTTTTTCTTAGGGTCTGTGGGGGGGACCGTTTTTGTTGTTCAGGGACAGTTTAGTTCAGGGAGTAGCTGCGGATATCCGCCTTCTTGATTCTTGAAGCATGGTTCTGGGTTCACCATTTTAATGCCGGGTTTTGATTGTGGCTGTCAGTCCTCACTGCGGGGGGTTTTGCCCGCAGGCAGCTCTTCCGCTGCGATGGCCGAGCACCCCGGGCGAGCGCCTTGCGCTCAGGCCGCCACCTCAAGGCGGGGCGAGGCTGACGTCGGCCAAAACCCGAGGTATGCAGGGAATTTGTGGGCTAGAGGCTCTCATCCGTGTTTGAAACAGTTCAACGTGCTGAACTCGCATTTTATTGTTGACAGTCGTTTTGGGGCTTCCAGCAATTACATAAAATGAAGGAAACGGTGTTTTCGTGAGAAACTGTTTGTCCTTTATCCGGCTGTTCAGAATGCTATGGCTGCTATGGTCTTTCAGAGCGTGTCACTTCAGAATTATGAATGTACATGTTAAAACCTTGCATGACGCACGGTTCCCTAGTTTTTGTTTCTCCTCAAAAGGCTGCCTTCACCAATTTGATTCTGAGTCGGATGCGTTTCTTGCTGGCAACTTGAGTGGATCATGTCAATGTGTTTTAATCGGAAAAAAATGGACGGAGCGAACATGGCATATAGCTTAGACAGTAATCACGAAAGCTAGCTTTAGCTAGCTGAAGTTTCTCCTTGCGTAAGCAAGGTAAGGGGCTCAACTGCCGAAAGATTGATTTGTTCAATTATTTGAGCCGAAAAGATTGAAAAACATCAATTATTTAGACCCCCCCCCCCCTCCCCCCCCCCCCACGGGTCTCAGGCTCGATTCCTCCTTGGTCCACCCCTCCTCCCGGGCAGTGGCTCAGTGTTTCAGCAGTCTCGGTTTGCCCGTTTTGGACTTGGTGTTATGAACTTTTACATGTTCCACCGATTCAGCTTGTTCATTTGAGACCTCAGTCTTCTCAGTAAACCACCTCGCAAAAATCTTTGCACACGCAGCATGCAGAACCCAGAGGTGCTTTAAGACAGCTTCTGACGCCTCTCGTTGTTTTCATTTTTCAAGGTTTGCCACGCTACCATGTGCGTTTGCGTGTCGCATCCTACGAATCTTGCCGGGCCTCTCGTTGTACACAAGCTACCTCTGAATCCACTCTGTCACCGACCCATCTCATCGGCAATTTTCCAAGGCAATTTGGTGGCCAATCAGTTCCCAATCCAGAGAAATATTGTTTCCAGAGCCAGGGGTCTGGAGCTCCACAGATCCCCCACGTGTACGAATGCTCCTTGATGAAGATCAACCAAGTATATTCCATGCCTCGTGCATCAAAACCTCTGTGATGGTCATTTTGTATTTTTTACTCGGTAAACAAGTCATTGTTTCAATGGATCCTTATTGTTTCGGGTTGGATTCTCCATGTCAAGTTCGCAGAGAGTTCGCTGCGAGTGTGGACAGTGGCAGGTGGCCATCCTTGGTGCCGGCATGGGGGGCAGCGCACTGGCCCTGTGGCTGCGTTCCTCGGCTCCGGAGGAACTTTGGGCGTGCCGGTGCTTGAGGGGTCATTTGGCATTGCAAAGAACATGGTGGTTGATCAACCGCCTGGTCAATCAGCCGATCACTTGCATCATGACCAGACAGTTCATCGAGTTGATAGTTCAATCCGTGAAGAAACAGCTGGGATGGCTGAATCTGAGACAGAGGCAGAGTGCGCTGCTCGCTAAGGCGACATTTTCGGAGACCAGGCAGTTGCCTTGGATATCTCTGCGTCGCGGTGCACCGTTGCTGGAGCATCTGAGCAATTCGCAGACACGAAGGGAAACACAGCACCAATGCGGCAACCAGCAAGATGCATGTGCTGACGTTGTTTCACCATTGTTCTTTTCCCTGGAGGAAGTTCACTCTGTGGGTGCATGTTTTGTCCGAATCGGTTATTCTTCTTTGCAACGGCAGAGGGATTTGCGAATGAGGTCGACATCGCCGTGATCAGCAACGGGCCCGTGGGCGGACGATGTCAGGCACCATGTGTTCAGCATGTGGACAGACATGGCTTGGAGGCCTGGTGTCATAGGTGTCCTTTTTGGTTCATTTGGTTGGTTTGGTGTACCTGATGGTTCAATCAACTACCAGGGAAACCCATCTGTTTTCCCAAAAAGGACACCTATGGCTGGTGGTTTTTGTACTGCCAAGGCAAGGCATAATAAATTCGATCGACTCCCCAATAAATCAGAAGCCCCAGTACTCCCTGGTTCCCGTGTCCAGGTGGGGTGGGGTGGTTGTGATTCATTTGGATCAAGTTTCAGCCCGGTAGCCAACCCAGAAATGGCACTCGCTCCAAGACCTGCGTCCCAAGCATCCCAATGCTACTGGTAGAGCTCAATGAGTTTGTCGCTGCTGAGTAAAAATTGCCAAATCAAAAAGACGTGTCGTTTGTTCACCTCGCTGTCGGCAGCCAGTTAACACACCCCTCACCAGCATCATCAGGATGAGTCAAACCCCGCCTCATGTGTGTTCTCGACTTGATACAGCTTACCTCATTGTCCGCATCCATCCTCACCCTGCCCTGCCAGACTTTGGAGTTTGAGGGCTGCCACTATGAGGCTGGCATCAGTTGACCGACGGTGCAGAACATTGGGAACAGTGAGGTTTTGCGCCGGGAGTGCCACGCTCAGGCTGGCGCGTCCATCATTTCTGAAGTGAACATCCTTTTCAAGGCCAGTTGCTCATGCATGCATCGCTTCTCAGCGTCAGCACCGTGCTGCAGCAGATCAACACCTGTTCTGCTGTGATTTTTGCTTGTTTGTTTTTGCATTTGCACTTGGTGGCGTTTAGCAATGTGCAGACACACAACAAATCGGGGAATGCTTTCTGCAACGCTCGCTTGTAGGCCTTGATGGCTCGCTTCTCTCTGAAGAAGATGGAGCTGCCCGACGCTCGAAAATGGTGAGAGGTTGGCAGCATTTTTGGTGTGAGTCAAAATAGAATTGGTAACCCCAAAATGGGTTGCCCGATCGGGAAATGGAAACCTGAACTAAAGACTGTGGTCCAATTCCTGGTGGTTTAGTTTTGAACCATACCCTTTTCCATCTCAGGCAGATTGGCAAACCAAAACCGCCAGAGGCGTCTTGGGTCTTGCATTGCACTGCCGTGAAACAATTTACACAATGAGCAACGGTCTGTTCGGCGCCGTAATACCGCAAATGACATGGGGCACTATCCAAATTACCTATTGTGAGGAAGTGGGAGTTTGCGACGAAATCCCATGACAATGACCATGGCTCATTGTTGGGAATGACCATTGACCGTGGATGGAAGTTCAACCACGCATCGAAGGGATCAGAACTCAAAGATGCAACAGAAGTGCCCAAATTCACCGTGTCATGCCCCATCACTGCTCAAAGAAAGATTTGATTCAATTCAACGTTCCACGAATGGAATCAAAGCCTGAAACTCAATCACATGCCTCTCGAGCAGGCGGTACACCTCTCATGCTTGACAGGTCCTGCAATCGGCCACTGGCTGTGTACAATGGCACGCGCTTCCTCTTCAGCACTGCCAGCAACGCTGCTCGGAATCAAAGCATGCAGAGTGTCTAACTCATTGTTCTTTCGTGGCATGGGTATGTGTTTGGGTGTGTGAGTGTGAGGGTTGTGCGATCTGAGCGCGCGGGGTGTGCTTGTGTGCCTGTGTGTTTGCGTACATTTGTAATTGTGTGTTTGTGTTTGTGTTTGTGGTTCTGTTGTTGTTGTTGTTGTTGTTGTTGTTGTTGTTGTTGTTGTTGTTGTTGTTGTTGTTGTTGTTGTTGTTGGTTGTTGTTGTTGTTGTTGTTGTTGTTGTTGTTGTTGTTGTTGTTGTTGTTGTTGTTGTTGTTGTTGTTGTTGTTGTTGTTGTTGTTGTTGTTGTTGTTGTTGTTGTTGTTGTTGTTGTTGTTGTTGTTGTTGTTGTTGTTGTTGTTGTTGTTGTTGTTGTTGTTGTTGTTGTTGTTGTTGTTGTTGTTGTTGTTGTTGTTGTTGTTGTTGTTGTTGTTGTTGTTGTTGTTGTTGTTGTTGTTGTTGTTCTTGTTCTTGTTCTTGTTCTTGTTCTTGTTCTTGTTCTTGTTCTTGTTCTTGTTCTTGTTCTTGTTCTTGTTCTTGTTCTTGTTCTTGTTCTTGTTCTTGTTCTTGTTCTTGTTCTTGTTCTTGTTCTTGTTCTTGTTCTTGTTCTTGTTCTTGTTCTTGTTCTTGTTCTTGTTCTTGTTCTTGTTGGCGTTGGCGTTGGCGTTGGCGTTGGCGTTTGGCGTTGGTGTTGGCGTTGTTTTTCTTCTTGTCCTCCTCTTGTTATGTTTTTTTGTGTGTGCTTTTGTGTTTGTGTTTGTGTGTTTGTGTGTTTGTGTGTTTGTGTGTGTGTGGGTGCGTGTGGGTGTGTGGGTGTGGGTGTGTGGGTGTGTGGGTGTGTGTTGGTGGGTGTGTGGGTGTGTGTGTGTGTGTGGGTGGGCGGGTGGGCGGGTGGGTGGGCGGGTGGGTGGGTGCGTGTGCGTGCGTGCCTGTGCGTGTGCGTGTGCGCGTGCGTGCGTGCGTGCGCGTGTGTTTGTTGTGTTTGTGTTCGTGTTCGTGTTTGTGTCTATGTGTGTGTGTGTGGGTAGGTGATTTGCTGGGTGCATATTCACCCACCTAGATGGAGTTGTCCTACACGCGCTGCCCAAAAGATTGATGGAACTAACGTGCACACCTCTCAGGCTGCGACAAATGGCTGGAGATGGGCAGCTGAAATCCTGACCACCTGGAGACTTGGGCCAAATGAGTCACCCGGTTTAAGGTGGAAGAAGTGACTTGGGACTTAGCCCATGTGTCGCAACTGCAAGGGGACGCTTTCAGCTTTCACTTTACATTTGTTTAAAGGGAAAGAGAAAGCTGCACTCTCAATGCCAAGAGACCGACAGCTGTGTCGATTGGTAACGCGCCTCTGCCCTCCCGAGGGCATTGACCATTTGCCAATGCCCACAGCTGACAGGGCGTCAAAGCAAAAAAAACGGTCAGGGCTCCGGGAATGGTGTTGTCCCAGGGCGAAGGGATAAACTCCTGATGTCATGTTGGATCCCTGGTTACCAACCCCTTGCCTCACCTTTTGCCAGGAAACTCTCGTGGCGTTTCGGCTTCCTCTCGCTCCTGAGACTGAAGCGCTTGTCTAAATGCTCCTGCGCGCCGCCGCCCGGCAGAGAAAGAGTTAGCCAACGCTGTGGGATATGAATTTTAATTGAAAACCACCTCACAAGTGGCTGGAGGACATTAATCCCCACCTAAATGATGTCCACCAGTTCGGGTCCCCCATTAAAATTTACATGGGGCCCGGGGAAAACTGCCCGAACTGGAGGTTCGCTTTATGTTTCCTTTTCCCCATGCGAATAGGGCATCGGCTGAAAGGGAAATCGACGATAGACCCCGACAAAGCGGGGCTCCTTAAAAGATACATTTTGCCGTTTTGCCCATTTGAAACATGTTTTGTTCCACCAAAATAAAGGGAAACCACCATTTACAAGGCAATGTTCGGGTGTATAATGTAAGGATCCCTGCAAAGCGGGTTCTTGAGCACAAAAGTTCCTTTGTGTGACTGTGATACTGCAAGAGATCTTCAGGATTCGTATCTGCTAGGTCACACACTGGCTCTGCAAGGAGCTAGGCTTTGTCCCTAAAGAGGGCAATGAACAATTGATGGTTCCCTGGTTTGTTTTCCCCTGTCCTAACTCCTTACCGCACCTTCGACAAAAAAAACAATACCCAGATTGGCCGCAACTCTTCGTGCCTCAAAGTTGTCCACAACCCGCTGCGAGCTAACCATCTATACCCTGTAGCGCAACTTTCGAACGATTGCTTCACTGTCCGTTTGTTTTTAGCTAAGGAACTTCACTCGGCTCTACGCCGCCCTGCGAGACGGCAACTTGGCTTAGCAGTTGTGGCGTTTGTGGCCAGCTGAGTTTTGCTGACAGTTTGGGGTTTGGGTTGGCAACAGCAGCGAATGCGGGTGTATTGACGGAACAAGCCCAATTGCGGAATCTGCAGCAGAAGAGCTGCTGCAACAGAGTCAAACATTCGAGGCCTGCCAACACACGAAGTTTGAAAGCAAGTCTGTTTGTCTATGACTAAAAAACGTACGCTCGTTTTTCAGTGCTTGTCAAATCCAGTGCAGCATCGCTCCGCATCGCCCCGTTAAGTGAAGAGCCGTTCGAACAACTGCCACCCAGATCTTTTTCTTGTCCGAGCAATCGTGCACCCTGGAACTACAAGAAGACTATGTTAGCACCCGTGGCTTAAGTAGTTTCTCTGGGGCACAACGGGTCCTGAGTGGAGCCGTCAGGCCGTCAGGTTTGGCAGAAGCTGGGAGCAGTGACTCAGGTGCCACCTACGTCCATCCCCGGGAGCTGCTGAGCACACTGGGCCACGGGTGCTTGTGCCTCACGGAGAGGAAAGCAGACCAGTGGCTGGTGCGGGAGGCTTCGCGGGGATAAGGGATCTAAGTCGGTCAGGAGAGGTTCTGTTTGTTCGGATTGAAGGGAGCTGCCATACGAAAGCTGTTCAATTCGGACCCTTGACTTGTGACATGTATCGGTTGTTTGGCCTGGAATCATTGGTCAATGCGGTACCCCGTGTTTGAATTCGCGAGCCCACCCACCCACCTGCTTGAAAACAACCTGCTTTTGTTTCCTGTTCTCAGCTTCCCAGCAGCTCGCCTCCTCTAAATGTTTTGTCCTAACCAAATGGCCGTGGGTCAACACCAATGGGATCCCATGTTGGGGTAGGTGAATTCACCACCTATTTTATTACCTATTTTAGTGGGGATTGGGATGTTCACTGGGGGTACTGGGTTTTGACCCATAGCCAAATTAGCCCCACAGTACGTCAACCGTCCTATTGCAACCAATGCGTTGGTGTTTTTGGAAGGTCCTGGCAAGGAGACGAGTTCTGGTTCCACGCTTGAAACTCAAAGCTGCTCAGCAAACACGGACCCAAACACACACACACACACACACACACACACACACACACACACACACACACACACACACACACACACACACACACACACACACACACACACACACACACACACACACACACACACACACACACACACACACAGAGAGTCAGCGGCATCCGACAGCAACTCCATGTACGAAGTTGCATCCCTGCCATGGGCGGACTGACCATTAGCACCCCCGAACCAGCGTGACCATACCACATGTCCAACGTGCGGTTTCCTGAGCGACGCAGGATTGAAGGGCATAAGTATAAGGGAAGCATCAACCAAATACATGTATCTACACAAGGCAAACCATGTTTTAAGATGTGATTAGCAGCTATTGTTTTCTCTTCTACTGCTCCGCTGCTCTTTGTAAGACGAGTCGTGGCGGTTCCGAAGTGGTAGAAGTTGTGGCTGTAGAACAGTCGGGCTTTGTTATCGTAGTTTTTCTTCCTCGCCCACGCTCTGATAAACCCATCAGCCAGGTAAGCAAGTATTCGCGTTTGACATCATATTAGCCTCTTGTCAAACTAGGTGTGGCTGAACGTCAACTATTTCTCATGTCCTGGCGTTTGTTACACCTCATTAAGCGAACCTGCCCACAAATTCCCAGTTTGCAGCCACACCGAGCATTTGCACACGCTTGCCACTGCTTGCAGTTGATACATCCTGCTATGGTCAACAAATTTGGTTTATCGCAGCACACTGGCAACACCATGGCAAGCAGCAAAGGGGACCATGACAATTGGTGCTCGACTTTACCTCTTAGACGTCCTTCCCAACTTGCCACTTCGCAGCCAGTGGTTTGCACGCCTTTGCCGGTGCCATTTGTTCGCATCAGGCCTGCGAATGCTGGATTTTTTGAAGACAAATTCTGACGCATTGAAACACCCCTTCTCCGGATGATTGAAGTTCCTTGGTTCAGAATGGATTCTTTCAGGATGAAGTCGAATGCCATAGGACAAATTCCTACACCAATAGGTGGTTAATCCCATTGTTTATAGGGTTTCATCTACCCCAAGTGGTGCGAAATGGATTTGATCTCGTCCACAGCCACCTTCGACGTCGAAATGGATTCATTCGACGTCAGATGGGCCTGCCTGGTGCTGTGGTGCGAGAGCTTGCAGAGCCTGGCATGCGGTGCAACTACGGGGGCCAAAGCTGTGGAGCGCTCCATGTCCCTTGCATTGGGGCCCTGGGGTTGGGAGATCGAGAATCCCCTCTGATGTGCGGCTCTTACTGGATGTTTATTCAACTTTGGGGGGCCTGGGGTTGGGAGATGTTCGAGAATCCCTCCACAGAACGATGTGCAGCTACCCTTTCTCCAACAAGAAGTCCTTTGAAGAGGACAGTAGTCTTGCCAAGGCCTCCTGTTCACTTCCATGATTGTTGCACAGAGTTGTTTTTTTCAAGGGCCCTCTTAACCCCGCTTGTTTACACCGAGGTATGTGCAAGTCAAATGTTGAGCTGGCAGCATCTGGCATCCTTGGCGCGAGGGCCAAGCCCAACAGACATGGAGTTGTGTTTCTCACAGTGATTCTTCGGAGCAACTGAATGTTCAAGAAAGTTGTACCTTGATGCCTCTGTGATTTGGTTTTCCAGGGACAATGCATGACAAGGCAGCGTAAAAATAAGCAACGAGCTGTTTGATGATACCAAACATTGACACCAGATTGCTTACAACTGATCCTACCGCCCCCCAAACACACCGACTCTCTCCCAAGAATAAAGACACTTCCAGTGTTCGTATTTTTTGCAAGAATTGTGTTCGGGGCGTCCGCAACGAGGGTGAGAATTGCACGTTGTTTGTTTTCTGGGAAGCTCACTTCAGGCACTGGTTGGCCTGGTCAGCATCGTCGGTGGCATCAGTAGCAAGTGCTTTGCCGTCGTGGGCGGAAACTCTCAGGTGCGTGCTGGCTTGGGCAGAGATGTGGGATGAGTCTTTGGTTGTCCGGACAAATCAAAACTGGTTGTTTGCGTTCTTAGTAGTTGCCCAGGGATACCGTGGGAAAGACTAGAACACAAACCCTTTAAAAGAATGTCGAAAAGTAACAGTCTTCGGGTACAGAGACCCGCTACGCATTTCTTGTTGTAGCTGTGCCCTGGCATTTGGAACAAAACGTTTGACAGCTGAAGCAGTGCGCAAGCACTGCACATGCAACATGTGACAAGCAAGGCAGCAAGGCTGTGTTGTCAGCATTAGCTCTGCTAATTTGACAGGCAGGCCATCTCACGTGCAGGACTGCAGGAGCCAGAACGCGTTTCCTGGCAAAGCCCGAAAGGAACTACAGGCCCAGCACACGGGCAAACCAAGTCTTCATCATGATCGGGGTCTATCCGCGGTTCAGTGTCACTACCGGAAAGCTGTGGAGTTGGCAATTGCTGCTCACAGGCGAGGTTGGCCTTCACGTTGGAGAAACCTCGCTGTTTGGGCACATCATTCCCATCTTAGTGTCCCTTGCTCAGAGCAAGCTGCTGACACTCTGACGGCCCAATGGCCCTGTTTGCGAGATACGCTGCGCGTTGTTCGAAGTGGCCTGACGGCCCATTTCCATGGTTGCCAGTCCGACTGTGAAGCAAAAGCACGCAGACCTGCTTGGTTGCACTTGACTTGCACGAAAGTCTGGACCAACTTCAAAATGTCAGCTGTTCGGACATCAACCAATCAGGCGCGGGCCTCAGTTGCCAAACAAGCCAAGCGCAGAAGGCCAATCAAGACCAAGCCAAAGAGCAAACAAATCCAACCCAGCTGAACTGCCAAACTGCCAAATGCCAAGCTGAACATACCCGCCCAATAGAGGGTGGGGGGGGGGTTGTTACTTGCTGGGGGGCGGGGGGGGGGGGGTCGACCAACGGTGGGGGAGGGTACGCCCACTGAACGTCAAAACGGCAGCCAGGTGGCAGAGAGCTGCCTGGCCCAGGCCAAGCCCCGGATGATCCGCGGCCTCGCCCGGGTGGTCCGCCGCGCCAACGCCGGCACTCTGTGCGCCATCGAATCGCCAAATCGAAGCGAAGGTCCTCCGTCCCGTTGAATCCAAAGGGCAAAGAACGAGTGACCCCCATGTGGCATTGGACCAAATGTGAATTCATCCCATGTCAATTCCAATTTTGGTCCCAGTTTATTTTCACCCTTTGAATGGGTAAAAACTTGTTTTTTTACAAAGCGTGAAGCGTGCCACGCTGCCTCAATTTGGCCTGGCTGCCATCTCTTCTTTGAGCGCTCAGCGCACGGCTGCGTCCAGCAGTTCTCCATGACAGGGTGTTGAGACAGTCTCTTGCGCATGGTGATGACCTCGCTAACCGCGACCTGCGGCCGAGCATGACAACTGGTTGAAGGAGCCCAATCCAATGACACGCAAGTGAATCGGAATCGTTCATACCAGAAGCACCCGCAGTGATGAATCTTCCTCAGCATCTTAAAGCTGGATCTCAACCCGTCCTTTTCCAGGTTTCTAAGCAGAAGGCGTTGGGGCCGAATGGTCCAAGTCAGGTACGAGCCGGGCTACGAAATCGGGTACCATGCAGCTTGGCAAGCATACTAACTGGGTGTTTGGCAGCTGGGTATGGGTCGAAATTAAACCACCAGGGGACCACAGGTTATGCAAGAAGACTCTTTGCTGGCCCAATAGCAAGTTTTCGCTGCGTGGTTTGAGGTCATGCCAGAGGATGCTGATAGCAGCGGCCCTAGAGGTCCCATGATGGGCCATGCGCCAACCAGGGCATTGTCCAATACACCGAGGTGTAAGCGCGCATTGGTCCTGCAAATGATTCACTGGGGCATCAAACGACCTCAACCAAGAGAAAAGAAGTCATCACTTGGGGTCTAAGATTTTTTTGGCCGGAGGTCATTCATCCACGGTCGATTTGTGGACATTTGTTTGTTGATCGCCCGCTGAGCGAGCGAGTGGTTTGCTCCATCGAGATGGCCACGAGTTCCGAGGAGTTTGCTCCGCTGCGGCAGCGAGCCGCGGCGGTCGGGTGCCCGACACCGATGGCCTTTTCATGGAGGCCGCGTGCGACGTGCGGCATCCAAACGAGATTTGTTCTGCTCAGACAGACACTTCAACAAAAAGCCAGAGTCAGGACAAGCAATGCTGCAATGATGGCGTCACGCGGTCTTCATAGTGTCTTTTATGCTGAGCACTTCACTTTGTATGTCCTGCTTTTGATTGAAACCCTTTGCACGGTGACGATCCGCGGATGCAGTTGAAATTTTCATCCTCGCTGATTGCCCCGTGGCCTGCAGAAGTTGGAGCACGTGCCAGATGCCTCGCTTGCTTTCCGTTTGCGTGTGCAAAGTTGGCGCAACTTGAGCCGCAACGGGTTTTAATCTCGCAGGCCTTCCACGTTGTGGTGGTGGCGCACCCCTTGGAGCATTCCAGACTCATCTTCGAGGCCAGCACCTCACCTGTGTCCCATGTTGAGTTTGATTGCGCCAACCCATTCTGATGGGTGTGGCTCAAAATTCAACAGGGAGGGGTTACGCAGGTTTTGGTCCATGTGTCCACTTACCAGGGTTCCATTTTGGTCCCGGTTTTTTTGAGCCACAGCCTGATCACCGCCAGGTTGAGCAAACTTGCTTTTGGTTAACCTTGCACACTGGTGCGACCAAATTGTCAAATTCTGCGAACGATCTCTGCTTACCCGCGGCCTTTGGAAAGCAGTTTTGATCCAAGCGAAATCTGACGCTCGGGGTGTTTGGCCCCGTGAGTTTTTTTGCCAGGACTGCTGCCAAGGAGTGCAGGCAGGGCACCTCAGCCCTCGCACTGCTTGGAGATGTTGTTTGTTGTTTTTGCTGCTGCAAGCAGCCAAGGGGTATCGGAGTTGTCTCAAATTCAGGGGGTTCCAAGGGTTGGCATCATGTTCTTGCAAAACCGTCGACGTCGCCATTCTTCCAGATTGGACTGTGACTCAGGCCAACGCCACGCCTGAATTTAGGCCGGGCCCCAAGCAGATGCATTCGCAGCTTCACAACGCAACGGGACCCCCAATGGGGTTTTGTCGAAAATCTGGGCCTGCCTTTTACAGGGCATTCAAACCTTCGGCATAATTGGCCTAGTCCAGCATTGTAGGTTTCGTAAATTTACCCCAAGAAAAGGAACGAGTGAAAAGCAAGCGGATGTGTAATCCTGGGAACCCTTGGCTCGGCTATGAGGCGCTTTCACTGTGTGCTGTGCGTTTGAGCGTGAACCGTTCAAAGTTCAAAACCTATGCCGATTCTGTGCATGCAGAGACCTTAGCGCCCAAAAAAGCTTCTCAACATCCGTCTGAAGCTTCCGTTGGAATCTTTCCTGGGAGGTGGGGATGGCCCTGGTTTACCTGGTGGTTTAATCATCTACCAGGGCCATCTAGATCCCTAAAAGGACACCTATGCTGAGGGGCTTCCTCATCCTTCTTGCTGAAAGCCACCTTGAGGAGATGCACGGCCCATTTTCTCCGCGGCACGCTGAACCTGAGACACTTTGCAGAGGTCCCGGCACCCAGCTAACTTGCCGTCCAAAGGGAAATAGAAGGTTGCAAAAGGGAGCAACCCAAAAGCCGGTTCCATCAATGTCAACAAGACACACCTCATGGACAGGCAGAAGCAAAAAATGGCAAGATGCGCAAGAAACAAGCAGGGTTTCTAGGAAGAGTCGGCAACAGGACAGCCGGAATACCGTACCTCAAGTAGACACTAAGACAGTAGGCAGCAAGCCAGCCTGCCTGAAGCGAGAGTATGAAATTCGAGCCAAGCATGCGGGCGCATAAGGCATGCAAAGTTGCTTCCGCGAGTTCATATGAGGAAGACCTATGGGTTCTATTGTATCAGAGCGAACTTGAACAGTCCATACGAGCCACAGCCAATATTCATTGAGTAAGTCTTGATGGAATTTGGCGAGTAACCCCACATGTCACGTCCTTTTTGCGAGTTTGTGGGTGGCCCCATTTCATGTCCATTACCACAGCAGATAACGGTGAATATTGACTGTTGCACAGCTGCAAGACGCTACTTCAGGGTGTCATGTTTCTATTCCAGGGTTGCCTCGACTGTTTGGTGGCATGGCTGGAGTTGGACCCAATGAATAAGTCGCTTGCTTTTCGACGCGGACTCAACAGTTACCCTCCCACCCTTTTCACATGGAACCTGACAAAAAGTCACCAGACCATGTTCCGTTTAAAGAGACCATTTCCCGAACGTCGAACGGTTCCATGTGAAAAGGGTGGGAGGCATCACTTTTCGGAGGTTGGCACACGGCTCCTGAGGCGCCGATTCGGCAGGCCAGTCCCAGCGAGCTTCGGTCCGCCAGCGGGGCATACGAGGAGAGATCTTGGAGTTGGGGCAAAATCGTTTTGGGATCCCATTTTGGGGTAGGTGCACCACCCATTTTAGAACCTATTTTAGTGGTTGGATTGGGATGTTCAATGGGGGGACGATTTGGCTTTTGAGAAGCCCATGGCCATGTTGGAGTTGGACGTTGCGCCGCGGGGCATGCGTTTTTTTCCCCCGGGAACAAGCTGCAGAAGGGGCCAATCCCCTGAGAGTTGGTATTGAGAGAAGCACCGGCAGCGTGAGGATAGTCAAAAGCCACCGGAGCCTAGTCTCAGTTCTTGCTGGCATTCGCAAAGCTTCGTCAAACCACTCTTTCGATTCCTTTTTGTCCCGTTTTACAGTTTTGCCCGCCCTCGCCCTCTCTGCTTTGGTTTTGACACCGGTGCCCGGTTCATCCTTTTGCCATTTGGTGGCCAACTTAAAATGGGGCGAAGGAACATCAACTTGCAGTAGACAACACTCACAAATGGCTGTGGGTCAAAAATGGGTACCCCAAAATGGAACCCTGGAAAAGGGAACCAACGACCAAACCCTGCGGTCCCTAGGAGCTGTTGGTTTAGCTTGGACCCATACCCAAGTTGCATTTTGCTTCATAGAGTTTTGCTCCAGGACGACCCGCAGCAGTCCATGCCTTTGTTTGTGCTGAGCTCGGGCAGAAGGACTGCCATGCACTCCGGAGTATGCATGAAGACGCTGTGGGTCAAAACCAATGGGATCCCATTTTCAGGTAGGTGCACCACCCGTTTTAGTCTATTTTAGTGGGGATTGAGATGGTCACTGGGGGGTACGGGCTTTTGACCCATGGCCAACACTGTGCAGCCAGCAGCGTTTGCCTTTCATGCATGGAACCTTCGGGAAGACCGGACGGCCACTGTGTTTTGATCCCCTCTCAAGCTCCGTGTCATTTGGGAGCAACTGAGGCCCCCGCGCAGATCCTCACCACGAACGACGCAACGACACCATTTTATTCCATAGGCGCTGCGCGCCTCAAGTTTTATTCGCTCGAAAGCGGTGATTGAGATTGAAGTTTCTCTTCCGGGCATGGACGATTTTGATGGGATAGCTGACAGGGCATTGAGTTTGTTTGATGTTTCCAGCGCAAAGGATGGCATGTTGGATTCCGTGAGCTCCAGAGGTCGAGACAAAGAGCTTAGCTCGGATGCAAGTCCAGTCATCCGTGCCTCGAACAAGTATTCTATGCAAATCCTAAACGACCGCAACATTCCACCTTTGAGTTTGGACGCCCCATGGTTTTGTTTGTGCATGCCGACGGGGCAAGCCATCTTGAAGGCGATTGCAGCAAGACGTTGGATCCTTGGGGGGCACCCCCAACAAAGAGCCAGCTGTTGTGAGTGCATGAAGATCAGTCGTTTCGCGCGTTTTGAACCCATGGCACTTGCGTAGGTCTACAGCTGCCAGTGGACACCAGCTCAATGGAAAAGGCAGAGGAGGCGCTACTCTCACCTGTGAAAGTCGCTGCGTTTGGTTTTGGCAGCATGTTTTTCGTGTAATACGCACACGAAACGCATCCGGTAGGGTCGTTGCAACTCCGTGTGCCAGTGGCGTTTGGTTTAGCATGTTTTCAAGAGACAATTGCTGCGTGATATTGAGGTCTTTTTTGTAGAGAAATACATGCTGAACGTGGTCCCCTGAGATGGTTTCATTGATCAAGTTGAGGTCTTTTGGGTAGGCCGAACGCACTGGCGCACATGGAAAACACCTTCCCTCGATCGCGGTTTGTGTTGGTGATGTTGAGGCATTTTGGGTGGCCAATCGCATTGGCACACGCCTGAAAAAAACACTTACTGGGTCCTTGTGGTTACACGCCCCGCAAGCCATGATCTCGCGCCGCAAGCAGTGTGCCAGTGGGGAAAGCTATTTAGGGTCATGATCATGCTGTCTTTTATGATGTGTGGCATGAAGCCATTTTGAATCAAATCGCATGGGTGCACTCGATTCACTTAGATGTTGCTGACGATGCAAGTGCTACCCCAGCCCCCCACCGTACACAAAGCCAAGTGTCTGGTGTGCCATGGGGGACCGGATACTTTGAGGAGTGTTTGGTGAAGGGGCGCTGTTGCACGTTGAGGCCCACTCCCGTCACAAAACGCAATGGCACACTGCCTCCGGCCAAGATAATGAGAAGATTCAGTCAACTAACACATGGGAGTCTGGTTCCTTGTGTTGTTCAGCTGTGTGCCAGTAGGATTCGAGGTGATAGAAGTTGCAGGCTTAGATGTTGCTGGCGACGCAAGTGCTACCCCAGCCCCCCACTGTACACAAAGCCAAGTGTCTGGTGTGCCATGGGGGGCCGGATACTTTGAGGAGTGTTTGGCGAAGGTGCGCTGTTGAATGTTGAGGCCCACTCCCATCACAAAACGCAATGGCACACTGCCTCTGGCCAAGATAATGAGAAGGTTCAGTCAACTAACACATGAATCGCATTGGCACACGCAGTCATCCTCAACAAGATTCCTAGAACAGCTTGCGTTGTTGAAGCTGGGGCTTTGCGAGGCCAATCGCATTGGCACAATCAATCATCCTCAACAAGATTCCTAGAACAGCTTGCGTTGTTGAAGCTGGGGCTTTGTGAGGCCATTTGCATTGGCACACGCAATCATCCTCAACAAGATTCCTAGAACAGCTCGCGTTGTTGAAGCTGGGGCTTTGGAAGGCCAAGCGCGTTGGCACACGCAGTCATCCGCAACAAGATTCCTAGAACAGCTTGCATTGTTGAAGCTGGGGCTTTGGGAGGCCAATCGCATTGGCACACGCTTGAAAAACACGTATCTTCAACAAGTGCTTGTAATACGTATTAGGCTAAGGCCGACAGTCTGCTTAACACATCCATTGGTTTCAACGGGCTGCTTTTCAGGCTGAGGCCTAGGTGGGTTGCGGCTGCACGTTTTCTTTCTTTTCGGACTCGTTTTAGACTCGTTTTTGGACTCGTTTTTTTCCTGGGTAAACTTGCCAAAAACTTAACACAAGGCACCTCCTACTACTGCTACTACTACTACTACCACCACGACTACTACTACTACTACTACTACTACTGCTTCTGCTACTACTACTACTACTACTACTACTACTACTACTACTACTACTACTACACTACTACTACTACTACTACTGCTACTGCTACTGCTACTGCTACTACTACTACTGCTGCTGCTGCTGCTACTGCTTGTGCTACTACTACTACTACTACTACTACTACTACTACTACTACTACTACTACTACTACTACTACTACTACTACTACTACTACTACTACATATATATATATATGTTTAAACAGTGCTCGGTTGCGGTTGGTTCTGCGATGTGCCATGGGGGTTGCTTGTATTTGGCGCTTCGAGAAATGTGTTCAAGATGTTTGGTTGCCTTTGGGTATGCATGTGCCATGGGGATTGCCTTCACACTAGCACATGAACTTGTGTTTGAAAGAATTGTTTCAGTGTTGTTGAGCATGCGATGTGCCATGGGGATTGCCTTCTTTTCGGCGAGCAAGCATACATAGTCAAGGAACATTTCGGTCCCAACTGGTATGTGATGTGCCATGCTGGTTGCCTTCTTACTCATACTTAGACATGTGTGCTTCAAATGCGTTTAAGCGCCTTGTAATATGCAATGTGCCACGGGGATTGCGTCCGTAGTGGCGCTCAAGCAAAGCAGTTTCAGGAGACACGTTGCGGTTGATTATGCAACGTGCCATGGGGGTTGCCTTCATTTTTGTGCTTCGAAAAGATGTTTTCGAGATGTGTTTTGTTGCTTTTGGGTATGCTTGTGCCATGGGGATTGCCTTCGTACTAGCACATGAACTTGTTTTTGCAAGACTTGTTTCGATGCTGTTGAGCATGCGATGTGCCATGGGGATTGCCTTCTTATTGGCGAGCAAGCACACATAGTCAAGCAACATTTCGGTCCCAACTGGTATGCGATGCGCCATGCTGGTTGCCTTCTTACTCATGCTTAGACATGTGTGCTTAAAATGCATTTAAGCGCCTTGTAATATGCGATGTGCCATGGGGATTGCGTCTGTAGCGGCACTCAAACAAAGCAGTTTTAGGAGACACGTTGCGGTTGATTATGCAATGTGCCATGGGGGTTGCCTTCATTTTTGTGCTTCGAAAAGATGTTTTTGAGATGTGTTTGGTTGCCTTTGGGTATGCATGTGCCATGGGGTTTGCCTTCGTACTAGCACACGAACTTGTTTTTGCAAGACTTGTTTCGATGTTGTTGAGCATGCGATGTGCCATGGGGATTGCCTTCTTTTGGCGTGCAAACACACATAGTCAAGCAACATTTCGGTCCCAACTGGTATGCGATGTGCCATGGGGATTGCCTTCTTACTCGTACTTAAACATGTATGCTTAAAATGCGTCTAAGTGCCTTGTAACATGCGATGTGCCACGGGGATTGCGTCCGTAGTTGTACTCAAACAAAGCAGTTTTAGGAGATCGCGGTTGATGATGCAATGTGCCATGGGGGTTGCCTTCATTTGTGTGCTTCGGAAAGATGTTTTCAAGATGCATCTGGTTGCCTTTGGGTATGCGTGTGCCATGGGGCTTGCCTTCGTACTAGCGCATGAACTTGTTTTCGCAAGAATTGTTTCGATGTTGTTGAGCATGCGATGCGCCATGGGGATTGCCTTCTTTTTGGCGAGCAAACATACATAGTTAAGCGACATTTCGGTCCCAACTGGCATGTGATGTGCCATGCTGGTTGCCTTCTTACACGTATGCTTAAATGCGCTGAAGTGCCTTGCAATATGCGATGTGCCATGGGGATCACGTCCGTAGCGGCGCTCAGACAAAACAGTTTTAGGAGACACATTGCGGTTGATTATGCAATGTGCCATGGGGGTTGCCTTCATTTTTGTGTTTCGAAAAGATGTTTTCGAGATGTGTTTGGTTGCCTTTGGGTATGCATGTGCCATGGGGATTGCCTTCGTACTAGCACACGAACTTGTTTTTGCAAGACTTGTTTCGATGTTGTTGAGCATGCGATGTGCCATGGGGATTGCCTTCTTTTTGGCGTGCAAACACACATAGTCAAGCAACATCTTGGTCCCAACTGGTATGCGATGTGCCATGGGGATTGCCTTCTTACTCGTACTTAAACATGTATGCTTAAAATGCGTTTAAGTGCCTTGTAACATGCGATGTGCCATGGGGATTGCGTCCGTAGTGGTACTCAAACAAAGCAGTTTTAGGAGACACTTGGGCGCCGTGTGCCAGTGGGGAAGGCTCAGTTGCAAGGACCCTGCCGGGACTACTCGTTGCGTTGTTTTTACTGGCAGGCTGCGGACTTTCAAGAAAAACACGAAAATGCAAGGACTTTCGCGTTTGGGTGTAACAAACTTGAGTCGATCAGTGGCATGCAGCTACCGAAATGGCGGGGTAGAAGCAGCACGACAGACGCTTTTAATATAAACTTGGGCTCGTCTTTGGAAAGATGATGCGCATTGCCAAACATACGATCAGACCAAGTCGAGCTGTTTTTGGCCTCCCTGCTCAGATTGTGGCAAGCGCAGAGAATGGAGAACCACAGGCGCGCAGAGGGTTCCACAGCTCACCACCACGAATGTTCTTCGGAGATTTGCTTTGTGGCCCTCTTACAAGCAGCTAGCAGCTCAGATCTGCTCCCATGAAAGTCCCGCTGCTTGCGTAGAGGTTTTCTTGTTTGCATGCGAGGTCTACAAAGTCTTCGCGCCTCATCCACTGCCAGAAGCAGAGCTGGACAAATGGCCTCCTGGTAGAACAAGGATCACACCATGTCACACCAGATTTACTTGAGGGAATGCAAGTTTCACAAACTCGCAGTGGTCAAAGCACTTCAGAATCTCTGGTGGACGAAAGCATGCCACACTGCCAGAGCCCAACATTTAATTTGGCGGCCTTGTGCCTGTCTTGCCACATCCAAGGTTTAACAGGTCCGAAGGCTCCTCAATACACGTGGTGGATTGGTGCCCCGTGTGCTGGCATGCGGAGGTTGGCGGGAAGGATCCGGATATCATCGTAGTTTAGTACAGGAGTTTCCGGGGTGGCCACGCACTGCGGCGTGTCAAGGTTGTATGCTATTTATCCAAATCCCATGCTTCGAGCGGCCAAGCCTTCTGGCAAGAGCATGCCAGGGTTGAGATCTCTCTTTTGTCGTTGATGCATTTGCGCCAACAGTATATATGTCTTGTAGTCACTAGAGGAGCCTGGGCCGCCTGGGTTTGTCCATCGGAAATCGTCAGTCAGAGACGCGAGTGATCCAAAGTGCTCACATTGTGAGGTACGCTTATCCTCAGTACGAAGTACCACAGAGCTTTCGGCCTTTCGTGTTGGATCAAGGAGCCGGCCCCTCAGCTTGCATGGCTCGCTCCAGAAAACGTCGGGCTATGTGAGTCAATGAGACGTGGATGGCGCCATGGACGGAGGCTGTCAACTCTCAACTTTGAAAATCCCCGACCCGTCAACCGTCAACCTTGGCCTTTAGGCCATGAAGGTGGCATGTGGCCATGTAGGTGGTCAGGCCACGTGGTCATGTGGCCATGGCTCAGAACTATGACTTGAATCACCGGAGTTTTGATCCTGGCTTCTGGCACGGGCGACAGGTCTACTACATAAATGCGGTCGAGCAGGCGGGCTGTAGAAGCAAAAAGAGAGCTGCGATGTCAATGTTTGGCTTCTGCAGAATGGTTAAAGTCGAATTGGTTGCAAGAAAAGCGAAATGCCCTCGGCATTGGTGGTTTTCTCAGTCTTTTATTTTAACGCTCCCAACACAGACTAGGCGTTCCAATTGTGACATTCCCAATTGAATAAGGGATGAGCGACGCTGAGGGCGACTCTTACATGATGTCAAAAGTACGCGGTATGTTCCATTCACGGAGAGCCATCCAAAGCCAGTGATCAGAGGAAGTCAAAAAGGCTGGCAACATGGGTTATTTGTGATTGACATATGGCTGTGGCTCACACCCAATGGTACCATTTTGGGGTAGGTGCACCACCCTTTTTAGTCTATTTTAGTGGGGATTGGGATGTTCACTGGGGATACAGGGTTTTGACCCATGGCCATCTTGATATTATCGGCGGCTTCATGAAGTTCAACGCGGATTGGACTCGGCAGGTGGCATCCGCAATGGAGATGCGCGGCTCTCGGTTGATTTGCTCGATGCGCGGCCATGGCTTCCGACTTATTCCTTGCAACCATGGGACTGGGGTGTGTTGCAAGACATGCGGAGCAAAAAAACACGTCACACGCAACTGTTTCGGATTGTGCTGAAATCCGGTGGTTGTTGTTGTTGTCTAGAGAGGCAGAGCCTTTTTGGTGCTCTAGGTCGTTAGTCGGAGCGCGGAATGTGGCCAACCTGATTGCAGAATGGGCCTGCATCTCAGACGCACTGTCGCCTACCACAAAAGTCATCCATTGCCATTGCCCTCATTTAGCCACCTGTCTATAGTTATAAAGCAATAGGCGTGCAGTGTGATATGTTAAGGGTTGATGATGGTTGTTATGAACGTGTATCTATTATATATATATATATATACACTTTATATGTGTATACATTATATATATATATATTATATATATATATATATATATATATGTATATATGTTCCAGGCCGTGGACCCCCCCCCCCCCCAACCCCCCCCCCCCCTGTGGGGGTGGGGTGGGGGTGGGGTGGTGGGGTGGTGGGGTGGTGGGGTGGTGGTGGTGGTGGGGTGGTGGGGTGGTGGGGTGGTGGGGTGGTGGGGGGTGGGGTGGTGGGGTGGTGGGGGTGGGGTGGTGGGGTGGGGTGGGTGGTGGGGTGGTGGGGTGGTGGGGTGGGGTGGTGGGGTGGTGGGGTGGTGGGGTGGTGGGGTGGTGGGGTGGTGGGGTGGTTGGGTGGTTGGGTGGTTGGGGTGTGGTTCGGAGTTGGTTTAGGCTTGGTGGGTTGGTTTAGGGTTGGTTCAGGGTTGGTTCAGGGTTGGTTTGCGGTGGGTTTCGGGTGGGGGGTTTGGGTTGATTTAGGCTTAGGGTTGGGGTTAAGGAGGGGTTGCAGGGTGGTTTGGTTTAGGGTAGGATGTTGCGAGAGGTGCGGGGGTGTTGGTTCACGGGGTGAAAGGGGGAGTCTGGGACCGAAGCTGCAGGGCTCACACGGTACTGGACAGCATCCCCAGCATTGCCAGCATCATCCCCAAGATGCGGATGATGCGGGGGAGTGGGGGTGGGGGGGGGGGGGTACGTGGCCCAGGGACTGGTACATATATACATGTAAACTATTGTAAACGCTTCGCGCTGCCCGCTTGGCCAGAGGGCTATTTCATTTAGAGGTGGGCACATGAACGCGGCCAGCCGGGTGGCTGGCGTGTGGCCTGAAGCGCCAGAGCTACAGCCGTAGTGCAAGGATGAGAGCTGCGAAGTCTGGGCGGAAGGGGAGGCCAGATGGCCAGCCGCGTGGCCAGCCGCGTGACAGCGGCAGTCCAAGGGCAAGGGGCTGGGATCTTTGAAGCGAGGAAGAACTGAGGGCTGCGGGATCGATTCGAGGCAGCCGTAGTCCAGGGCTGGGTGAAGCTGCTCCGCAGTCTGGGCGCAAGGGGGTCAGGTTCAGGAAGTAGGGACTGAGGCTGGGGCCGGGCGCAGTAAGCAACTACAGGTTGACCAAAAACTGCGGAATGCATGGCCTTTGCAGGCCCAGCTCTGTAGCAATCAGCTGAACTTAAACAAGCCGGAGAGCTTCTCACTCTTAGCAGCTCACTACGCTACGATTCGATTTGTTCAGCTGCGAGCGCTTGAGCCCACAACGGTGGTTGGGCTGCGGCGCGCAGACGGCGACCGCTGCGCGCATTTGTCCCAGTATGTTTTGAGATGGCTTTCATGCAAGGTTGGAAAAGCCAAAAGGCCACAGCAGACAGCATGATAACTCTGGTCAGCCATAGAAGAGTTACCGGTACTGGCGGGAGAGCGCTGAGAGTGGCGGTTGTTTGAATTGTTCGATTGTGCACCTATGGCCGCTAGCAACCTTGTGGGGCGTATAGAATGGAAAAAAAGAAAATCAGGCAGTGATTTCATTGGCAGATGTGGCTGCATCTATGAGTTGCTTTGATTATTCAGTTGCAGCAGGCCCATGCCCGCAATGTAGAGGTCAAGGCAATATCTTGCGCCAGGTCACACAGAGGCGAGGCCCCCGTGGCTTTTGAGCGGAGCCGGCAGGACACGTGTGGCTTGGCGCCTGGCTTGTTCAGCTGACTGCATTTTATGACAAGTGTGGTTGAGCAATCCATGGGGAAATCCGCGACCAAGTGCGATGTTTTACCTCACCCCCAACGTTTCATCTTTGAATTTAACCCCCCGAAGTGGTATGATCTTATGTTATATCATATGTTGTATCACAGTATATTATATTGTTGTGTGTCATAATATATTGTTTATCCTCCAACCCTCAGCCTGACCTCAAATTCCGAAGCCTAATCCCTAGAAACACGAGAAATTGACGTCCAAAGCAAGGACTTAAGTCCTAATCACAACCCGAAAGTCAGACGAAACCCTAGCCTGGACCTAAATCTCAAAAGCCCACAGAATTTGAGTTTGAGGGCGAAATGTGTTTGGGAGCCTATAAAGCCAAGAACGTGACGGTGTAAGTTATGGGAGGGGGCAAGTGTCCAATTGTTTGTTTTGTCCCGGAGTGCTGGGTCTTTGGCGCCTGCCGCTTGCTTCAAAGGCAACCTGAGAGGAACGGAGGCAGATGCTTGCCCTAACAATCATGACCGGAGGTATGCAGAAACCAGGCCTTCACAGAGCACTCAAGGCCACTTCCATGATTGTTGGAAGCGTGCAAGAGCTGCGCTGGTGTGATGAGCCCAAGTGTGGCTGAAGTGACAATGACTCACTGGTGCGGCCATGCAGAGTTTGCAAGGATTTGACCAAGCTTGAGATGGTTGATGAACTTGTTTTGTGTGGCACTCATAGACAAAAGCAACTAGCCCGACTTCACACATGAATTGGCCACCCACGGCAGCGATGTTCTGCCATTGTCCCCTCCTAAGTTTGCCGCCTATGGCCTGTTGGTCGAATCTTGGCAGACCCTGCTACTTGGAGTCTCCCAGCGCTTCCAACTAGACTAGACTATGTGTCCGCATCCCATCCCGCATGTCTCGGGGGGGAGGGGGGGAAGGCATGGCCTTGCTCTAATCCATGTCCCGAGTTCCTTTGATCGAAGCGGTGGAGGGGTAGCACAGCTGACTGGGTTGGCTGCGCCCTGATGTGAGCTCAGTCTGCGGGAGTGATTGCTTACAATGCGCGCGAAATCAAAACATGGGTGCAGCATCAGCGAAGTAATTCATCGGAGTTGGCTGATTCAAGTATCGAATGAGAAGCAGCTGCGCAAGCAAGCATCGAATCGAGCGCCCCTCCGTCATTTGGGCCACCCTTGTTTCTGTGAACGCCTGAAGGCTGTGGGGAGCAGAGTGCCCTGGATCGACTCTTTCAGCCCATCCGCTGAATCAATGGCTGAAATGAAAGCCAAGTGCACCCCTTGGTTTGAGATGGGTCGGAGAGCCTGAGCGTCGCAACCGCTTGGCCTGCCAGCACGTTCTGTCGCTTCTGGCTTCCAGCTGCCTTGTGGGAGAAGTTAAGTGATACAGAGAGCGTGGGACCACTGGAACTCGCGCACCCAGACAATCAAAGCACCTGAAAGCTGGGCAAATCTTGTGGGGAAGGAGCTTGTAACTTGTTCGCTGGCTGCAAATAGAGCACAACGCACTTGGTGGACCTTGTGATTCTCTTCAAGGAGCGGATCATGGCGGAGGTGCGGAAGGGTCAGTGGTGGGACTGGAATGTGGATAGAGGCAGACACTACAGGATTGGTCACTTACCTTAGTGGCTGCGACATGGGCCACATGGCAAAGGGAAAAATCGCAGCCCCTGTACACCTGAGAAGGGCCCTCTCCTTTCATCCCTTCGAGAAAGATTTGGAGAAGGCTTGCCCACAGTCTGGAAGCTGTTTGTTTGGTTATAGGCGCTTGGGTCAGCTCAGGATCGCATGTTGGATGCCCAGGTCGCTGTTGGCAGCTTCGGGGAGAGAACACGTGGCAGGTTGCAAGAACTTTTGAGCTAATCAGCAGGTATTCCCAGGTGCTGTAGCTCACACAAGCTCACCTGCTATGCTTTTCAGATGAGCTATCACTCTGTTTGTCAAGAATGCATTAATGGCTCACTGGCCTCTTCGAAGTGTCTTCCCAAGAGTCTGCCAGGAAAGCTCCCGCAGTCGGTCTCCCAGCTCGCTTGCGGTTCGCTTGCTGCTTGCTACAACTCGAAAGGTGGTGCACAAATGGGGTGGCTGATGTAGGGGAAGGTACTGCACCCCAGCTGAAGCCCCCTGCGAAAAGGACCCTGATTGTAGTCTGCCTGTTCTGCGTCCCAGGCAAGGACTTCCGCGAGCAGGGCTTCCTGCACCTCAAGGGCTTTGTGTCCAAACAAATGCCTGGCACCCGGGAGTCGCAGCGCAGTGACGGCACCATCGCCACTCTTGGTTCTATCTTTCGTGAAACAATTGGCGCGCAGTGTTCCCCGGAAAGAGGAACGTTACCAAAAGCTGTGAACAAGAATGCGATTGATGCACCCTAGGGAAGAGAAGATCGCCTTCAAGATGGAATGCTGGCAAATCTGGTCCCCTCAAACCCTTGCATGTGTCAGGTTGCTTGTTTGTTGCGTTTGTATTCAGCCTTTCCGTGAATATCAAATCGCTGATACCGAAGGTGTGAGAAGATGAAGGCCAGAATGAAGGCACGACTGGATGGCTGTATGGCTGCACAGATTCAAGCACTGCTTGCAATGCTCCAGTAGCTCAATATTCAATAAATTTGTTGCAGCAATTTCATGACCGACCTCGTCCGTATTCAAGCTGCCTTTGATGTCTTGGTCCGCGACATTTACGTTACGAAGCTGACATCAACAAGTGCCCTCATTTTGTAAGATGTCAGTTACTAGATTTGATATAGAGGTGATAATTCTGGGGCAAGAGAACCAATTGTTTTGCAAAGACGAAAGGTTTGACATCCTTGCCTTGTCATAGGAGCTGGTGGATGTCTGGGATCCTGTCGCTGAGCGCCTTTGCTGTGAATGGAAAGAGGGTGTATCTACTCTTATTGCTTGGAACAGCGGTTGCAGGAAATTGAGGCGCCAGTGCTTGGACTCTGGCGTAGAGGATGGTTCTGGAGCTGGGAACACAAAGGCTGCAGCTGTTTGCTCAAGTCTGCTTGGTCCTTCCTTGTGGATTTGTCCAAGAAACGCATCGCTGAAGCGGCCGGCACACGAAAGTTTGGTGTCGCAGGGCTTCCTGAAACAAGCATTCTGGCCGTTTCGGAACAGCTCAAGCTTCCAAATTCCCCCCCCCCCCCCGATTTCGAGGATCCCCGTTTTTTGGCCGGTGGGTTTGCTTCTCTGAGGAAGCCAGCACCTTTCACCACGGACAGCAAGACCCAGGTGGAGGCCCAGGCAGGGTTTCTGGAGGTGCCCCCGAGCTGTGGCGCGAAGGTTCGCAGAGGGCTGCCTGTTGGGATGAGAATCTACTGCAAAAAAATCCAGTGGGTGCCTGTTCATTTCAAGGTCGCCAGATGGCCATGGAGCATAACCTATGGCTCCATGTTGGTGGATGAACATCCATTTGCCTGTTGGGATTTCATGGTTTGCCTTTTCCACTGTTTGTGGTTGATAAAAAAGCAGCCCCCCTGGTAGTGTAGAATCCCTTATCAAGGGAGGCTGTTCATTTTAGTGGAAAAGGCAAGCCCTGGTTGGGAGGAGAATCCTCCACTGCAAACCACCAGCCTTGCCTGTTCATTTCAAGGTCGACAGATGACGTGTTTGAACGCACCTTCCACAGCAGAAGTCGGTGCCTGTTCATAGGTCCACAGATGACATGTTTGAAGTTCAAAAAATCCATGGATCGAAACCAGCACAACAGGACCAACAGCCCAGCGCCACAACCCAATGTTGGCTGATGCACAGCCACGCCGAGAACCACGGCAAGCGTGCGATTGAAACGGCACACACATACATGGAGCGAACAAAGGTGCCAACGTCAGCGCTCCAGGGTAAATCTGACTACTTCCTGGATAGCGCTGACCGCATTCACTTCTTCATCGAGAAGGAAGCAGCTGATGAGGACTTGTCGGGCTGTGTATGAGACATTCCCTTAGCAAAGCCTATGCTCCATTTGCAGGAGGTTCTTACAAAATAGAAGTAGTCTCACTCATGACGATAATCCTTTTGTTTTGTATACAGAGTGTATGTGCTTCACGTGGAGAATGTGGCTGTTTGGCCCCCGGATGTCCGGCAGGTGCAGAGGAGAGCAGAACAATGCAGAACACCAGGCAGATGAAGCGAAACAGAGGTATCTGTGAAGCAACCTTGAAGCCAGTTCCCTAAGTAGCTCGGAACAAATCAAGCTCCTGCAGCATTCTGAGATAATCTGATTCCCTGAACGAAAAACCACGAACGTTAGCAAGGATAGACTGAGGGGGTTTGGGGGTCGGCCCGGCCGCAAAACCAATGAAATATCGCCCCCCCCCCACCTCCCCCCTTCGACTCATTCGCAGCTTCGCTCCTTGTTCGGTCTTCTCGCCGCCCTCTTCGCTCGCTGCGCTTCACACTTTGGTCCGCTTTTCGCACCGGTTTGCTCTTGTGTTTCAAGTCCGGTCCTCCCAGTCAAATCCTCGTGTATTCCGAAGTTGATATGGGACACTCAGTGCACGTCTACTTCATAGTGGGCTATGCACAATTGGCCGGGGGTACCTCAGCTTCAGCACCAACACCTCCAGACTTTGTCTCGGGGACGTTTCATTGTTTCGGGGAATCACTATGCGGTATCCTACCTTTCGTGCCTCCCCTTTCTCAAGTTACACATTCCTTACGCGATTATTGTGCCAGATGGTTCACTGTTCCAGAGTTTCAGAGACCCTTTGAACACCGTTGATACAGTTTGAGGATGTGAACCAATCAGCAGAGCCACCCCTGCGCCACAAAAACTGATATGCATAATGCAGGACGGTAAGCTCAAGGATATGAAGAAGAAGTTCAGCGCCTTGAACAAGGCAGGAGAAAGTTGGAAAGTTGCAACGGCTTGGGAGCGGATGCTTCTCGCGTTCCCTGGATGCTTCTAGCGCGTTCCGTGGGACAGTGAGTGTCTTCCGGGAAGCGGCTAAGCATTTCGCGGAGAACTGAAAAGTGACAGGGCAACAGTTGGGGGTGCCATGGCGTTTGGTCGGTTTTTTTCTTGTGAGGTGGGCCATGGGCTTCATGTCAAGGCAACTCGGCAGCAATGCGGAAGCGTGTTGAGATAGATGGGTGCCGGTTGAATGCCACATACACGTACCACTATGGTTAAATCAGGCTGTTGCAGGCGAGTTTTAGAAGAGAACTGCAAAGGCTTGGTTGACTTGGGACATAGCAAAGGCTGTTCGCGATTCGAATGGCCGGATCTTGGAGGAGGTTCAGCGCAGTCCTTTTTGGCCAATCCACTGGTGCGCCTGCCTTAGCTGCGGCCGGATTGAGGATCCCACATTCAGGGAGTACAGCCACTCTGACAAGGCCAGTCGGTGCTCTATCCGCTGGGCCACGGGCCACCAATGGGAACGCCAGACCCAAAGGCTATAGCACGAGGTCACAATACCCGGATTTAGAAAGAATGCGACCCGCCAGAGAATGCACCGGTGGTGCACTTGGGAATTTTGTGGATATGAGGTTTATCAAACAGGCATTTGGGCCCTGAGCAAAGTGAATGAATCATCGTTGTTCTGTCTGTTGAGGATGGCTTGAGGTTAATGCTTCACCAAATTTAGTAGCAGGCATGCAAGACACGCCATGATTTTGCTTGCTGCTGATGGAGAAGGGTGTGGCTCAAAATTAAAAACGGGGGGTTACGCAGGTTTTGATCCATATTTCCACTTGCCAGGGTTCCATTTTGGTGCCGGTTTTTGAGCCAGAGCCAGAACATGTGTTTGTTACTCATGGGAGTTTGTTTTGTGGCTTCTTTGGCGTTGAGGACCTGGCTGGCTACTGCACAATCAAGCATGGTAGCAGATGCGCGGCGCACCGCTTGACGAATTGGAAGCAGTGGGCCACAGATGTAAAAGTGGCGACCGGCATGATTGTGAGGCTCTTTGAGTGACAAGGATGTCCCATCCGGCTAATCTTTTTGAGGGAGGTATTCAGCAAGGCGACATGTGGACAGGCTTTGCGCAATACCTTGGGCGCAAGAAAAGCAATGATCCAGTGTCAATGCGCATCAAGGGTCAATACTACCATCTCAGGATTGACCGGAATATGCATCTGCATGAACGTATCTCAGCAAGATGTCATGACAGTGTCCATTTCGACGGATAGGAAGCAGCTCATTTGGATCGCTTCGGGCCATGTTCGGGGTACCTGGTGGGCTCTCAACATTGGCCGCAAGTTTGGCCCATGGTAGGGTTTGGCTCCCAAATTGGAGTGAAACCCAGAGGATGAGTTCCGAATATCGGGGTTCGGGTCCTTGTGGGGCAAGCAAAAAACTGGACACCCCCCCCAAAAGACTCGCCTTGCCAGGTCTTAGAGCTGGTGCATGAGCTGGGCTGGAAGGATCCAGCGAGGCTCTCACAGCCGGCCCAGACACGAATGGGGGGCATGAGTGCTTTGATCCCTACATTTACCAGTATCCGCAAGCTAGGAGTGATGCCCAACTTCCAAGTATGTTCTGCCGAGCCTGTGACCCAGCTCGGAGGCAAAAGAAGGCAACATGGGAGCATCAGACTCAAGGTATGTCGCGCATATGTCTTGCCCTTTGAAGCAAGCTCGTGGAGGTGGCAGTTGATATCAGTGCAACGTGAGCAACCTGGGTGAGGCCCAGAGCCATGTTGTTTGGCTGAGCTCACTGGCAACGCATGGGGAGCATTCGCAGGGACGGTACGGCGGTCAATTTTACTTTTTCCACCTGTGCCTAGTGCAAACTCGGGCACATATGTGTCGGTGACAGGTTGGGCTTGAAATCCACAATTCGAGCATTTCCTCATTTGCGCTAGCCGCTTCCAGAGTGAGATGAGGTCTTGCCCCAGTCCATGTATATCTTCAAGCAGCCCGTCACCGGGGGCGAGGTCACCTCCCATCAGGAGAGATGAGGGCGGGGCAGTGCCGAGTTTGCATCTTCGCTTTGCAATGTATTGAGAAGCCCAGCCATGAGTCATGTGTTGATCCCTCAGATGAATCCCAACTCACTAGTCAGAGTTGCATGTTGCTTGGATGTTACGACTTGAACTTTTTGCCATTAATCGGGGTTCCATTAAACCACTAAAGATTGAACTTTTAGCAGGGGAGCAGAAAGCAACTCACTCACCGCGGAAGCCGCATGTCAGGACTCCTCTTTCTTGTACACAACTCCGCGTCCTACCTGCCTTGGCCATTGCCTCGCACGCGCATAAGGGAGGTTGGAGTTGAACGTCTTGTTCCTAGTGCTTTCCATGGTACCACAGAAACAAAAAGGCACGGGTTGAAGATGTCCAGAAGCAACGTTCTGGAAATCGTCAAGCTTGAACAGGATGTTCTAGCACGTGCTTGCACGTCTTGGCACTCGATCAGGAACAGTACAGGTTGCACTGACTTGAAAAGTCAAAGCGTGATTTTGTGAAGACATGTGCTTTAAACCGTGTTGGCCCAGAGCAGCGGTACTGGGATCAAGGTCAACGTGGGAGTCGTTGAGGCCCAAAAAGGGCCACTGCAGACTGCCATTGCAATCGATGACATCCCCGAAATTGCGTCCATGCATGTTGAGCCGAAACAAAATGGGGCAAAAGACGTTGGCAATGTTGCGAGCCTCACTTTTTTTTGGTGTCTCGACCTTGGCCCTGGTATCAGTGCTTACATCCACTACCATTTGGGATCATCCTCCCCCCGTGGAACTTGTGCAGCGTTTTCACTTGAGTGCTTGGCAAACATGCCATTGCGAGTTTGGCTTTGGTTGGTGGTTTGCCCTTGTCCATACGTATGCCAGGCGCATGTGCATCCGTTCAGGTTTGTGGCTCGCCCTTGACGCGGCGACCACGGAGAACGGCTGCCTTTGGGCCAGGCAGGCCTGGAGAGTACTTCTCCATCATGAGGTGCTAGCAGGGTAGGTGCACCCATTTTAGAACCTATTTCAGTGGGGGATTGGGATGTTCACTGGGGGTACGATGGGATTTTGACCCATGGCCACATGAGCCACTTGCTCAAAACCCGGGTAGATGAAGCTTAGTAAGGCTTCTTAATTCTTGAAGCATGGTTCTGGGTTCACCATTTTAATACCGGGTTTTGATTGTGGCTCAAATGAGGTGGTAGCAGGGGAATTTGAGATCTGCTTTGGGACGATGCACTTGGGCCGGTCTCACATCTTGGTTCACTCCTTGACCATGGTTTGCAGAAGCGAGCACTCGGTGCTGAGGATGGTTATGCAGGAAAGCAGTTTAAAAGAAACTGTCAATATCACAGTCTTGTGTCACTTCACCTTAGGAGCCTCCGTCGATTTCGTGTTTGTAGTGCAGGTTGTTGTGTGCGGCTGGGTTTGCTTTGGATTTGCCTGATGGACGCGGCGTCAGGCCTGGCTCCCACAGAGAGTCTGTGCGGCGGGTCTTTGCGGCAACCTCAGCACGCAGTTTTCAATGGGGCACGGGTGTCAAAAACAATGACCCCCTTTGCAACCCTTGTTTCCTTGCCAACCTGCAATAACAATGCAATAAATTAGGATCAGGATCAGGGATCCCTATGGGACAAGGGTCGGTTGCTTCGAGTGCTGCTTTGACATGGTCCATGAACCGACAGTCACATGACAAATGCTAGATCCCAACACATGACAAGGCCTGACTCGGCAGTTTTCTCGGCATCTTTTGGCCGTAGGGAGCCAGGGGCTCAAGAAGAAATGATCAGCTGCCCTTGAGTATCATCAGCAAAGTGGCCAAGTGCAACTGTTAGTGCGGCAGACTCCCACACAAACGCAAGCACGCCGCACGGACACACACATGTGCGCAGGCACGTGAAGGCACGACCGCACCCTACCCACCGACGTATAATATATGGATACACGTGGTGCGTATCTACGTGCCTACATGCCATGCCACACCATAGCATGCCTTCACCATTACATTGCATTGCTTTGTAATTCATAGCGTTTCTTTACATGCATATCATACATCACATGACTTTGCAGTACTCCCTGGTGCCTAAGAATAAAGGTCCCCGTAATTGTAAAAAATGTGTGTCCAAGTTCCCAAAAAGTCCAAGTTCGCGAATACTAAATTTAGACTAGCCGTATTAGGGTCTCCGGAAAACCACCCAACTTCTTTCAGACCCACAGGACGTATGACCTACCGTATTTACCTGCTCGCCCCAGTTGAAACAGCAAAAGGAGGAATCTGAGCCATCAAAGTCCCTTATTTAAAAGTTGCATCCTGGACTTGTGATTGTGGCGTACAAGTGTTTCTTTGATTGTGTTGTTATTAGCGAGGGGGGGCCCTTTTATTATTGGGGGTGAAGGGATTACATTGCACGGAATTGTATGGCATTGCATTGCACCGCACAGCATAGCATAGTGCAAATGGCACAGACACACATTGCCTGTGTTGGTCGTCACAGTTGGGGAACATGCTGATGATCAAAAGCACATGTTGTTCAGAACCTTTGTCGAGGGAAGCACAAAACACGCATGATGATGACATAAGGGCTTGAGCTTTTTCAATAGCAGCATGTTTGTTGAGCGTTATGGAACAACAGCAATCTTGCTCAACGCAAATTAGTCGTCCCCTTGCGGGAATGCTGGGCTTGAGGCTAAGGCCAGCAAGTAGGTTTGCTCATTTCAAAAGTCCATGTGAGATCTGAAGAAACTGCTGCTGACTGTTCATGAGGAGCTTGGTCTTGGCGAAACATCTCTGGCAGTTGGTCGACTCTTGTTCGAGTGCAAAAGTTTTAGACGCTTCCCTGCAGGAGATGTGGTTGCTGCTCTTGCTGGCCTCGGGTCTCCAGGCCCTCCGGGTTGAAGATGACCCCCTGACTCTTCAAGTTGGGGACTGGTTGCCCGAGGACGACAACCACACGGTGCGGTTCGCGCATGCCCTGGAGCCAGATTATGCCATGGAAGCGAAACTGGAAGCGGCGGTGGCAGCTCCAGCGCACAACGTCTCCGAGTTGTTGATGGACATCGGGGGAGGCACTGGCGCTGGTGCTGGCACAGGCGATCTGGACATGGACAAGGATCAGCTTAGGCGCATGCGATACCAAGATAAGGCAAGGCTGATCAAAATGTGTCAGTTCCCTCCGTGACGGAGGCCCAACAAGTGAAAAGCGATTCTTGAACCCTTCGCCCTTTGCCAGGTGGGTATGGGTCAAAATTAAACCACCAGGGGACAGCAGGTTTCAGTCCATGTTTCCATTTCTCAGGATTCCATTTTGGGTACACATTGACCCACAGCCAGGTAATGATTGCGCTGCTTGTGTTGGTCTATGTGGTTGCTTTGCTCTTCGCCGCCAGCTTGACCTACCGTCATGCCTGCAATGACTCGCCGGTTCAGTACTACGCTGATCCGCGCCGGTCCACTGCTGAGATCGCCACCAGCAACGAGGAGGATTTCCTGGAAGCATTTAACAAGCCGCCCATAGATGTCCAGCTCCAGGTCACGGGTCTGCGGCCGGTGCCAATGATGCTGGCACACTTGGTGGACAACGTGGTGGAGTGGCAGGGCAACTGGTACTGTGCAGACTTCTCATTTTCCCTGGATCTCTCCTCATGGCTGGAGCCGATATACGCGCAACCTGAGCTCAATGAGGGTGGCTCGCCCCCTTACGTTGCAGCGCTTTCTGCCACAGATGCCGCGGAGTTGCGGAACTTCCTTGAGACGGATACAAATGAAGCTAAGCTGTAAACTAAGCATTGGTTCTCGTCCGCTTATCAACATGCCTCAGTTGTGTAGCCTGCATCATGCATGCGCACCTCAAACAGCCCATCCAAAGGCAAAGCCTGCAATGATTCTGCTTAGAGAGATTTGGAGAGCATAGTGGCACCAGCATGTTCAAACAGCGTTGCAGCATATCACCCGACCTGCATTTTCCCTGAAATAAACACAACCAACCGCCGATGATTTTGTTCAAATAGCCCCAACCATGCCTAGCCCCAAATCCTCCGATAGAATCTTTCTTAGAAGCGCAGATTCGAGTACTTGAGGAATGACCGTCAAGAACAAAGGGATCATTGTTTGTCTTTCCTATCCCGGAAAGACACCACCAGAGAAAGATCTTCGAATCGCAAAGACACTGAAGGCAAATGCTTTGTTTTCACGGCTTACACACGCTGTCACGTTGAACAGCAGGAAGAAGCGGCTCAAAACATAGAGGCCAACAAGTTCATCGAGTCGGAGAGACAGCACTGAAATCCGCAGGTTCCTAGAAGTCAAAGCAAGCCAAAGAGTGCATAAAGCTCATGTGTTTTGTTTTGTTTTTGTGCTGCTCGGCAACTTTGGGCTCCCCTAGCCCCACGGCGGCGTTGGGAGTGTTCCCTTTATTTGGTTAACACCGCCAGCATGGCTCTCGCTGGTTGATGGTGTTTTGCTTCTGGCACAGGACTTGGCCATCGTGGAGATCAACCCTGAGATTGTGTGGCCGGAGTGGGAGGAGCTTGCAACGAACATCAAGCAGAAGATACGGCAAGGTGGATTTCAAGGGATCATTTGCGTTCGGTTGAGCCATTCCGAAGTGCTGACGGTGTACAAGAATCGCGCTTGGGCGAACTTCCTCCATGCGCGCGCGACGAAGATGCTTTGTGCCCTGTCGGTGGTGTTCTATTTCATCCATGCGGCGTACGTTTGGCTGCGGAAGACTGGGCCTACATTGAGGTCAAGGCACAAGCTGGTGTGAGTATATAGGTCAAAACCGTTTTGGGATCCCATTTTGGTTGGCCACCCATTTTAGAACCTATTTTAGTGGGGATTGGGATGTTTACTGGGGGGTACGCTTTGGCTTTTGACCCATGGCCATGTGAGTAAACAAGCCTTTCTCGCTGGTTGAACAATTTTCCGAAACTGTCCCAAGTGACTTTTGTTAGTGTCTTTAGGTAGTGAGCCTCTCGAAACATTTGGGCATACCGAGATTACATCTGGGCATTAACAAAGATTCGTCGGCAGGTTCCGGGTGAATCTTCCGATTTCTGAGTACTGGCAGCTGGTGGGTCACAAGATCACCGCCGAGGGCTTCGATGGCTTCTAGTTCGCATGGCGAAAGCCGCTGAGCGCCTGAGGGCCCCGCCTTGAGATTTTTTTCCGGTGCTTCCGGCGGGCAAGCCTGAAGCAGGGCGGCTCACGCAGAAGTTGGAAACCCATGTTCTCAGGAGCATTGTTGGCCAGCTGTTGCCTGCGATCCCTCGACGATGTCATGACCACCAAATGGTGGAAATGATCAGAGACTTCACCTCCAGGCTGACATCAAATGCAAAGCCTCGGTGAAATGTGCCGGTCCCATGCTTCGAAGATTTGGAAGCCGCTGCAAGGTTTTTGTTGAAGAGGTGAGGAGGTTTGCGCACCAGAGCGCATCAAGCGGCTGCAAAGGTGCTGGCTACCAGAGGGTTCAACTGCCAGCTGAGGTCCGAAATCCTGAGCACTTTGAGACGGGCAATAGTGATGCCACGTGTGGTTTCCCAGATTCGTGAAGGGGCAACGAAGGGCAGGCAATGCCTCTGGACTTGCAGGAAGTGGTCGAAGTTTGGGCAGCGTCACTCCTGTCAGGAGATATGACAGCGCGTCCTTTGTGCAACCTATTCCTTAAGGGTTGGGTGGTTGGCTGTCGAGGGTGGCTTGCATCCACAAATTCTGGGTTTGTAGAAACAATCTTCCAATTGCTTAAGAATATTTTCCCCTCTTGGTTTTACAGGGAATCTATCACTACTGGAAATATTGTTATTTTTTCCAGGGGGCTTAAGCAAATGGAAGCAATGGTTGGTGCAAACTGTAGGATTTGCTTGGGCTTTGGGCAAGTTTTGTATCACAGGTTCCGTCTAGTTCTGAGGGCAGTTGCCTTCCAGGCAAGAGGCAGCTCTTTGATTCCTTTTTCTGCAAAGGTGCCACGAAGCGGGCTTGCAATCAACTTGCGCTTCGAGTGTTGGGCGCATCCAAGACCGCATGCATTTGGTGTGTATGATGATTGCAGCTTTCAAGATGTAGGTATGGATCAAATTTTAAACAGCCAGAAAATGGACCGCGGGTTTTAGTCCTTGTTTCCATTTACCAGGGTTTCGGGGTTACCCTGTTTGTGACCCATACCCATGCGCAGCTTTCTCGGGAAATGAAAGCAGGGGATTGCCATCGCTGATTACCTCCATCGCCTTAGGCAGCTAATCTTCGAAACCCTTGCCGGCAAGGCACCGGGTGTTTCGCCGTGATTTTGCGTGGAAGAATAATTCCCACGGATAGATCCAAGACAGTTTGCTTCCCAGCCGTTTGGGCTAATTAGAAGCACATGGGGCTGGTGGTGCTTTGCATTCATGCAAGCCACCCTACTCAAGACTTCCGGCAGAGTGCGTGGCTGCGCTGGGTTCCTCAGATGTTGAATGCAAGGTTGACACTGCAAGTGTGCCTGCCCTTTGCTTGCTTCCACCGGTCAGAAGCTATTCCACATTTGCGCCAGCTCGACATGGGAAATCTTGAGTGGGGCTTACACAGATCCCCCAAAACGGGGACTCTCTGGGATCCCTCAAAAGGGAGCCCCCTATGACCTTTCAGACGAGTACCCCCACAGGTGTGGCCATAGGTGTCCTTTCTGGTTGATTTGGTTGAAAAATAGGGGGCCCTGGTTTACCTGGTGGTTCAATCAACTACCAGGGTCATCTATTTTCCCAAAAAGGACACCTCTGGGTGTGGCGCTTCCCTTTTCACTTCAAACTTCCAAACGGTGCCCATCGCTCTGCCAGGACCCAGCCTGGGAATGGGAGGCTCAGTCGTGCAGAGACATGAGCTGCGCGATTTTAGGGAGACGAGTAAAAGAGGCACAAGTAAGCTGGGGTAGACTTAGGATACATTTCGCATTTTACCAGTGACTCAAATTGAAGCAAACATTGAAATATACATTGTAAAGCTGGGCCTAACTCGAATAATGTAGCCTTTGCTTGAACCCGCCGACAAGTGTTGATTGTGCCTTGAGTGTCCCTTTTTTGGGGGAACACGACCGGTGATGGTGATCAGAACAAAAACTGAAGTGCGTGGAATCCATGGAACCTGAGGATAGGGCTGGGAAGTTCGTGTACCAGGAACCGTTTGTGGGTTCCACGTGGCAAGGTGTGTCCTGGAAAAGCGCCGAAAGAGAACTTCCCCAGACAACATCCATCCCCGTTGGCGCAGGGCAAGATGCCCGAGGGCTGCGATGAGTTTGGCCTAGAGCTTGGGTGCAGAGACATGGCTGTGGGCCAAAACCAATGGGATCCCATTTTGGGGTAGGTGCACCACCCATTTTAGAACCTATTTTAGTGGGGATTGGGATGTTCACTGGGGTACGGGATTTTGACCCATGGCCACATGGCTGCTGATGCACTTTCTGTACCGGAGGGGGGGGGGGGGGGAGCCGAGCTTAAAGCTCAAAACAATGAAAATATCTATGGCATATGTGTTGCCATCTAATAAGGATTGCGGAAAGGCCTTGAATGCATTTGTGTTCCACAGGCCAAAAGCACAAATCGCTCAAGGCCGTGGTGAGAGCTGTCTATTCCAACGCTCAGGCAAAGGCTTGAAGGACAAGGGCTTCATCCCTGTGGAGTGCGAGGCAGGTTTGTGATCTTTCCTCTCTCCCTCCCACCTTCGTTCTCTCTCTCTCTCTCTCTCTCGCTCTCTCCCTCTCTTTGTTCGTCTCTCTCTCTCTCTCTCTCTCTTCCTCTCTCTGTTTCTCTCTCTCTCTCTGTCTCTTTTTGCCTTTTCAGGCGTCCAAAACGGTAGCAAAAGCGCCAAGAGAGCTGGGCGAACAAGCCATTGATCAAGGCATGTGAGCCTTGAAGGGCCTTTCTCCCTCGCCACCACTTGTACTTGTGGCTAGCAACCAGCACGCCCTCGTGTGGCCCTTGCCAAGCGTCGAGTGAGGCTTGGGTCGTTTGCCGGCCATATCACTATGGGTCAAAATCAATGGTACCATATTGGGGTAGGTGCACCACCCATTTTAGTCTATTTTAGTGGGAATTGGGATGTTCACTGAAGGTACGGGACTTTGACCCATGGCCATATCGAAGGAAAATCGTGTGCTCGCTATGACCATGCTATGAATCTCAATCAATCCTTGCTCCACGTAATTTGTGAAGGAGACGATGGCTTTATATTATTTCAGCGCTGCCTGGGAAGAAACGCATGCTGAAAGACAGCCAATCATAGTACACAGGTGCCGTTGGTTCACTGATTCTGCCAAGCGCTTGATCAGTCTCTGGAAGGTTTCATTCCAGCCTGAATTGTGTGTGTGGTAGTTCATCCGATGATTCAAAGACAATGACACTCGTTTGGAGGTTGGTCCATTAGCTTGGATGGGCCATTCCTGAGTCACGTAGTCTTTTCTGCAAATATGGGGAGATCAGCATGACTGAATCGCCGTAGCCCATGTTCGGAATACGGGGAATGTTTGTATCGTGTTTCCTTGTGAATCGAGCGGTTGAAAGCATTCCAGCCAAGCTTCCTCTGCCTGCCAGGCAGGGGACCTTGTGGTGATCCACGGACAGGCAAGGCTCCGCGATGCAGATCACGAACCGCTAAAGATTACTTGATCAGATGCATCCATATTTCAATCTACTTCGACCACTGAGCCGCTACATCTTGGCGGTAGATACGGACGTTCTGTGTGCGCCTTTCCATGCGCGTGTCGTACCCTGAGCTTTCCGACAATCTATACAATATCCGTGAAATGGTCCAGGACGGACCAGCCAGCTACATGAGAATGCAAGCCAGAGCGTGCTGGCGTGCGGGCTGGTGATATCCTGCGCAGGTGGACCACCTTTCCTTGGCAAACACCAGCAACAAGCAGAGCGCTCGGAGCTGTTGCGATAGATTGTGTGGAAGCAAAAGCAAGCAGGGTGGCATATGATGTTGATAACATGTTGGTAGAAAGCTGGCTACTGGAGGTTCCGCGGTTCAACTGGCTACTGTCCTATCCAAAAATCGGTTGAGTGCACTCCTAGAAAAGTAGTTTAGATGGAGAATCCCATTCCCCGTGTGGATCCTTCGTGCTTTGGCTGAGGCCACGAGAAACCTTTCAGCTCCACTTGGTAGAGGGGCGGCGGCCGCAGATATGAATCGAATAGCCATGAAGCTCACAGGAGCGGAGTGACGGGGTCGCTCATGTATGACATGTAAGCGAACCAAATGCGTGCAAGTCCTCCGGTGCTTTGGCCCTCCTTTGAGTGAAGGGCGATTTGGAGAGAACGAGACCTGAGGCCAAGCGAGGGCATCACTTGGAGCCCTCGGAACTGGCCCCAGCCCCAGAGCTCGCGGCCAGCCGTGAGTCTGAGATACCTTTGAGCCTTTGAGCTGACTTAAAGTTTTGGGCCCGGACAGTGGTCACTCACATCACTTCCCAAAAAACTTGTTTAAGACAGCCAGGTATGAGTTGTATGTCGAAAGTTGTAGCGGTAGGCCGCATTCTGCGCCCCTTCGACTACACCTGGCACCGCAGTTCGAGGCTTCAGTATCCTGCTGGCAAGCCATTTCCATCGCTGCTGCCCCGCGGCAAGCGAAAGGCCGGAGGTGGTGACTAGAGCACCAGCAAGTTGAGACTTCCTAGGTCCCCCGGTAGTGCCCGTTTACCGTTTCTTTTTTGGGGGAGGGTTCCCCTACTAAGATAGACTAAAGGAAAAAGGGTACCCTTATTCTAACCTCTCTACCTAGCTTCTTTGCCGCAGCTGCTTAAGCATGCAGATGGTCTCCAATTTAGCCAGCTGGTAGATTGTGAGCTTTTCCGGGTGTTCATCACCCCCATATTCTACAGCTTGGACGTTGTAGCAGGTTGAACTAACTAGTGACTGATACTGTGGATGGTTGCGAAATCATCAAACGCACCACAGGCACCAGAAACCCTGGTTTCTGATACGACTCCCCAACGTAAATATTATAGGTGTCCACCATGATTCTTAGGTGCTGCGAAGTGGCTGTGGGTCAAAACCCTGGTACCCCCCGACCCCCGAGATTCCCTTTCAAAAGGAGCAAAAGGGGGAGTTACCCAAACGGGTAGCCGGGTTTTGACCCACACCCAAGTGGATTTCGCAACCATCCACCGGGCCGGGCCATTTGCGGCAAGGAATGCTCGCGTACCGACTCTGGCTCCAGCTTGGCGCGGCTTCCGGCGCGATGGCGCGCGTGCGCCGAGGCGCGGAAAGGCGGTGAAAGCGTTGCTGGGGATGGACTTATCTTGACCTTCAAGAAACCTATTTTCCCAAGCACTATGGCCAAGAAAAGGCCCAAGTCACAGTGCGAGGCTGAAAAGAAGGCGTTCTGTTTTTTTCAGGCAAGCTAGTGAAGGTTCCCCTTTCCTTTTTTTCCCCAAGAGCTGAAAGCTTTTGAGTCTCAGCCCAGATAGGCTCCAAAGTGGTCCGGGGCGGCCCTGAGGTAAGGTTCCACGAGGGTTCCACCAGGGTTCCAGGGTTCCACGAGGTTCTGCAAGGGCTGCGGGGTGGTGTGAGCACTAAAAAGAGCACCGTATGCAACCTGAGCTTATTTGTTGCAGCCCCCCAAGCTGGAAGACAGTGGAGGCACATTTGTGCTCAGACTGCCATCCCAGTGGCACATGCCAAAGCGAAAGTCGGAGCACTTGGAATGCAAGTCTGGGCAGCAGAGGTTCCTGAACTTGTCGATTCCAGAAGATCTTGACCGATTGGCTTTGTTGCCATGCCAAGTGGCAAACCTGGGATCACTTCTCATATGGCACACGCACCCATGAAAAATATATATATATATATAATAAGTAAAAAAAATAAAAACGAGGCGATGGTTGGGTTGGAAGGACAGCAAGTTTGCACCAAACGGCTTTGAGCCGCCTAAGTTTGTTCAGCGCTTCTTCCATTGTGAAAGAAGCCGTGAAACTAGTTGAGTTTATTTCCCGTGCCTTGACGGGGTTGAGGCTACATGGATTGCAGGGGCCATATTTGCACGCTGAGACGTGTGAGGCGGTGCGTTGGTGGCAGCTGCCGCCAGACACTGAGGCTAGTGGATGCCTTCATGAACCGATGGGGTGGGTACCGTTTTTGGGGTTGCTTTCACAGGAAGCCAAAAGAACGACACCATGTTGAGGGTGCCACTATTTCAAGACGCCCAAAAACGTTGATGAGTGGTTTACATTGCTGCGATCCAAGTCCACGCTAGAAGCAGATTACAGTGCAGTGACACTGTTTATATTCCAGCTATGCCACCAGCTCAAAACGAAGCGAAGGGGCGAGTGGGTTTGGGCAATATGGGTTAGGGCACATTCCTTACAAGTGTGTACTGGGGCTGGGGCTTATGGCTCAAAGTTATGCCACGAATTGCATGAACTAGACCTCATTGGTAGTTCCGCTCAAGCTTCCAAGCTGCGCAAGCGCACGGGACAGTTTGGTCCTGGTGAAAACAAAGGGCAGGGCAGGGTGCCCGCAAAACCAACCTCCCTGCTCAAAGAGGATCCTTCCGACCAAAAGCAGCCAAAAGCTGGAGCGCAGCGGGATGGCTTTGCATGTCCCACGTGAGGGTCAAAATGCAGCTTCTGGTCGCAAGTTCCTCAAAAGGGAATTTGAGCGCTGTTTGGACAGAGGCGAAGGTTTTGGCGCTGGCAAATGTGATGAATGATGCCTTGCAGCCAACAAAGGTCTGCCTCACACTGAAATGCGCCTTCGTTGTAGGCAGGACGCTGAGCATGGCAAGGAAAACTTGCACGGTGCAAGCGATATGTGCATGTTCTGCAGTTCGGCATTGATGGGGGCCCGCCTGTTCTCGCCAGTGTGTGAGTCTACGCAGGAATTTACATGCGTATGAGTCAAAATTAAACCACCAAGGGAGTCCGGTTCCATTTGTGGTACCTACTGTGGATGGCCGAAATCCTGCGCCACCTCAGGAACCCTGGTTTCTGACGGTTCCCCTGTAAATTCCAATAAACCATGTCCCATGGCTTCCAAGTGGTGCGAAAAGTTTGGGAAGAACAGTTGGCTTCCAGGTCTCCAGGCTCGCAGCAGCCGAGGCGGACGGGTTTCGGGGCGGATGGTTTTTCTTTTTTCTCCGCACGGTTCCGTTGGGCAACAGGGAGAAGGCAGGGACCACAAGCCGTGAGGTGAGATCGAAACAAAAAAATTGTGCGAAACTGTGGCTTTCCAGAAGGTGGGAGGTGCATCCATGCGTGAACCCCTCCTGCGATTTGCAGAGCTTCTCTGCAGTGCAAGGTGCTGCAGTCTTCGCAGCGGCGAGCAATAAGATCATGCCCTTGGGGAACCAGGCCGGTGCGCGGCCTAGGAGATCCTGGGAGCTTGGGCAATTAGCTGCCCGGAGGTACTTGCTATGTAGGGAGAGACTGAACAAAATGTTGCCAACGCAAGCATCCAACCGTTTCCACATCCAACCAAGTTTGTTTCCATGCCTCAAGCAACTGCTTGGTTTTCAGTGGTCAACAACCTCTGAATTTCGGGTCCCCATTCCAAGCCATTGCCCCTCCCGAAAATACGCCGGTCCATATCTCATATGCAGGTGCTTGTGGAGGAGGTGGAGGAACCTGAGGACTGAAAGGGGTCACTTACAGGGGCAGTGTCAGTCTGTTTGTTGTCTGAGGCATGATGTCATCCATGTGCGCTTTGGCAGCTGACTTGGGCTGACTTCCGTTGACTAGATGCTAGAAGCAAAAACGCTGTACTGAAGCGTTGACCCTTGGTAGAACAGCGTAGCTGTACTGAAGCGGTGACCCTTGGATAATGAGTTTCCGAACCCAGATGCTCACAGCCGATTTCAGGATGAGAGTGGCCTGGTGCTGCCAGACAGCAGCAAGAAGAAGACTCGCTTGCGGCTAGGCCGATCCTTTTTCGTATTTTTGTTGCAGTGCCTTGACTCTCCCATTCTCGAGCGAACGCTGCCAAAACGTCAACCATAAATCAGGAAGGGAGCCAAAGTTGCTTGAACAGCATATCCCCCCACGGACTTGTAGATTTGTGGTTTGGATTGCTTCTCTGAGAATCAATCTGTTTTGGCCCCTGAAAAAGGATCAGTCTGTAAAGTTCCGGCCCGGAAGGTCGCATCGAAGCGCTTGGGAATGGCAACTCTGGGGACAGGCGCGCGCTTCGTGTCGTAGGCTCGTACGATCCTCTTTTGTGCTCTGCAAACGGTCCGCCTTTTTCGGCCTGCCCGTGCGGCCAGCCAGCTCATTCGGAACTTGCGCGTGTCCTGACTTGGCTGACGTGCATTGATCCCCGACCGCTGCAAGTGGATGATGGGATTTGTAACGCGCCATCAGCTTCTGGTTGTTTGAATGCTTGTTTGACCCTCCCCCAATTGAAGACAGCAGCCAAGGGCTCTCTTTTTTTTGTTGGCCTCCTCCTTTTTGGTTGATTTGGTGTTAAAATAGAGGGCGATTCCTGGTTTACCTGGTTATTCTCAACCAAGAAGGACACCTATGAGGACAACATGCTCTTGATTGGGACAACATCCCCAAAACAAGCGCTGCCGCCTGGTTTCCCCCCCCCCCCCCCCCGTTTTTTTCCATGCCAGGCGGGAGTCCAACCTCCTGGAGGCAGGTGGCATGGCAAGGAACAAATCGGCTTTCGGAAGCAAGCAGGAAGTCTGGGGATACCCTCCCTGCCACTAACGTAGCACCTGTGGGAGACCTGGAAGATATATTTCCTCTTCTAGGGACCATTTCTGAGCTGCCATGTTAGAGGGTGGTCGTTGGGCACATGCTGACGCATGGATGGCACGAGTGAAGACTCGCGCATTTCATGGCGTGCCAGGCTTTGAAAGTGGGTGACACTGTGCTGTGGGAGGATTTTGCCAATCGAAAGTTGGAGGCGCGCTTGTGCAATGATCCGTGGCCCATGCTGGAGAGACATGGTACATGGTGACACGAAGCATGGCACCAGCATGACGCCAAACCAAATCGGATCGTGAAATCATTAGACTGAGAGAGCGTGAGCGGCGACGGGAGACAAGCAGAAGGTAACATCGTGATTGGCCATGTCAATGTGTGAAACACACGATTTGAAGATGAACTTCTGGCCTCCATCATTTGAGGCTGCAGATGTTGGCATTGCAATATTCACAGGACGGCCCGGACAACAAGCTGTTCCTGGTTCCCATCAGGAGCGTGAAGGGAAAGGCGTGGCATTTAGCCGAGAATCACGCCTGACAATGCAGTTGATCAGTCGCTGGGCATTCAGCATGGTACCTTCAGATTGCTGCGAGCAGTTTTCCAGGGTTCAGTACATCGGCTAGCCACCTCTGGGATATTCATTGCGGATGTTGATTGTGCTAAATGAAGCCAGCTTGATGCATGACCTCTAAAACATTCTAGCAGCTTTGTTCAGCAATCTGTGGAGTTTGGCAGAATACACTCTGCCACTTCGCTTCTTCGGGAGGCGTGATCAGACTTCTGAGGATCCAGATGTGTGTTAAGATTGGTGGTATGTCCTTCTTTTTTTGTACTTCCTTGCTGAATGAAAGCTGTTTTGGAAACCATGTTTCATAAGATCCTTTCGGAGCCCTCGAGGATGACTCGTGGGGCTCTAGACTGTTGTTGTTTTGAAAAACCCGAGTGGATTTTGTGTTGTCCAGGTTTCCTGTACGGAGGTTTGAAACAACCGCAGCATGCAGCTTGCAGGTGAGCGCGAAGTGAGTTTGGCGCCTGATTCGTTTCACTCAGGCTTTGAAGTTTTAGGTGCGTTCTAGCTTTCTGGCATCTAGGTGGTGTTACTGCGTGCATGCAAAGGCCAAAACCGGAAAAAGCATGAAGAGAACACATGAACGAATGTAGGGTTCAAGGGTTTTACACAATGCGTTTGTACAGGCAAGGCTCCTGGAGCCACACAATCAAGCACACATTGAGACTGAATGCTGTGACCGCATTTGTCTCAGAAGTGCTCACGTGCCATTGCGGGATTGTGGGTGCAGGCTGCAGCTGCTTTAGGATTGCCAGCAAGGGCTTCAACGTCACACCAATGGGCACAGAAACACATGAACTTATGGTGCATTCAAAGCGCCAAGTGAAAATCGATGTTCGAGGCTGCCGCTGTTCAACACTTCTGCAGGCAACAGAGACTCAGACCAGCAGCTGTGTGCAGAAAGAGTGCAAGTCGCGCACAGCCCCAGGATTTGTGCATTCCTTTTCGCTCAAATGTCATGATCGAAGGGTGGCCTTTACCCTGGCTAATGGCGACAACTGATTAGTAAACCCCCCCCTCACCCCCCCCCCTTCAAGGTCGACAAGGTTTGGACAACTCCCAAAAATTGAGATTTTTTTTGGAGGACCCCCCTGATTACTCTGGAGCCCCTTCGGTCCTCGTCCTCTTACTTCTGGTCCCTTCGGGGCAGTAGGACTTCAAAAAGGCAACAGCACCTTTTTTTTGTTTTGAGCCCAAAAGGGCCCTGATTAATCGCGGGGGGGTTTCCTGTTAATGAGGGGGGACTGGCCTTCAAGGGGGGTCCCCTTTGTGAGCTTGAACACCTTGTTATTTTAAACAAATTCTAATAAAGAAAAATGCATTTCGGGGGAATCATATTTTTGGGAAAAACTTGAGGGGTTCAGTAGTGACTTAGTATTGGTGGGTTTAAGCACAGACTAAGCAAATACTAAGCAAGAAGGAAAGCACCTTGTTTGGCAGGTTTTTGTTGGCTTGGGGGCTGCAGAGGGATACCTTTAATCAGGGGGGGGTTTGGGGAGGGCCCAACAATAATTGGGTAGGTTTTTTTTGGGAAAACCTTGTTGGCACTTTACTTTAGTATTGGTGAGAATCTGGGGGGAAAAGGGGGAACCTTTAATCGGGGGGTGTACTAATCGTCTCCTGACAATACCTATTGGGCAAATGTTTGCTGGCTTCTTCTTGGCATGCCGAACTTGTCCCATTCAATGGGAACTTCAAACGCTGCATCAATCTCCCTTGCCAGGCGGAGGAAATGGAAGCCAGCTTGCAGGAGGCATGAGCGTTCAATTAAAATATGATAAGGCTATACATGTTATATGATATCTATGTCTTTGAATTGATGCATTGAATTGCCTTGAGGAGCAAATACTCTGCAGATTGCAGGCAGCATGTTTTTGCGGAGTCGCTTTGGCCAGGAAGCGCAGAATGTTATGGTTCTTGCATTTAAGGATTGATTTCTCGACCAGGCAACCCTGTTGGAGTTGATTGCAATATGCCATGGTCAAACGGGTGTTGGTTCAGAATGGACTTTGAACACGATGTATGTACAATATAGTCAGAAACGAGAATACGTGGCATCATTGAGAAATGTTAATACTGTTAAAGATAAATTTCATATTTAGAATACATAGTACTTTGAACGCAGGTGTTCTGTGTATATGTTATTTATGGAAAGCATGGACATGTTAGTTTTGTTTGAGCTATACAAGCTTTGAACTATATACATATGTATATATATATATATATGTATGCAAATGTTATTGTTACAATTATATTCTTAGATATAATATTTAACATAGACAATGTATTAGCTGTTTCGAGCAACACAAACTATGGTGTTTAGAAGACAAGATCATACCTTTGTCTACTCATCGCTTGCTCCACGCCCCGCCTACACCCTGAAGCCGAAGCTTAAACCTCGCCCCAAACCTAAACTCTACACCCAAAGCCTAAACCCTAAACCGAGACCCAACTCCCTAAGAACCCTGAACCTAAATATTAAACCCTAAACCTGATTTGCTGAACCAACCCTCAACCGGAACCCTTAATCTGAACCTTAAGGCTGATACCAAAACCCGCAGCACTGCAGCTAGCGATGGCATCTTGCGCCGAGTGAAGCAGCCAGAGGACGGTTTCAGGCAAACGATGGGTGTTGCGCTTGTTGTTATGTCGGTTGATAGATTGAGTTTGTATAGTACATATTTGATTTAAGTGTATATATATATATATGTATATTCATTACGTGATTTAAGTATTCAACATGTTGTTCAGCGTGGATGATGCTAGCTTCTCAAAGGGCTTTTCTCGAACTTGTTGCCGGATTGCCAAACAGTATGTTTGATGCCGCAATTCTATCGCTGTGCTGCGCTAGTTTGAAAGTAGTGAGCCCCTTTCTAACACGGTTTTAGAGGGATACCAGCAGAGAAGCCCCGTTCTTGGCGGGCATGGTTTTCCAAGTGAGGAAACGCCTGATAGCTGTGTGAATCAACATCCAAAATATGCATCAGTCAGGTCACAGACCCAGCATTCGTCATGGCTTCTATCGCAATAGTGTTCTTAGTTTAGCGGCTAAAGTGTGATGTGTTGAATTGACGATCGCAGTGTCAAAAGTTGTCAGGCAGCCATACACATATCGAAAAACGTTTGATTAAGTAGGGCGCCCTTAAAATTGCCAAGTTCCCCTTGTTTTCTGAAAACCCCAAACAACGTCGCTTCCAACAGGATACACCTTTCTGGCACTTTCAGCCGAGACTTGCAATCCAGCAGGGCAAAGGCTCGCCCTGTGTTTACATATCGGCCTTGCAATTCGGCTGTTGAATTCTCCGGCCAATGCGGCATGGGCCACTAGTGCACGCCTCAGCCATGGCTTTGTGTCGAAATCAGCTGTTCATGTATGGTAGATATGAATAACATGTTGTGTACAGTTTGTCGCGGTGTGGTCTCGAATGCATGGGTGAATTCGATGCTACTTGCCAAGCGCTTGGTTTTGCCATCCAGGTTAGATAGAAATGGGGTAGAATTTCTTCCCAGCAGCATGAGAGCATGTCGGTTTTTTTCCGAATCAAGTTTTCGGTCGGCATTGCAATGAAGCCCGTCGGACTTGGCTTTCGGGTTCTTTGTGAAGCTCCACCCATCCCCAGATCCAACGAGGCCGGTTCTAAGGACATGACTTTGCATGAAGTGGGAGTGCCTAGCGCAGGAGCGGGGGTTTTTCTTGCTCCGTGCGAGGCATGCGTGCTTTCTCAACGTGCCGGTCCTTATTTGTGATGGGATATGGTGTTTTTTTTTCCAAATGGGGGGCCCAACCCTGCAAAGGGTGCCAGAAAGACGACACCCATGTCAAGCTGAGGCGAACTCGTTGGCGATGCACGGGTTGGCTGTGGCAGGAAGGAAACGCTGATGCCCGGGATCCGGGCGATGGCGATATGGATGTTTGTTGTGTTAGGTTAGAATAGTTTCTTGGTGGCTCAGCCAGCCATCCGGTTCCTTAGCCTTTTAGCCTTTTAAAAGGAGGCGCCTGGCTTGAAACAAGGTCATCTCTGATGACGGGTATAGCTCAGGAGACATTCGTTAAAACGGGTCGATACTCCAAAAGGTCTGCAAGGCCTTCTGGGCATGTCTTGTTCGGGGCCAGGCGCTAACCTCAAGGGGCGAAACAAATGAGAGCTGAGTTAGGTACTTGTATCACCCACTCAACCCTCTTCTCACTCCTTCTCAACTCCACCTTCCCAATGCGGCGCAGGGCCGGAGCTGCCCCTCTATTTAGACACCCAGTCTAGGGAATCCTTGGATGGGTTTGCAGGGAAGCCAAAAGGAAGCAGCCAAGCTTTAGGTCAGACAAAAAGCTGGGGCACATGTTTCTGGAGGTGGCAAAGGTATGAGCTTGAATGTCTTTGGCGAGAAAAATGACTAGCGGGGCCAAAGCCCCAGGAACAATATAGGGATTTTGAGAGGCTCCCAACCATCTCCGGTGCACGCCGAAGCCCCTTCAATCCAGTCAAGTGCTTCGCTGGCCTTAAGCCTTGGCCATGCTGGCGTGGATGCGTTGGTGGAAGGGGGAGGGGGAGCAGGTAGACCCTCAGCAGCAGAACTGCAAGCACATGACGCGGGTGCTACGCAACTTTGTGGAAGCAGGCAACCTGGACAGGTTGACGAAGTTTGCCCCAGCAAAGTATGACTGGGCCCACAGCTACAACCAGAGAGAAGCCCCTTTGCTACACGCCGCCATTGCAGCGCCATTCTGTCGGACAAATCGTGAGGGCGAGATCGGAGATTGGAAGCCACATGTGGCAATACTTCAGTGGATGTTGCGTTCTGGGGCAGATCCGCAGCGTCCAGCGCCGTCTGATTGTGACGGCGCAGTCCGGATTCCGGGCTTCGATGCCGTGAACTACAGAAACCATTCAGCTATCTCGTTGGCGGTTGAGCTGCTCACAAAAGTCGAAGACGACTTAGATGACTGGGATGTCCGGAACTGGACGTTCCGGGACTATTTGGACGCAGTTGTGTGGTGCATTGAGACCAACTGGACGGGCGCAATGCGCCCAGAGCTTGGAGAGTATGAGCCGACTCCCTCGAGCCCTTCTGACCAGATGCAGCGATGCCAACACATGACACAAGCACTACGGGCCTTCATCCAGCACGCAGACCTGGAAAGCCTGATCAAGTTTACCCCTGCAAAGTATGACTGGGCTTATAGCTACCACAAGGGCCAGCTGCCTTTGCTGCACATTGCTGTTCTGGCGCCCTTCTTAGAAACATATGTGAGATCATTTAACACGCAGCAGAAAATCGTTTCCTGGGTTTTGAGTTTTGATGTGGATCCTCAGCGGCCGGCGCCTGCTGCTTGTGAAAAGCTTCAGTTCTCAACCGAATATGAATATGATGTCAAGATACAAGTTGAATGCAGCGGAACCTCCGCCATCTCGATGGCAATTGCTGTACTCACACAATTCAAGGATACAGTTCGAGCTTACCCCCACGAGATTACCCCCAGCATTAAGCTGGACGTGGTGCCTTATTTGAACACAGTCTTGTCACTCATGGCCAGGAGGCTCTCGAAGCCGTCCATGGTTCCAGTGGACACGAGCTTGATTTGCCGGTGGAAGCTCATGCAAGATATGAGTGAAACTCATGACGCGACGTTCGAAACAGCAGATGGCACTGTCACGTGCCATAGCAGCATCCTGGGAGCTGCATCTACCGCTTTGCGGGCCATGATGACTTCCAAGTTCAAGGAATTTGCCGACAAAGGCATTGAAGTGAAGTCTTCCAAGGCTGCCGTGGTGCTCTTCCTGGACATTCTGTACACTGGCTCCGCTCGCCAGGAGCCGGACTACAAGACAGTCTTGGACGCTTTGAATTTATCTCATTGCTGGGACGTGCAGGGTGCCGTGCAAGTCCTGTCAGAAACTATGCGACCAGATTAGCGTGGAGTCCTTCTCAGAGATTTCCAATGCTGCTGCTCTTCAAGGTTCAGAGACTCTGCAGCGGGAGTGTGCTGCCTTCGCAGCCAGGAGCTCCAACGTGGAGACGGCATCGCTGTCCCCAGCAGCTCTGAACATGATGGGCTTCCTTCCTCACGGGCGTGCTTCATGATCAAAATCATTTCGGGCTCTCAAGGACATGTGAGCAGAGCTGCCAGAACCGAAATCCGTTTGTCGCCCTAAACTTACGTCTATCAAAGCCAGGGGCCAACGAATGTAATGTGTTTTTTCCTGGGCAGTACTGGTAACTGGATGGAATTTCGGCCGAGAAGTATAGGAAAAAAGTCTAGGGGCGCTAGGTGGTGCGACAAAGGAGATCTGTTTTCTCAAGACAGCGCTGCGACGCAGCTTGGCGCTTCGAAACGAAACCCACAAGTCCTTGGGTCCCAATGCTGGACTCTTTTCTCATATCCATTGCAGGGGCCGCTATGGAGGGGGGGAAGGTTTGGATCCCACTTCAACATGGGCAGAAAAAAAATGATGAAGAAGAAAAACAGTAGTTGTTGTTGTTGTCGTTTTTTCTCTTCTTCTTCTTTTTCCGGTGACTAACATGGGAACGATATGGGAAAAATTGAACATCTAGAAACCCGCAGTCAACTCGTGCCAGTTTCCCTTGAAGCGGCATGTAGAAGCGTGGTGTTGAACATGATTTGTCAAATCCGTTGGGCTGATGTGTTGGTTTTGTTGTTAGTACTGATTAAAGTTTACCTCATGTTTCCCGTTACCGACCTGCAGGGAGGGCATGATCTTGAGAATGATCAAATCTCCCTTTGGAACAAGTAATACCCGAGGCGAATTATTACGGTTTCTAGTGTGTCTTGTTGCGCTGTCCCAAAGCAATGCACAAATGCCCTTACGAGGGAATGGCTACGAATTTTCATAGGGCAACCCCTCCCAAATGGTTATCGGATATAAGTCTAATTGTCTATAGCTGCTATGTTGAATCTTGAAAATAATCCCACTTAATATAAACATTGTTGTTTCGCTTTTTTTGCCCTTTACATGGGTAGATTGTGTTTGTCCAGTTTTGAGCATTCCGAAGTAGTTGATCTCGAAATCTACGGCTAAGGTCGCCTGAAAACGGCGTGAAGCGGCGCGGAATCGAGGCTGGTGCTGTTGATGCGCCGGAAAGGAGTTATTAAGATATTTGAGAATATATATTGAGAGGATTATTATTTAAGATACTTAGTCGAATTTATGTGTATATATATATATTAGGATGACCAAATGTCTTTATGTTTTTGTTGGTGGGGTTGAGTATTGATATATGTATGTACATTTTTATTCGTTGTTATGGTGTTCTGGTTGTGGAAGATTGTGGAAGGGCGAATATGGTTTGAAATAATATACCGAATATAATTTTAAAATATTATTTAAATTTAAATATACAAAATATAATAAATTGAATTAATTTTAAAATATATTATTATAGAAATATGTAAATATTATTAAAATAAAAATAATTTTAATTTATATAGTATATATATGTAATTATTATATAATATAGACACATAAATTTAAAAAACAGAAAGATGATTAGGAGAGAAATTATATAATATGAAGAGGTTAAAGAGGACATTGATATTTGTTTTACATTTAATATAAATAATATATAATTTTGATTTATATAGCTTTATATGGAATGATAGATAATATTAATAGAAGAAAAACATATGAGATTTATTTATTATTATTATTTATAAATTATTTGTATCTCTTTTTTTTTTTCCCCCAAAAAAAAAAATATTTTGTTATTGAATTTTAATAATGAATAAATAGAATTCGGAATATGTTGTTTTTTTTAAATGAGATTTTGATTTTTTTGGAAATTGATGGGATGAATTTGGATGGGAGATATATTTGGAAATGTGGGTTTGTTTGATTTAGGAGAATTGTAGGCTAGGATGTTGCATTTCTTATGTGTTTCTTATATTTTTTGTATATGTATTGTAGATTAGATTTATTTGTATGGATTGTTGTTGTATTTTTGTATTTTTGTATTGATATTTTTTATTTTATTTTGTTTAATAATTTTAATATATATTTATTTTTTTAATAATTTTTTTTATATTTGATATTGGTGTTTTGTTTTTTTTGTTTTTCTTAATCTCTTTTTGGATGTTTATTGTTTTATATGTTTTTTAATATTTTGTGTTGTTTTTCGTTGAATTCTGATGGGTTCTTGCCGCAGATCCAAAATGATTAGTTTAGATTAATTCTTAATTCTTATTTGGAATTAATATTATTATAAGATGAATTGGCGTTATCTTCCGATTTATTTATATATATATATATATTTAATTGGATATTGTTATATTTATTATATATGAGATGATTTGATTAGTTGTTTATCTATATATTTCTACTTATTTATTTCTGTATGTATTTGTTAGGTTGTAATTTCTTGCTTGATTTGATTTATTTTTTGTTTCCCTCTGTATTTCCATTTATCGTATTTGTTTCCTCGTGTATTTATCGGGCTAATTATTATTACGAAATCTGATTAAATCAGATGTTGTAATTATTTCCTTATTTGTTGCCTTATGTATTTGTTCACCAATTAATTATTTTAATCATTACCTATTTCCATATATATTTATTAGGAAAGATATTATTAAAATATAATCTGGTGTATCTCCTTATTTATGTCTTTATATATTTATTAGGATGAATTATATTTATGATTTAACTCGGTCATTTCTTTATCTTTCCATTTGCTTCCTCGTGCATTTGCAGGACTAAATGTTATTACGAGATGGATGGATTATTAATCCCATTTTCCTATAATATATATTAGGCTAGATTCTCATAAAAATAATCTGGCTCGGGTAACTCTTGCTTTTTGTATCTATCTCCCCGTTTATTTCCTCCTATGTCTTACAAAGCTAAATATTGCTACGAAATGTCTAGCTCGAACAGCCTTTTTGGCTCCGTATTTCTTAGATTCGATATTATTATAAAATAATATAATTCTATTAATTTCCCTTCTTCTTATTTTATATTCCTATTTTTCCTTATCCTATACGTTTCGCACAATAATATTCCATCCGCACGCCCATTTAGATTTATCTATTCCTATATTTATTATTTAATGCAATCGTTAGGTTAGATATTAATACAACAAATCGATGTATATTCCTTTTATGTCTTTTTATTTATATGGTCTAAATATTGTTATAAAATGATTATATATATTTTTATTTCTTTAGATATTTACAAGATTGGATATTATAACAAAATGGATTAATTTAATTAACCTTTATTTTTTTATTTAATTCTTCGTATATTTATTTAAATATGAGTATGAGAATTAGTCTAATTTAGCCTTTTATGTATTTTTCTATTTGTTGTCTTATATGTTTGTTAGTTATTCAGATTTTTGTTTCCCCATTAGTCTCGGTCGGTTGTGTGTCCTTTTATTTGTTTTTATTTATCGTTATATTTGTTTCCTTATGCGTTTGCTAAAATATCTACTATCGTAAGATAATCTAATTCGATCAGCTCGCTTAGTTCTATATATTATTACGATATAATCTAGTTCGGTTAATTCGTTTACTTCTATTTATTGGTATATGGGCTTTTTGTTTTACTAGGCTAAATATTATTATGAGAGGGTCTAGCTCGATCGTTTGTTTAACGTTTTATTGGTCAATATATTTGCTTCCTCATATATTTCTTTCTCTAGATATTATAATAAAATAATCTAACTCAATTAATATTTTATTTTATCATTATTATGTTTATTAAGCTAAACATTGCCATAGTCTGGCTTTGTCTCCATTTGTCTTCCCATCTGTTTCTTTATACAATTACTAGTCTAAATATTATCGTGAAATAATCTAATTCGCTCAACTCCGTACGCTCCACGCATCTCCAAACCCGCCTTTACAGCAATCTCTCGGTTTCTCCGCGCGCCCAGGCTCTTTTCCCAATTTGCGCGCTTTGCGCCATCCCTTCCTCGCGCCCTGCATATATTCCCTTCCCTTTCCCATATATTCCATGCGTTCCGATTCCCGTGTTAGATTCCCATGTATTTAGCACGTTTATGTTACCTTATGATATTATCTCTCCTCATGTTTCTTCATATATTAAATATTCAAGGCTAATAAGGCCTTTTATAGGAAAACGCCCTGCCGTGCTATATTAGATTAGGTTTGCTTACATTATTTGGGGTTTTCGATAATCTAATTTATTTATTCTGGGCCAAAAAATAAATTCCAATTTTGTTAATAACATAATGCCACTACGAATATCGAATTTTGGTTTAGAGTATTTAAGATTCTCGATTTTCCGGGTCGATAAGAAAGAATATATAGTGTGGATTTTATATAGTGTGGATTTTCAATACCGATATGATTAATAATAATTTGTAATCAATATAAATAATAATAATTATTTTAGAGCATTAATATTATATTAATAATACTATAATTTCCAATATAATATTAATTTAGAATATATTAATCCAATTTTATTTAGAAAGTTATCATTAATAAAAGATATTTTCATATTTAAATATTTTATTTATTATATTATAAAATATTATTAAAATACCTTATATAATTTATCAAATTTATAAAAAGTAGAATCATTTTGCCCAAGAATTCTAATCAAACATATATTTTCGGCAAATTTATTAAAAATACATATATAATAATAAATTCCTTACCTATTTATTAAATGTTCGATTATTATTATAATATATTTATTATTCCCATTATTTAAAATATAAAATATTTATAATCATTTAATTATTATTATATGTTTTCTTTTTTATTATAATTTCCCCATCATTTAAAATATTTTTCCATATATCTTAAAATAATTATAAAAAAAATAAAATAAAAAAAATAATTCAAATATAATATATATATATTATTATAATTAAATATAATAAATAATAATAAATAATATATAATATAATTTAATTTTAATATTTAAATATAAAATATAATGTCTTATTATATAAATCCATTATAATAATAAAAAATAGTAAATTAATATCAATAATAATAGTATATATAAAATTATAATAATTATAAAAAATAATATTAAAATCAAATTTAATATTCATAATAATAAATTAGAATATAATATATAAATACCTAAATAATTCCAATTTCAGTATAAATTAAACAGCAAGAATTAAATATAAACAACCAATTTTGCAATCTTTCGGCATTTCTTGTAATGTTTTGGGCTGAAATAATTGATAAAATCATTTTTTCTGCATTTCAGCCCCTCACCTTGCTTATGCAAGGAGAAGCTTCAGCTAGCTAAAGCTAGCTTTCGTGATCAGCAAGTGTCAGGCCGTTCGTACAAGGGCGGCTGAGTGGGGCACTTCTCTTGCCTTGGCGAGAAACTCAGATTCAATTCTCGGACCAAAAAAGCTATGCGTTCCCCAAACCTTCCAAACGTAGGACAGCTCGAATTTGTTTCCGAGGTGCATGTGTCTGTACATAGACCTCTGACCCACCTTCGGCAGGTGCATCTCGTAGTCACCAGTCCTTGAAGCAATGCTTTGCCCTTCCGGGCCTTGCAGAAGCCCGCAAAAGAAATTGAGCCAGGGACTCACTGCCCCGCATGCCTTTCTCGCTGATCTTACTTAAAAAAAGAACGAGTCTTGCGCATGTTCCGGCAACATGTCGGACATTTTCTCTCAGGGTCAAGGCAACTCGTGCGCCTTCGGCCACTTCGGTGGTGCACTGTCAGCATCGTGGCAAGTTCTGGACAGGTGACTCTATCTACCCCATGGAAGGTGGTAGAATTGGTTTCGGCGAATTGCGAACATGAAAGCAGGACCCTTTTCTGTCTTGTGGCGTTCCTTGGCCCTTGCCTCTAATGATCTGAACCGCCTTAGTGCATTCCCAGAGGCAGCTGGCACAGCGTGTTGTTCGGATCTGCAGCAATGCAGGCGGCCGCTCGCTTCTTTGGTGCCTCCAGGACATTGAGGCCGTAGATGTCCTGAGTTGCTCTCTCTGGCGAAGCACTCACTGCATGCATCCACACATGATGACTGGTATGCATGCAAACATCGAACGTGACTCTGAAGTGCGGTACAGTCTGGTATGACAAAGGTTAATCCAGCCAGCACATACCGAGACAAAAATACAACCCGGCTCAGAAAAAGGAATGGCCTCGGACAATGCAACGCACGTTGGAGAGGCCAGTATGCTGGTATTCAAAAGCCAAAGGAAACAACATGTTCTCGGGCTGTCAGCCTTCATTCCTTCCGAAGAATAATTGCCCAGGCGAGCAGCGATATTCGTCTGCTCCGTGCAGCCTTGGCGCTCTCTCAAAAAGACGCGGCTTGCCCCGAGATGCCCAAAAGATATGGATGCCTCTCGAAAGAATATGAAGTGATGCCTGTGTTACCCTCAGCGGCAGCTCCTATCTGCCCGGAAGCTTCAGCTGCTCTATGGGGGGGGGGGGGGGGGGAAAAACAGGCGAGAAAACTACAGAGGCCGCCTTGCCAAGGTGCTGAAATCATTTTCGATCTCCTTGAAGATGCCGGCTGCTTTCCAAACATTGCAAACAAACACGTCGCATACCTTGGCCACGTCAACGCTAAATACATGCCAGCCTCTGACGATTGACATGGGCCAGAGATCCGGACTGGCAAGTAAAATCAAACTGTCAATGGGGAAAGACTCCCAGCTATTGCTCGGCTGCAAAACGGAAAATTCTGTGCCAACATGCCTGCTATCCAAGGTCGACTGGTTGAAAAACACGGTAGCATTCTAAACCACCTGGCCTGAGTGATGACCAACAGCAGCAGACGCGACATGTACATGCAAGCCATGGGGCCATTGCAATCGAGGGCGCCCGCGTGCCGTTGTTGAAGACCGATGGGTACAGCACGCCATCCTGCGGCGCCACAAAAAATGAGCCAACGACTTTGCTCAGAGGTGACCTTTGCCAAGAAAGAGAATCATGAATCCACTTTCTGCATACCGCGCTTGCAGCCCCTGCTGCTAACTTTCAGTGCGACGCTGCGAAAGGAGCAACAAACGACCGGAATGCCCGGTGCCTGTTCTGGTACGGCCGGAATGGATGCCAGCCTTGGCGCGGGCCATGGATTCAAGCGCAATCAGCACTGGGAGCGGCAGTCTCAGGCCGTCGTTTTATGAGCCGCCCTCCGGACTCCAGTTCGGCAGTTCGGTCATCCGAGCGCTGGCATTTCTGGCGAAAGGTTTCACAGATTATTATCTGCAAACAAGGCACGCCATGCCTTTCGACATTGCCTCTTTGTACAGCGCCGTTCCCGAGAGGTTGCTGTAAGAAGACCCTGTCACGTGCTGATTCCTCAGCTGACTCTGAAGCCAGTCAGCCAGTGCAAGAAATGCGGTGCCAAGCTGACGCCTACAAGTCAAATGGGCCACAATCAAAACCCGGTATTAAAATGGTGAACCCAGAACCATGTAAAGAACTAAGAAGGCTGGGATTGGGCCTTACTAACCTTCATCTACCCGGGTTTTGATCGTGGCTCAAATGCATTTGAGTTGTGAGCATAGGTGTCCTTTTTGGGAAAATAGATGGCCATGGTAGTTGATTGAACCAGGTAAACCAGTGCCCTCTATTTTTTTAACCCACCAAAAAGGACACCTATGGTTGTGAGAGGGCCCATTTCCAAACCCGAGGCGCCAGGACAGCAAGAACGGCTTCTCCAATCGGGGAATGTATCGCGTCACGATAGGCATGGCCACCTGGCGGTGGGATAGTGCTGACGAAGGGTTCTTGCAACACGGCCCTGTCCACTTCTCTCAATCAGAGCAACTCGCCTGGGCCCTGATTCATGACATGCCCTCACGATAGCTGGAAATGTACACAAATAAATCCTACTTTCTAAGACGGAGACTTTCCAATCCAGTGTAATAAATTGGAGCACAAATGCATGAGCACGCGCAATGCCGCTCGGAAGGAGGTAACAGCTCGGAGCCTCAAGGAGCTCCCACGAGAGGCACTGCTTGTCGGTGGCATCATAGGGCGGAATGCACCTGATGTCTGTGCAAACCTGGCGCCTCCCCTGTTGCCGGCAAGCGCCGATGGCTAGCGCAGACACATCATCTCACTGGGCCGCGATGTTCGATGATTTCGCCACCAGGCAGCTTTGACGGCAAAGGATTCTACCATAGCCTCCCCACCAAGAAATTGGATATGTATACATTGTTAGATTCATTTTTACATGCTGAGGGCGGCACGGATAATTGTCATGGAGGGTATCAATCCAGCCTGTGACCAGGGTGTGGTAGCCGTACTCCAAGCCTCCACCAGAATCATTGCATGTTTCCTCTGGATGGTTTCTTCTCTTTGCCGATCATTCAATGGACTCTCACTAAATCTCAGCCTTCCCAGAAGAAGGAAAATCACGAGTCAAAGCACCACAAAGTGAAGCTCGTCTGTAGTTCGTTATCGACACAACTGAAGTTTCTGAAGGGTCCCACTCTGCAAAAGGTCAAACTCCCGGCTTCAGACATCCCCGTAGCAGGCATCAAGGCATCCCGTGCATGGCTTGTGGGTGGCGAAATTTCGATTACCAACGCAGCCGCCTTCCATACAAAAACGAGACAGGCGCGCCTTGATATTTGTGGAAGAATGCATTGGCAGCACCTCAGGCAGGGAGCTCTCCGCCCAACGTCATTTGGCAAGGTTGCACACTGCGGCTGCGAATGTGTCTTGGGAAGCCTTGAGGCTTCCAATACAGGACTTCCCCAGCACGAGGCGCGCTCATCAAACATCTTGCCTTGGCGGGCCCCAGAAATCAAAACTGCTGGAGTGCAAGTCCGAATTCAGCAAGCGCGATCTAGTGAAAAGGCGAACAAGGAGAACCCAGAATCGTATGAAACAACATGCTCAATGGTAAGCTGGACAACCCTCTACAGTATCTCACTCAAAATAGATGGCCGTGAATGTCGAAGGAGATCTTCCGGCAATAGCGGCTCAGCACAACCGCCTACAGAGATCCCAAAACAAAACGCATCAACTCCTCAAATGGGTATGGGCCTGGGTCAGAATTAAACCACCAGGGGACCACAGGCTTTGGTCCATGTTGCCACTTACCAGGGTTGCCATTTTGGGGTAACCCTAGTTTTGACCCACAGCCAAATGGCGAGCAATTGCATGCTCTCTTCTTGTGATTGTGAAGCCCAGCCAGCCCAGCCAGCCCAGCCCGGCTCCAGCTGTTGGGGGCTGAGCAGCGATACTCCTCCTTCAGGGGAACATGCACCACGGAGAGTCCGGCAGCTCTGGCCTGTCCCAACGAAGCACTCTCTGCCTCTGTCCCAATGCTTGGCAAAACTGGTCTTCCACCTCGCCAAGCAGGTTTTTAAGCACGCGCCGTTTCACCCATGTTCAGGGAACAAGCACATTCATCCCATCACCTTTCAGGCAAAGGTTTTGTCTTAGTGGACCTGGTATTGCGAGTCTCAGGCAAACTGCAACGAGCATTGCCACGGGCACTGCGACTGAACCATCCACACAGCCAGCCCCTTCCGCTGTCCATGTCATGCCAGCCTGGTCAATCCACTGCCGATAGGGTGTACGTTGGATTCCGTTGGTTGGCCTCAAGGCCACGCAAACAGCCCGGCATCAATATCTGTGTTGCGGATGAACCCTTCTTTCTTGTCTTCCTGTACTCTCAGCAAAATCCAAGCTGTAACAGCTTGCTAACTCGTGGTTGTTCCCAATAATGATGGTGAAACCGCACTCGCTGACGCCAGTGTAATCAAGGCGCAACATAGGATGAGATGACAGCTCCTTCACAACCTCAAAACCTTTCCACAAACAAGATTGTGATCTTGTCGAAAGCAAGTGACGACCTTCTGAATCGGCCACAACTATGGCCATCAGCACGGACTTCCGGCTACATTCCCAAAGACGCACGAAACGAGCCGAAGGCGAGACATGGGGCGAGGCTTGGACGGAGCACTGATACCCCTTCATAGCTCGAATCTGCAACATTGCCCAATGCTGGCTTTCCCACACTCCACGTGCAGCAATCTAGGACACACAAGGGGGAAGTGTCCAAAAAGGCTGTCAATTTCTTGGTGAGGGATTGTCGGACATCCATGACAATTGGGATACGTCCGATTTTTGGTGGCATGGTTTAAGAACAACAACCTTCGTGTCAGCAAGATCCAAAGCTTGCGACAAGCCGCCAATACGAACTATTGGTCGTGCTCTCCGCCACATAGAGCTGGCCGTCCTGCTATTTTAGAGGGCTGCAATAAATGCTGCTTCTCGATTGATGTTCTGGAATGTGACTCTACATCCGTGGCCGCTCCTGGGAATTTACACGGGCGACGAAAAATACAAGCCGTCACCATCCGACCCAGTCGCCCCAGCTTGACTCTGGGTCGGATGCCTTGCGGCACGGCAATGGAGGCTCAACACTTCCCAGTGCTATTCTGAGCTCTTAGAGTATCTTCTATGCCACCATAGGTCATCCCCAATCTCATCCATCTCCGCTCCTTCACCTCAACTGATCCCCTCGATCCCAAGAAGACGTCAATATCCGCCAGTGTCCTGTCCCCCAAAACACGCAAGGCGCCTTTGGCAAAGTGTTGCCCTCTTTCCCCCCTTGCCCAGCCCATCCCTTCCCGCCATGCACAACTAAAGATCTACACCCCAAACCCCAAGAACCCCCCCCCCCGTCCCCCCACCCTGTCCCCCTCCTCCCACAGGGCCACGGTGGTGTGCCCAGTGTGGGAGCCCATGCCGAAGGCCAGCATCGGGTCGAGGCCGTCCAGGCGGATGACCCCAAAGAAGTCCCCCGAGGCGATCTCCGACTCGTTCAGCAGCAGCGTGCCCGGGTCCCGGCGCTTCCTGAAATCTGAAGAAAAAGAAGAAGAAAAGAAAAACGCCAACCAGCCGCGTGAAACGAACCGGCTTTCTTATGATCTTCTTTTTAGTAATGCCTGGTTTGTTTGGAGGATTTGGAAATTTTTGTTGTACCTCTCTTTCAAGTGGTATATCCTAGAGTCAATATTATTTCTATCATAATTATTTTACTTTAATATCTTTTCCTAATCCTTTCTTTAACCTCAGAATCTGGAGGTGGCACAGGACTATGCACTTCTCTTAAGACAAATGAACCTGCCAAGGTCATTCAAAAGGCTCGTAAGAAAATAAAGATCCGCTCAAACAGAATAGTTTTAGATGTCCCTCCAAACCTGGGCACTGAGTGAAAGGAAGGGCAGCCGTGAATGCTGGAGCCTAGCGGGCCCCACAAAGGACATGAGCAAAATTAACAAAATTCCCCGAGTCGAGTGAGTGCCAAATGGGCCACAGCGGAAATATTGACGGAAACCCGGCCCTTTCGCCTCATGAGGTTGCAAGCCGAGCCCCCCCAAGAAAAAAGTGCGGGCAGGCGTCTTCATGTCAATGCCCACATAATCGCGCAGGAACTTCAGATTCCGCTGCGCGATCAAGGAAGGGACACCTGAAGCGCAAAGCGCCATAACTCGGACCCAAGACGCCAAAACGCCACGACTGCACTCGGGCCTTCGAGCAATGCAGATCTTTAGTGATCTCGAGCTGTTTGTTGCCAAATAAAGAACCTTCCTGGAGACCTTTAGGGATCTTTTTGTTGCCAAAAAACTGGAGGACGATTGGCCCGAAAGCATTTTCCCCAAGCGCTCTTCCAGCCGCGGAGACCTTTTTACATCGATGCGGCAAGCGCGTCTGCACGCGGCGATGCTCAATGTGTATTGTCACATGAGAGCTCTCGTCCTACGAGAGGCAACATGGCAGTGTCTGCGCAAGCTGCATTGTTCCAGGCTGCTGCGCGCAAGCACCTCCACAGCTCAGCTCAGGCTGAGCATCTTGCGCACTATACGTCTCCGCTTCAGGGTTGCGATTTTCCGGTCGGAGCCGCCAGGAGTACACTCCACATACTACGGCTTCTTTGCTTGAGCCGGAGCCGCCGCGGACAAGGGGGAATCGAAACCCGCGACTGCCCGATTGCGAAAGCAGGCGCGCAAACCACGAGACAACTTCCAAAGGCCATTTCGCAAGTAATAAAATCGCACCACAGCGAGAGCGCTTCGACACACGATGCCCGCAGAGGGTTCATCCGCGCGCCGCAAAAACGCAAAAAACATCCACGCCGATCCCCGCAGAGGGTCGCGCGGGCAGATCAGAAATCGGAAAAAACCTCGAGTTTTTGTACCTCAACCACGCCGATCCCCGCAGAGGGTTCATCCGAACGCAAAAAAACACCAAAACTCGAGTTTTTGCTCCTCGACCACGCCGATCCCCGCAGAGGTTTCATCCGCGCACCGCCAAAACGCAAAAAACCTCGAGTTTTTGTGCCTCGACAGAGGGTCGCGCTGGCACCGCAAGAATCGTACCTCGACCACGCCGATCCCCGCAGAGGGTCGGGCACCGCAAGAATCGCAAAAAACCTGTTTTTGCACCTCGACCACGCCGCTCCCCGCTGAGGGTCGTAATCCCGATCGACGATCAAAGTCGTGCCCCGGCGCCCTAGAAAGCTAAACTTAACTTAAGCGCTATGCACTTGGCTCTACGCACTTGGCTCTATGCACTTGGCTCTATGCACTTGGCTCTATGCACTCGGCTCTATGCACTCGGCTCCATGCACTTGGCTCTATGCACGCGGCTCTACGCACTCGGCTCTGTGCACTCGGCTCTATGCACTTGGCTCTATGCACTTGGCTCTATGCACTTGGCTCTATGCACTTGGCTCTATGCACTTGGCTCTATGCACGGCTCTATGCACTTGGCTCCATGCACTTGGCTCTATGCACGCGGCTCTACGCACTCGCTCTATGCACTCGGCTCTATGCACTTGGCTCTCTGCACTTGGCTCTATTTGCACTTGGCTCTATTTGCACTTGGCTCTATGCACTTGGCTCTATGCACTTGGCTCTATGCACTTGGCTCTATGCACTTGGCTCTATGCACTTGGCTCCATGCACTTGGCTCTATGTATTTGACTCTGTGCAAGTGACTCTATGCAAGTTGGTCCGACAGCTCCGTGCGGAAGAACCCTTCGCGATGCTTTCGGGAAAAAGAACCTTCCTGCATTTGAGACAGAGAGCCCTTGGTCTTCTCCGGCACGAAGAGCAGCGCCGTCTCCAGGAGGTTGCGCACCGTGGCCAGGCTGCTCTCGTGGAACATGAAGATCCGCATGCCCAAGGTGTCCACGTCCCAGGTTTGGGCATCTGTCAACCTGAGAGAAAAACCCGCAAAGGGGAAGGGGGGGGGAGAGGCGGCCGGTTTTCCCCACCCCAAGCATGTTGTTTGACGTCAATTTTAGCTTTTGGTGCCTCCAACCAAAACAGGTTGGAGGTGGAAAAAAGGTCCCCGAGAGAGACGCCTAGTCAGCTCCTGTGCTTTCTATGGTCTCAACTGAGCTACGGGCGTATCGGATTTGAAGGTGAAGCTCTTAGTGCCGCCGATGGGAGCTGGGAAAGATCCCACGTGGAAGTGCGACGCGGTGAAAAGACCAAACATCTCTTCACAAAGCCTTAGCTATGATTGCTGCAGTTGGCTGTGGCTCAAAAAACCCGGTACCAAAATGGAACCCTGGTAAGTGGAAACATGGACCAACACCTGCGCAACCCCTCCTGTTTAATTTTGAGCCACACCCATTTCGCTGCGCTTGGTATGCTGCTCCATACGCGACCGAGAACAAGATGAAACAACCATGCGACTCACAAACGATAGGCTGAGAAAACTGCTGAACCCGCAATGCCAGGTCTATGCAAACATTTCATTTGGCAAAGACTTGCTTCCATCTTTTGCCTACACAGTCGTCTGGTCCAAGGCTCCATTCCGTCGACTTCGCCACCTTGACCTCCAGAGTCCACTGCCCATCTTTCTTCTCCACAGTTGCCGTCACCTGGAACAGTAATGGGCTGGCTGGGTCCCGGTTACGGGCAGGTTGGCGGGGGGGGGGGGGGCATCTTTGGGCCTGATGCAACGGGGGAAAACCTGGCCGGACTGATCTGTTTGTAGCAAGCACTGCATCGAACGGTCGAACACTAGGCCTCCAAACCTGCGTTGCCAAGACATAAGAAGCAACACTGTCTCAAGACACAAGAAGCAGCACTGTCTCAAGACATAAGAAGCAGCACTGTCTCAACAGGCAATGCAATGCCCGTATTAAGAACATGTTCACAAAGGCTGCGGCACGGTCTCACAGACCCCGGGACGCTCTGCAGGAACTGGCCCATAAAACGCGCCGTTGGTTTCCCGGCACAACTCTTCACCAAAAAATGACCAGTTCGCCTCCTTCCAGCACCGCGAGGACCAGCTCATCGTCTTCCCAGGCAGTACGCGCCCGACAAACTTCCTGGCAAATGGCATGGCACATTTCTAGGTGGGAAAAGCAAAGAAGAGAAAAAGGGATGGAAAGAGATAGGAGAGGAACCGGAAGGGTTAATAAGATATGATTCACCATGAAGGGCCGCCTTGTTGAACATGACCAACATGACCCACAACCTCACCGTCCCGGATATCTCATGCGGGAGAATTCTACCGGGGGCCATCTCACACGGGACTGCCGGGCATTCTACAAGCAAAGGGTCTCCACCGACGAAACCTCAAATTCCATCTCCGCGAAGCCCGCTCATGCCAGCTCCAGGACCAACTCTATGAGACCAAATAGTTCTGTGGAATGGGGCCAATCAATGATCACTATTTTCGCTGATCTGTGCAGATTGCGAAAAGGGATTCAGTGTGCCTGTCAATTTACCATGGCTTGTGAAGGTGTTCTTGCCATGAGGGTGGCCGTAAATCTGCCGAAGCACGGCATGAAGGCGAAGGTGTTGTAGCCAGTCGAAGACTTGAGCCTCATTTCCAAGGTGTGGATCGGAAGTCCTGCGGAACGCTTGGGCTAGCCCAACATGGGGTGTTTCTCTGGCTGATTCTGTGTCGCGTCCTTTGAAAAGCCAGCAAAAGCAAGGGACGCATGGCCGTGGGTCAAACATAGGGTAACCCCAGAACGGGTTGCCCTGGTGAATGGTTTCCCTGCACTTGAAGCCGCGGATTACCCAATTCCTGGTGTGAAACAAATTGGCCCATCACATTTGCGTCTCCAGTGGCAACTCTTCGCTGTGCTCCGCCTGACGCGCCAATTCATCTCGGATGAGCTGCTCGCTGTAGGTGAGCTCTCCTGAGCGGAGTCCAAAGCCCCATGGCGGAGGTAAACCGTCCGAAACGCTTCGCAAGCCAACTTGATAGCTTCTTGAAGGGGACTCCCTCCAAAGCCCAGATGGCATCCCCATCTAAGCAACCCGACTCCATAGCTTCTGGAGCAAAAGTGTGGTGTGGTGACAGAATCCTCCCAAAAAAAAGCGCATACATGGCAGGCAAGGCACGCTTGGCCGACAAGTCGATACCCTCCACCTGGCGGTTTTGCCAGCATCTCACCAAACAGCAAGCCGCTTCGCAAGCAAGCCACAGATTTGTCAGGATCCCGAGCAAGCCCCGACCTGGGAGCGTGTCAGGGCCCAAAGTGACTGGGGTCTTGTGTGGCATGCCGTCTTCAGATATTGACCAGGTTTCTCCGGCAAACCTGGGGAAATAAGCATTGATGGATAGTATTTCCAGAATACGCGGAGCTCAGTTCCAAGGAGGCTACGATTGCAAACCAGACGGCTGGCTACGTGTCCGGGGCTGGGCATATCTCATAAAGGAAACAAGTATACAGAACTGGCGCCCATGCTGACCGCCAGTCATCTTCGCAGCCGGGCTGCCAGCCACGTGACATGAAAGTAGTGAAACATGGCACCTACTCAACGGCAGAGGGGACACCTATACAACATGCTGAGAAAAGGTGATGTTGCCGTCATGGTGTTTCGATAGTTGTCACGCTGCAAGCATGGAGGTTGATCAAACCGTCCATGTGGCGGTGGTCTGAGCCATCTTCAGCCCTGGCCCAGAGCCATTGAGCCACTCCAGACCGCGCCGATTTGGGCAGGGACCTCTTTCGCAAGGTCTATCACGGAGCCCTTTTGCAAGGGGCAATACACACAAGACCAAATGGCCTTCCCTTCCATATCTGAGCCAGAACGAGAATTTTTCAGATAACTCCCATGTGATTGTTCAACTGAATGCAGACGCTTTCTATACACCTGGCCTTCCATTCTTTTGCAATCATGCCCTAGGAAGGGTTTGGATGAGTCTTATGGGCTAAAGGTCTCCAAAGACAAGGACGTGCACGTCTGAGGGGTCGGATTTTCTGTCCCAGCGCCTCAGCAAGGTGCTCTGAGTAGTCCTTCACCACGGAGTCTGGGAGCACGTCCACTGCGAAGGCCAAAATTCGCAGGATCAAGCGTTCCTTGGGGAGAAGGTTTCACCGGCCGGGTCCTGCCACGTGGGCAGCAAAAGTTCAACATGTCTCGGCAACGGCTTTTCTTTGTGTAGGTTGGGTTTAGGTGCGTTTAGGGTGGGTTTAGGGTGTGTTTAGGGTAGGTTTAGGGTGGGCTCAGGGTGTGCTTAGGGTGTGGGTTTAGAGGGTGGGTTCAGGGCGGGAATGGGGTGGTTGCTTGCCTGCTTGCTTGCCTTGCCTTGCTTTGCTTGGATTGGCTTGCTTTGGATTCTCTACTTCGCTTGGCTTTGCTTGGATTGGATTGGCTTCGTTTGCTTGCTTGCGTGCGTGCTTGCTTGCTTGCCGCGTGGCAGTGGCAAAACAAGCACCTATCACAGAGGCTGATAAACAGTCCACCATTGCCTACAGCCTGCTGCAGCTGAGTACTTGAGAAGGCCTGCGCCTGCATAACCCATGGACTCACAAAAGCATGTGTATCACCTTGGGAGCGTTTGGCTTGATTGAAACTGGACGTTCAAACAAGGGGGGCTGACACGTTCTGCAGAACTCAATCCCCAAATGCTGCACTCTTGCAAGCCAAGCCACTTTCAGGTGAGATAACATGTGGCCGCTCGTGCTCGTGTCTGGCACCTCTAATCCAGCATTCGACATCCACCTCGCAGAATCTCAGAGGTGAGAACATGAACTTCCGGCTCTTTCACCCCTCGCTCACAGCCCATGCTATACCCCGACCCAAGGACAGTTTTGGCTTGGCATGAAGTCACTTCTGGGGGAACACGTCAGCGTAATGCTATGCGGCATGGAGGCACCTGGTGAAGTCATCCGGTCGCGAATCAATTGTGAAATCAACGTCGATGTTCGTCCACGCTACAGACAGACTCCTCGAGTGCTTCAGGTGTCTCGGATGTGGAAATCCAAAGCACCATAGGTGGCCTTTTCCAAAAATAGATGGCCCTGGTAAATGGAACAAACCCCATCTAAACCAGGGCCCTCCATTCTTTAAGCAAACCAACCAAAAAGGACGCCTATGCAAAGCACCCAATACTTCTGCACCCAAAGCCGATCTCTGACTTTGCAGCCCCATGACATTCCAAGTCGTACAGGTTTCGGTTCACCATCTAGGCGACTGGAGAATCAGCTGGCCATGCAAGCAATTTCACCAGTCTGGGGCACCTTTTCTGGCGGGCATTGGCTTGGAGAAATCTGCGGGGTGAGCGTGTTGCACCAAAACAACTCCTAGCAGTTCTCATGGAAAAAGTAAAAGCCTGAGATAACCTACCACTGATTCAGTCATCGGCAAGCGTCAAAAGGCGTCTGGGCCCAACTGGCCACAGCAGCAAGGACGAAGCACAAAGCGAGAGGAGTAGTGCAACAGCACCAGCGGTTGAACGGCGCCATGCCATGGCTCTATTGCAGAGACGTCTGGCACAAAAAAATCGGCCAGAACACTGCGGGCACGAGCAAAAACACACATGGCTGTGGCTCAAAAAACCGGTACCTAAAATGGAACCCTGGTAAGTGGAAACATGGACCAAAGCCCGCGTAACCCCTCCTGTTTAATTTCGAGCCACAGCCACATGTCGCCCAGCTCAAGCATGTGGAATAGAACCCGCAAACAGGCGGCCTGCATAAGGACCGTCCTCCGTTGGGGTTGGTCGTCACCAAGGCCAGATCCAAACGAGCCACAAAAAAACGAGTGCCCCTCTTCTTCGCGCCCACCTGGGCCAACTCCCTTGCAGATACTGTGGATGGACACAACCCTGCACCACCTAACAAACCCTCGCTGATGATTCCCCTGTAAATACCAACCAGCAATGGTTTCCCATGGCTTCAAAGTGCAGGATTTCGTCCATCCACAGTAGGATCGCTCTTTTGTCACCCCGCTCCCCCAGCGCCGCGCGGTGCAGGGCTCCCAGTGTCACAGCGCGCAGGCGTCGTTGCTTCAGGCCCTGCAAGAAGAGCTTTAGCGCCTCAGGCCGCGAAGTCCTTCCCATCGGTCCAAATGGAACTTGGCTCAGCTTGTGCCTTCCTTCCAAAGGACTCAAACAAAGGCAAACACAACCCTGCGAACCTGGTTCTGCATTCTAAAGAATCCCCCCCCCATGTTGCAACAATGCGGGCCGCCTTTAGACACGAGAAACTGAAGAGGCAGCTGGCTGTTCCGGCCGCCTACCATGCTTGCCACTGACATTACTTGCCACAGGCGCACCGCTTCGATGTTGCCCAACGCGGGACCGTTGGTTGTCTTGTCGCAGTTCCACCCTCTCGCAGTCTCTCCGTCTCACGCCTAGTTTCCCCCATCTCGCTAGTTCGCTTCCGTCCACCTGCCCCATCCCCATCCCTCCCCCACCTTCCCTCACCCGGAAAGCTCATCGCGGTCTTACAGCCCCATCCCGACCATGGGTCACGCAGCCCGTTGAATGGGCACCCGAACAACTCCGTTTCTCCAGTCCTGCCTCGTAGGTGTGCTGTCGGAAGCCTCTCTGAGGCATGTGCATGATGACAACCTGAGCCATGCATTCCAACGCGTCAGAAAGCGCGCAGGTGTGGCCAAAGCAGCCTGACCTCCACCGCGAAATTGATCAAAGCGATAGCAAGATACTCGCTTGACTACTCCAACCAGTTGGCCTTCTGAGAGAGTGTCATGAAGGTAAGCTCCTTCTCGGAACAAACAAACTTTAATTTCCTAGCCGACAAAGTGCATCCTCAAACCGTGTAGCCTCATTTCTGGATGCCTGACACATGCCCAAGCAGAGTCAACCAGTAAAAAAGCACAAGTCCTGAGTCCCGAATCAGAATACCCATTCCAACACAGTGAAAAGGAGTTGTATCCAAGAGGTTCGCCATGGCAGCCACAGTTGCAACCTAAAAAAGCTCGCGCCATCCGAGGATGGCAAAAAGACCTCTGCATTTCTGTCTTCACCTGCCGGTTCTGCCTAGAGGCTGATCCATCTTGCACCTGCCGTAGATAGACTGAGGCCACCCGCACAGGGTCTGGAAGGGCCCAGTCGTCCGCATAGCAGTCCTCAGTGGAAGGCCGTCCCGTCCCATTCGGACCATGGCGAATCAACAGTGAAGGGATGCCAAGGATGCAACTGGTGAAAATTTTGGCTTGTGCCCCAATGCTTCCCGACGTTTTCCGGGCAAGCAGCACATCATTCTGAAAGGTTGCCCCCCGAAATGTGGCTTGCCTCCCCCTGGAAAGCAAACCCTCCAAAACTTGCGAGAGCCCTCGCTCGGAACCCCTGACGGAGCCTGCGCGCATTGAAGCCATGTGCGTCTCAAATGCACATTGACTTTGGCATGTGCTTCTCTCGCAGGGGTTGCTCTAGGGACTCCGAGTGGTTCGATTTCTACCAGCGATCGACAGTGACCCCGAGAAACATCTATTAGACAGCAGTCTCAATCTGCACCCTCAGGACCTGGTAGCTGCTAAGGCTCGCCCAGGGCGTGCGACATATTCTTGACCTGGACCAGGACTGTTCCAGCTCAGCTTTTGTCTGGGAGAAGTTGTGAGGTTTTCTCGGAAAGGTGTGGTTGTTGGGCGCATGGAATACCTTGAAAAGCCAAGCTCGCATGGTTGAAAGTCTCTGTCGATTTTGGGATGACTAAAGTTCTCTGTCAGGAGGAATCTGACCTTCCACAGCTCGGTTCCCAACTACCTTGCTGGTGCCGGCTATGCAACCCGCGGAATGCTGTCGCACATTTGCTTCATCCAACACATGCTCGTGACACGCGCCATGCCTGAAAGGCAGAAGCAACTGGGCCAGAAGCAACTGGGCCCGAGGAGAATGTGATGAAAGCTACAACCCCGATTACCACACCTCCCCTGCTTGGCACAACGGCCCATGTCGCGTGCCCGCTCCAGCTGAAGCTGCCCTGAAGCGAGCCCTGCCCTTTCTTGGCTTACCCTCTTGAAATTGAAAAGGCCCAAGTGTTCTTGATGGCAAGTTGAATGGCAAGCCCTCCTTGCTCGCCAAGTTCGACTTTTTTGCAGGTGAAAAAATATTACTTCCCCCCCCCAAAAAAAAAGTTCCACTGTTACAAATAATTATAATCATTTCCCCCAAAAGTTGAAGGTTAAAGGTCCAAGCCACTAGCATTGGGTAACCTACCGCCTGCCCCACCTGGCCTGCAGCACCTGCGCCATCTCGGAGGTGAGCCGACCCTGGGGCGCCCGGAACCACCGGAACTGCGAGAGGTAGGGCGACAGCACAGCGTCCTCGCGGCGAAAGCGCTCGCGGTCCGAAAGCTGGCGCCGAGCTGGGCCGCTGGAAGGCTAAAGCGTGGAACATTTCACAAAGTTGGTGGAACAATTCAGCCTGGTGATGTGAAGGTTTGTTCCCAGGGTCACTTTGACACTTTCAAGGGGGATCCGTGGGCATCACAGAAAGTGGCCCTGAAACAGTATTTTGCACAGCCATGGCCCGGTTGGGGGAGGGGCTCCTCAAACATGTTCGGGCTTTGAAGCTTAGGATGTGCCAATTTTTCCGAGGTGTGGGATGGAATTACTTCTGCAAATCGAATTGGGAGAGAGTTGTTGAGAGAAACAAGTGACTGCCATCATTCCATGGGATTCTTGCCCTGAGACACGTCAACCACGTTCAACCCAGAGTCCGTCTCGTCCAGCGCTCTCTCGAAAGCTGGGGCGGGGAAGGAGGCATACTCCTTGTCCTGAGCCGATTGCAACTTGAGGTTTGCCGAAAGCTGATGCACTGTGGCAGGACGGGAAGGGGTAACATCTGTTGACATGTTCACGTGTCTTTGTTGAAAAGCTTACTGGCTTTGGTTGGGGAACTTGTCACTAGCCTTAGCATGAGAGAATGGTCTACGACACGGCGTTGCCTGGCATACAACTTGGCTGGGGTTGGTCTAGAGTTGGTTGCAGTTTGGGCTAGGGTTGCTGTTGGCATGATTTGGGCGCGTGTTGCGGTGGTTGGGGTTTGCATTGGAGTTGTTCAGATTTGAATTGTGGCTAAACCAAAACACTCTAAACCAAACATTCGGACCGCAAGACCCACCCGAACTCAGCTCTGCAAGGTAAAACATTCCCGAAACCAGCTGAAAGTAACTTAAGCAGCCAAATGACCAACAATCAAACAAGCAACCAACCCAACCATGCAACAAGCCTTTTAAACAACCACTCCTCTCTCCAAACAGTTCTGCCCCGGCCAGGGCTTGGGGGGAAAAAAGCACGATCACGTGGCTGAGTCGGCTGGACAGTCGGGCTCAAAAAGTCACTTAGATCTTCACCCGCATCACACATCGCAGAAAACAAATAGAACTCGTGCTAACCCGCCAATCAGGCCCGAACTCAGTGTAGAGCCGGCCCAGACATTTCAAGGAACAAGGGCTCATGCGGTCCCATCGTCAAGAATCGATCCCCTTGATGGGAATCTCCCTACGACTGTGTAGAATCCTTATGAAAGAAGTGGTGACAATCCCCAGCACTCGCATGTAAACACGTCTTTTGACCCTGTTACAGGTGTCATCCCCGGCCCGCCCGCCTCAGGCATGTGGTTGGCAGGCTCGTGGCCCTCATACACCAGCCTGGCACAGCGCAATGCGCCCCTTAAGGCCCTCAACGCCTCAACGTCCCCCTTAAGCCCTCCGTTAAAGTTGCCTCAGCATCCAACTTTAAAGCCCTGTTTAAGGTAACCTTGAGGTCTCCCCTGAAGCCCCCCTTGAAAGTCGCAAGGCCCCTCTGAAGCCCCCTTAAGTTCCCCCTTAAGCCCCCCATTAAGAAACTCAAGCAGGCACAGTTTTGCAGAGGACAGAAGGCACAGGCAGAACAGCATCTGAAGACGGGAAAGGGATGTGCGGGAAACAAAAGGCTCCTTCGAGGGTGGGCGAACCCCATGAGGAAGCCAAGAAGAAAGGAGGGAAGAAGGGAAGGAAGCTCAGCAAAGAAACATGAGAAAGGATCAGGGTCTGTGAGACATGGTGTCAAGACAACCTTCGGGCTTACTCTGAAGTGTCAGCAAGAACAGTGCAGCAGAATAGACACCGAAACGGAGAGCGCAGACCTTCCACCGAAAGCGAATAACCGAAACGATCCGCGACGCGGAAAGACAACAATAGATGACCCCGAGAAAAGAGGCTGTATGGCTTGTCAAAAATATGGACCCTTTTTGGGACCTGCCGCCTGTGGCCGTTTAAAGAGGATACCCAAAAGGGACCCTACTCTTCACAAATCTTCATATCCACCGAGCGGGCCATGTGATCGAAAGGCTGGCCTTGAGCTTCTGCTCAAAATCTCTGAGCTCCGGGCCCGAATGACCGCAAACGCATAAGATTTCAGCGTGAGAGCACAAGGCAAGCAAGGTATGCAAACTCGCCAAAGCCCGGCCCTGGAGCAGAACTTCAACCCATTCTGCAAAAACGCCAGCTTCAGAGATGTTCGATGTCCGGCGAGAATGCCATAGCAACAGCTTTGAGATTCGAACATGTGATGATCAAAACAACGCTAAGCGAGTCCCTTCTGCCTTTTGATATGTTCTGGTGCGGTTGCACAAACTCTTTGACTGCTCAAGCATCCCTCGAACGTGCCCCACATCCGTCCCCATTTTGATGTCTCTCTTTCCTGCCTCGGCAAGTCGTTGCCATGCACATACTTGGAACCTCGCAGCTAAGCCGTGCCAACGCCTGAGGACCTCATGCAACTTCATGCCTAGTGAAGGAAGAGGCAAGGAGTCTGCTTGGCTTGCGGGATGTGTGCCGACCAGGGAGCTGTCTACACGAACAGCAACCAAAACCTGTAGACTTGCGGTTCTACTAACATGGCGATAAAGGCTTATTTGGGCCTGGCTATGACTTTTCTGAAGCCAGTTAGTAGATGCACCTATCAAGGGGGGTTTCGGGCGCTGCTCACATGATGCCCCCAAGTCGTTCAAAGAGTCACGCGGCAGCCTGGTGCATTTATCTTTGCACCTCGTTGCACTTCATAACAGTGAGCCTCCGCTTTCTTCACTGCGCTTCAACACAACCCTTGCCCCTTGCTTGAGCACACTTTCGAACACTCTGTCAAGACATGGCTCTCTAAACAAGCTGTTCTTGCTGGTGGTGGTCGGCTCGAGCGCTGGCCGCAGCTAAAAACCACCCCCACCAGCAGGGATCCTTACATTCTACACCTGAACATTGCCTTGTAAATGGGGGTTTCCCTTTATTTTGGTGTTGAAAAAGCCACATTGGTTGCAAATGGAGATCTTTTAAGGAGCCACCGCCAGCTGCAGCCGAGCAGCTCAGGAAGAAGGTGGCGTGCGCCGAGAAGCTGCGCAGCAGCGACAGCACCTCCGGCAGCATGGACCTGCTGGCGTCGCCTGGCGCGGACCGTCTTGTTTGGAGGGGGTGGGTATGACTTGGATAGACCTGGGAACGATTAAAATAACGACTCCAGTTTTTGGGAGGGGTGACTTAATGCAACAGGCCAACCCTCAGCCAAAGGGGTGTTGAAGGGAGACCAAAAGGAAAGCCACCATTTTGGAGTTGCTTGTCCCCCAAAAAAGAAGATCCAGAGAAAAAGGCAGAGAAAGCAGAGAAAGCTTTACAAAGCCCAGTTCTGGATGAGCACCTTCTCCCATTTTGAAGCACAAAAACTGGCATGATGTGTGGCAAGTTGGGAAGCATCCGTGTTCTCTGGAGCGGCAACCTTTTGAATGGGCATGAGTTTGTCCGGATTTATGCAACCACAGGGCTCTCATCTAGTTGCTACAACCATGGTGAACTGCAAGCCATGCGGAAAAAAATCGCCGGAAATGTCGAGGGTCAAAATCGGCGTGCGAAGCGATGCGATTTGCACAGAGCACAGAGCTTTTGACATGCGCCTCAACCAGTCACCCTGTTCGGGCGACGCACGCTCCACTCAACACTGAAGCCATTGGAATACATCAGGCCGCTGCATACCGCGGCCGGCACCCAGGCCAATTCTTGCAGCCCCGGGGCTTGGCGCAGCACCTCGCGGATGCGCACCTCGTCCACCTGCGGCTCATTCTCCAGCTTGTCCAACATAAGAACCTCTGCAAATGCGAGCAAGAGCTCTGAATCCACTCAGCTGTGGCTCAAAAACATGTGCCAAAATGACACATTGGTAACTGGAGCCAGAGACTAAAACCCGCCTAACTCACTCTAGCTCCTAAATTTGCGCCGATCTCCACTTGTCACCCCGGGCCCTCACTTTGGCCCCTGCCTGCAGGTCCGGACACCTTGCCACCACCTTCAAGAGCAGCTCTGGCAGGGGCAACGCCGAGTCCAGCGTCACCTCCAGCGTCGCCAAGCGGCGCAGCGGCGCCAGCAGCGGCCACAGCGCGCAGGGCGCCAGCGTCGGCAGCTGCAGCTCTCGCAAGCGGCGCAGGCGCCGCACCAAGGCGGGCAGCATCCTGGCGGAGGCATCAAAAAAGAATCGCTCAGCTGAAGCCAGAGATCTCCGAAACATGGGAAAAGCGTTCACATTAAACAACACGGCCTGTAGAAACAACACGACACTTCCCCTTTTGTAAAAATCACCGGTGGCGACTCGATCGCACCCGCAGCTCCTGTGGAAGGCGGTTTTGGGCTCCTCTGGCACCACCCGCAGGTCCAGGGCTTCCAGCAGCGGGAGGCCGCCGAGGGCGTCCAGCAGCGCCTCCGTCTGCGCCGCCGGCAGCGGCAGGTCCTGGAGGCACAGCCGCTGCAGATCCGGGCAGCGCTCCGGGAGGTGGACCACTAGGCCCACGTAAGACCCATCCACCTGTCAGGACTGTAGACACCCAAAAAACGGAGTCACAATATGGGCGGCTGGCGGATCTTTCAGGTACCCCTTTTGATGGCCTCTTTGAAGGGAACCTGAAGGGGAAACCCACCATTTTGGGAGGGGTCTGCTTCAAAAAGACAGACCCCATATATGAACCACTTTGACATGCGACACCCCGTAAGAAACAGCTTTTCTTTGGAGGACCCACCTGCCCGAGGCGTAGCGATCGCAAGTGCCGGAAGCGGGTCACAAAGGCAATGGTGGGCAACGTCAAGGCGCCAAAGTTCAGCAGCGAGATGTCATACCTGAATAAGGATACCCTTTTTTCTGTAGTCTATTTTAGTAGAACCCTCCCCCAAACAAGGGTAAAAGAGAACTACTGGAGGACCTAGCACCTGATCCTTGGCTGATTCGAGAACCCTTTGGTGGGGCACCTCAACATCCTAAAGCCAAACTCCGAGCTTTCGGGTCGAATCCAACGAATCGGGAAGCATCTGGACAGCGTCAAGGCACTGCCTGTCTTCGGCCAAACCTGCGAGAGCCTCTAGCTCCTCCTGGAACGAGGTGTTCCTGGCAAATCTGAAACGCCGGCTTTCTGGAAGCCCAACACCGGAAGCACATGTGCCGGTGATCCCAAAGACGGTTCTGGCTCCAACCAAAATGCCCCCCCAATGAGCCTTCTCTTCCCAAGAAACATGTGGGTGAGGAAACCGTGGTTTGACACCAAACAACAAAGAGTTCGGTGCTTCGGCCCTGGACGAGAACGAACATTTGGTCAGCTGGCTAGGCCAAGTGGCCTATGAGAGAAGCCCTTGTTTTCAGTAAAAGGGCCTTGGCATTTTCTTTGCTCTCAGCCATGTCATTCCGACCCCGAAGCGTTTGGCAGTTGAGTTCTTTCGGCAAACAAAGAGGCCTTGTTTACTCCAGGGGGTTGGTGGCCCGCAGCTGGCAAACATGAATTTGGAAAGCGTCAACCTTCGGTGATTGGCACTTCGAGCACTTTCGCACCGATTTGCAGTTTCGCCTGCGCACGTAAGCAGGGAGATCTGCAAAAGATGTCACCCCAAGGACAATACGCTCAGGGTGCGGGCAAATCGTTGCCCAGGGTGTTCGGGGCAGATTTGGGTGGTCCTCCCTTCTCGTCAGACTGCCAACGATTTGGTGAGTTGGGTGTGGCTCAAAATTAAAATCCTAGGGCTATCGCAGGTTTTAGTGTTAGACTCCATTTAGCAAGGTGCCATTGTTGTGACATACGTGTCCTTTTGGAAAAATAGATGGCCCTGGTAGATGATTGACCTACAAGGTGAACCAGAGCCCTCTATTTTTCAACCAAACCAACCAAAAAGGACACCTATGGTTGCATAGATTTTGATTCATAGCCGGTCGTGGGTCACACGCACCCCCCACCTCCCGTTGAAGACCAGCGTTCGCGGCGGCGCAGCAGAGGCAGCCCGCAGCTGCCAGTAACTCAGGCGCGGCAGCTTGGGCGCAGGCAGCTCCAAATGCTCCAGGCGGGGGCAACGGGCCAGGAGCTCCTGGGAAGAACCGCGGCGTCCCATCGATTCGGTAGGGGCAGGTGGCGGTAAAAACCGTGGTGAGATAACCCACACCAGTTGTACTTTTTAAGTCCATGGTGAGATCACCCACGAAAGACATGGCTATAAATCTCCATTCTGTGGGTAATCTCACCAGGCTTACTCTCACCACTTCCCTAATGTACCAAATCGGTCGCCCCCTTTCAGCTTCCCTGCTTCCGTTTCCCAGGTACCGGGCCTCAAGGAAACCCGATCGCCCCACCCTGCCGGAGTTGTTGCTTTCAGGGGAGGGCAACGTTTTTATGTGCCGTCTTGGCATCCCGGCCGCGCCTTTGTGCGCCGAAGAAAAAAAAAAAGGGGGAAAAAAAAAAAACATCCACCGCGGAGCTTGCTCTGCGAGTGAGCTCCGGCATCACGAACAGGCGGCTTGATTCAAGACCACGAAGGGATACACAAACACAAAACACGCACGCACAAAGGCTTTTGGAAACGAAGCGAGAAGCTTTAGCCATGGCCAGTACGCTAAGGCATGCCAGCTAGGAATGTGTCAATCTCCACTCGAAAAGGTCCACTCCTGAACAGGGCCCTGGGAAATGACCACTTCTGTGATACAACCAAACGGTCCTTGCAAAGACTAACCCCCATATAGCGAGCGGGTTGCCTTGTATCACAGAAGTGGAGATAAACCCCGAGTTATCCCACAACCTGCTCCTGCAAGGTGGCCAAATTCACGGCATTATGGTTTCTGCCGGGATCGCCGTCGTAATAGTACACCAGATTGGAGGCGAGCGTGTTGATGGGAGAACGATGTGGTTCCACTATCTCAAAGCGTTCCTCGGAATGCTTGCGGTTGAACTGTGTAGTGCAAAGCTCATTTGTGGGCCCATCTTGATGTGGGCTACCATGGTCAATCCTTTGCAGCTTTGCAAGGTGCACGCTCTGCAAATCAATCAAGGACTGATGACGCTGCCTATCAAGAAGGTTCGGAGGGATCTTAACATGGGTTCAAAGGTTCCCCTCTTTCCTCGAAAAGCTGTTGAAGGGCTAGGGGGTGCCTGGTCCCAGCTTCGAGATCAGGGCAATTCTCCGCCAGAGTCTTCACCAAAAGTTCCAGCTCCTGACAAGATCAAAGCGAGCAAGCGCATTGCGTGGTTTGGGCTGGTGATTCTTTTATCCAAATGTCATTCATCAGCCCCTGGACCATGCCTGCATGTTCCACAGGCAGCCCTCGTGCTTCCAGCGCAGGCTTCGCAATCTTGGGCAAGACTGCAGCATGGGGCTCAGGAAACCGCTCACCGACTCCCGAAAGCCGCCATTGTACAACTCCACCTGTGACCAACTTAGCCCTCTGCTTGCCCTCCCAGCTAGCATGGAAGTGCACAGACCCATCTAGAAAGACTTCTTTCCTCTTGGAAAGGTCCTTTTTGCACAAGCCCATGTTTGTTGGTGGGAAGGTAGAGAATCCCAAATCGAGCGCTCCCGCGCCTCCTCAGCAAAAGCACCGAAGCGCATCAGCGCTTCCCCTATTTCGGCGCGGCAAACACCGGCATCGAAAATCAGCCGCCGAGGCTGGCAAACTTCCAGCGCTCTTGTCATCATCGCCTGCGGCAAATCACTCCTTGCCACGCATGGCATCCCGTCTTCTTACCCTTCCAGATCCAACAAGTCGGGCGCAGTATCGAAGTCGGCTTTGATTCTCTCTCCCCTTCCACAGCGACAGCGCCAGAGTTTCGCGGGGCTCCCCGGGTCCCGTGGAGCCGCCAGCCGGAACCGAGAAGCGTCCGGCGGGGGATCTTGCGCTCGCTTCTTGGGGTGGACTTGCGGTTTCGAGGGGCGGGGCGATCGTGTCCGTGAGGTAAGTGGCTGTCATAAAACCATGATGAGATCACCAACACAAAAGCCACGTTGGCTTTTCATACAAGTCTCCGAGCGGGTGATCGAAACCAGGCTTACTCTCACCAACCCAAAACATGTTTTCCACCCATGGAACCCGCCACCCCACAAGGCTTACTCTCACCAACCCAAAAAATGTCCACCCCGCCCATCTCACCAGGCTTACTCTCACCAACTTCCCCCCCCCAAAAAGAGAGAGTCCTCCCATGGACTCCATGGAATCCAAACAAACACCAGTCTTTTTCCCCTTGCCAGCCCAACTCAAATCCACCCACTCCCCCCGCCGCAACCCAAAAAAATCCAGTTGGAAGCGCCTCGAAGGCCTCCTGGGGGTTCATCTTGAAGCTCGTGGCCAGCAGCAAAGTCTTGCCACCAGCGCCAGCGGCGCCCGGCGGGAAGAAGGCCCTGGCGCAGAAGCCCTGCAGCTGCCCGGGCATCCTCGGCGCCGAAGGGAAATCCGGCCAAAGAAGGGCGGGGGGGGGCCGAAGATATGGCTGTGGGGTTAAAAATAGGTACCCCAAAAATGGGGCCCCTACCCCATTCCGAAGCCCCTATTCTTTCGTTACTAAAAGGAGATGCCTGAAACCTTGCCGGGAAGATATTGTTCGACTCCTGGCTGATGCCAGGCGTCGAATGCTTTGATGTGGCTGTGGGTGAAAAATAGGGTAGCCCCATTTTGCTCGAACCCTGATAAACGGACACATGGACTAAAACCTGCGGTCCAATTCCTGGTGGAATTTAATTTTCACCCGCACCCATATGGCCATGGGTCAGAATCCCAAGCCCGTGCCCCCAGCGAACGGGACCCAATCCAACCACTAAAATAGGTTCTAAGATGGGTGGCGAATTCACCTAGCCCAAAATGGGATCCCATTGGTTTTGACCCACAGCCATATGAGCCGCCGGAATCCTCCAACACCGCCCCGTTCAAATGCTCTGATATATCAACCCTTGGCTGAAACAGGAGGTATGTTTCAGGGAAAACCAAATGGGTGTGTCTTCTTTCAGACCCTCGGCCGGAAGTTCTTGCGACTGCGATAGGTCGGGAATGTGGGACCACGGATTGCCGAGAAGAAACCACCAGTTGGATGGGTTCTAAGGGTCATTCCGTTTCTCATTCCCTGCTGAGCCAGAAAGGAACAGACCAGGGATGACATGTGAGGCTTTCTGCTGCTGCAAGAGGAATTTGACACTTGCCCCAAATCAACATCCATTCACATTTGTGCAATCAGCCGCTCGCTTGGCAAGTGCTTCTTCCAGTGTCATCCCTCTCTTCGACTCTCAGGCACAGGGTTTTGAGAGTTGAGTGCGCCCTCAAAAAGCAAACTCATTCGCGGCTCCCTCGGTCAACATGGAGGTATGACCGTACCCGTGGATTCCACTGACAAAGTTTCATGCAAAAGCACAACCAAATACGGCAACATTCCACCCTTGAACTTTGGCCCGCATCTTCAAGCTCAAAGAAATCCCGGAATCCGATTTGGTATCTCGTGCATCCCAGGGTCTCAAGGCCCCACGCAGAGGGGACGACGTGAAAATAAGCGTCGTATTCATCGTAGCAGTGATGATACGCAACGGTGTCAATTTCAGCAGCAAAGCGCTCCACGATGCTTTGGAAGGTGACCCGGTTCAGGCGCTCAACATTCCAAAGCAGCAGAGCTTGCAGTTGAGGGATTGTTGCCTTACACTTACGCTACACATCTCAAGCTTGTCAATGTTCATATCTCAATTCCTGGGAAACACCTGGTCTATATATATATATATATGTATGTATGTATATCTATATCTACATATATTCATTTACATAATGTGTATCTCTCTCTCCCTCTCTCTCTCTCTCTCTCTCCATGCCAGGCTGTACCTCCTAAAGATAGGCCACACAGCACCTTCGGCCACGCTGCAAGTTTCTGAACTTCAGCATCCCTCATGGAGGACAGCAGGAGCAGATCCAGCTCAACGGAGGCCAAGGGCAAGGAGCAGAGGCTCTGAAATGTCTCAGGTGTTATGAGACGGTTGGGAAGCTGCGGCTGGGTCTCCTCATATGCATCACGGATCTCCAAGGGACAGGCATGTGCCAGGCGCAGGCTGGTGAGGCGCAGGTCCAGACATTTCTGCAGCAGGCCGTCGCTGTTCACGTTCTCGCAGCCACGCACGTCCAAGGCAGACAAGGAGCGCAGCTCTGCGACCGTGTCTGGAAAGCTTGGGGATGTCAGCTGCAGGCAGCCTCCGCAGAATGGGTCCGGGACACTCGTAGAATCCCGTGAGCATCTCATGGAGCACACTGCTAAAGAACAAGACCCTTCAAAAAGGTGTCGCCATTTTGCGGAACCTTTTTGTTCCCTGTCACAATTTGCGGAACCTTTTTGTTTCCTGTCACATCTTGTGGAACCTTTTTTGTTCGCTGTCACATCTTGTGGAACCTTTTTGTTCCCTGTCACATTTTGTGGAACCTTTTTGTTTCCCTATCACATTTTGTGGAACCTTTTTGTTCCCTCTCACATTTTGTGGAAGCTTTTTGTTCCCTCTCACATTTTGTGGAACCTTTTTGTTCCCTCTCACATTTTGTGGAACCTTTTGTTCCCTGTCACATTTGTTTTTGGTGGAATCACATCTTGTGGAACCTTTTTTGTCACATTTGTGGAAGCTTTTGTCACATTTTGTGGAACCTTTTTGTTCCCTGTCACATCATCACATCTTGTGGAAGCTTCTTGTTCCCTCTCACATTTTGTGGAACCTTTTTGTTCCCTGTCACATCTTGTGGAACCTTTTGGTTGTCACATCTTGTGGAAGCTTCTTGTTCCCTCTCACATTTTGTGGAACCTTTTTGTTCCCTGTCACATCTTGTGGAACCTTTTGGTTGTCACATCTTGTGGAAGCTTCTTGTTCCCTCTCACATTTTGTGGAACCTTTTTGTTCCCTGTCACATCTTGTGGAACCTTTTGGTTGTCACATCTTGTGGAAGCTTCTTGTTCCCTCTCACATTTTGTGGAACCTTTTTGTTCCCTGTCACATCTTGTGGAACCTTTTGGTTGTCACATCTTGTGGAAGCTTCTTGTTCCCTCTCACATTTTGTGGAACCTTTTTGTTCCCTGTCACATCTTGTGGAACCTTTTGGTTGTCACATCTTGTGGAACCTTTTGTTCCCTGTCACATCTTGTGGAACCTTCTTGTTCCCCTTTTTGCCCCCTTTCCACCTCTTCATCTCTCTTCCCTTTCGTCCCATGCCTCGCAGAGACAGCTCCGCCAGGCAGACGCAGGCCTTCAGACACGCCAGCAGCTTCCCCTCTGCAAGCCGCGTGCAGAAGCCCAGGTCCAGCCGCCGCAGCTGCGCGAAGGGCAGCAGCTCCAGGTCGCTGTCGAAGAGCCGCGCGCCCCGCCGCCCTGACGAACGGGGAGGGCAGAAACCCGTGGAAAAAGCGACGAAGCGACGAGTGAGAAAATACCCTCCCACCAACTAACATGGGTTTGTGCAAAAAGGCCCTTTCCAAGAGGAAAGTAGTCTTTCTACAGGGGTCTGTGCACTTCCATGTTGGCTGGTGGGAGGGTACCCGTTGCTTACCCAAGACAGGGAGGTGAGCGCTGAAAAGATTCATGGCCATCCATTGCCAAGTTGTCCAAAAGAGAGGGGCTTCCCAACCACAGAAGGGGTGAATTGCCTGGAGCTCCGATTTGTCTTAAAGCGAGAGGCTCGCTGGAACTCGTTGGGCAATGAACCAAGACGCTGCTACAAAGCTGCGCTGCCGGGACGAGGGGCAGCTGATTTGGGGGAGGCGTGCTGCTGGTCACGTGCGCAATTTACGAGCTGGGATAGCATGCGGCCCGGCAGAAAGCACACCCTGCCTTCCAGGCTCTGTGCATACCGGAACTTGTGCACCAGCAACTTCATAGTCGTTGCAGGCACAGGTCGAGGCACCAAGGGAGCATCAGGCGCAGGGTCCTGAGGGCCGCATACCCTTGTGAGAAGTGAAATTGAGCCGAGGGCTTGCTGATGTTTGGTCCAGGTTAGGACCACCTTGCACGTTGCAGCGCGGAGCAGACCCTCCATTCAATACTGTGGCCTCTAAATACCCCCGTGGTCCCCTATTTTAGTGTATCCGCAGGAACCCATCATGCTGGCAAGATTATTTGGTACAAGAAACGATGATGACAAAGCGGCTTGGGCCATTCTGCCCTCGCATGTCTATCTGTTGATGACCGGTTCGATTTCTTGGGTCATGCGCCGGGGCGGGCGGTCCTCCCCGTCCAGCAAACACGGCAGCTTGAAAGCTCGAAGGCCCATGGAGTGGTTCTGTCGCAGCAGGCGACAGCTCGCTCCAAGCTGGAGGACCTCGCTGACAGGCAGCACCTGGAGGCAGAAAATTCGGCTCCAAATCCAGCACGGCAGAATAGAGCCGCGCACCGTCTCCTGGCAAACTCAAATGGGTGTGGGTAAACAATCGGTACCAATTCCTGGTGGCTTAGCTTTGACCCATACCCAAATGAGTCATGATCAAAAGCTGGTACAAAAATGGTGAACCCAGAACCATGTAAGGAATTGAAAAGGCGGCCGCACCTATTTATGGTTGGGATTGTCCCTTACTAACCTTCGTCTACCTGGGTTTTGAGCAAGAGGCTCAAATTGCCAAGGCCCCTTGGCCTTTTCCAAGCCTCCCTCCTCCGCACGTCGCTGGTTGCTGTGCTGCATCTGGCGCCGCTCTTCCAGCGCGTCAGACACAGACAGGCGCGCGATCAGCTGGATCAGCTCCAAACGCTGGGCGTGGGTGATGGTCCCGCTGAGCTCGTCCTGCTTCCTTGCAACGGCCCCAACCCCTTGGATTCAGGGGGTTGCAACCCCTGGAAAAAAGCCCTAGAACTCAACCCCTTGAAAGGATTCCCGCCTACGCACGCAGCTGCCCCTGAATTAGAACTCTGCAAGGTCCCTTGCAAGAAACCCCTAGAACTCGAAAGGACAGCCCTCCGCAAAAATGTGGGTGCAACATGTCCACAGGGCAAACAAGGCGAGCCGGACAGTAAGCACAATGAGGGAGCCCCAAACCTTGACAAACAAGAGAAAGCTGTCGACGCGTGATGATGAGGACAAGCACTGGATCCAGAATTCAATGAAGAGGCTTCAGGATGAGCGATTTACGTGCTGGGGATCCGTGTCCGATTTCTGTTCTGTGCCGATACATGCCTGGACGCGCGGCGATGCGGCGATAGTGCGCCGAGACACCTAGCGTACCACGGGCACGGTCAGTGAACTATCAACAGCAGGGTAGCCGTTGTTGCTGATGCGACAAATATTCTTCAAACATCAAGCTAGCTGGTTCTGTCGAAAGCAACATCGCAAATTTAACGAAGCAGGTAAGTTGTCGGACTTATAAGTAGTTCGGAGACGTCATAAGTTAGCTATGATAGAGTTACATATGTTGTTTGCAAGTCAGTTACGAGTATGTTCTTGTGCTATCATAGCTGTTGATAACGTCTAATAACTTGAAACATATCTAGTGATGTTGAGAGAATGTCAAGTCTCGAGCGCGAGAGTGTGTGCATAACCAATTGTAGGAGGTCAATGTCAGATTGCGGAATGCGGCAAAGCTAATAATGCTGGCACAAATAGAGCCACAAAAATACAAAATTCATGGTGGCAATGCTGCAAATGCAGAAAATGGCCAGTCTGAGTAAGGTGTTTGTATATAGATGTGTTCCGTTGAGGCAGAATATGTTCATGTGGTGTTCTAGTAGAATTGTAGCAAACAATTGGTAAAATATTGGCAAAATGTAAGTATCAAATAAAACAAAATGTATTTGCCTAGTAAGATTTTCGTCTTTGTTCTGCAACATGTTGGGTCCATCGGGGGGGGTTTGCCGCGAGTCCAATGCATCTCTGCGTTGCAACCGACAGCAAGAGCAGCAACATCTTGTTTTCACATGTCGCTCATCCACTTCAAGTTTGTGTACATTTCTGCAGGCGGGACAGCATCTTCATGCCGTCGCCTGTAGTTGGCAAAGGCTTCCACTATTGATTCGAGGCTAGGTGTGGTGGAAAAGAACATGGCTGCCATCGGATTTATATGTTCCATGTCAAGTGATGCATCCAGCCTACCGGTCAAGTTCATCCTTCTCATGCTCCGTTTCATCGTCGAAGCCAGCGACTCGCAAGCCTGATCTCCCCCTATGATCTTACCAGCAGAAGACCCCGCTGGAATCATCATGGGTTTCTTGTACTTGCCACCTTTCTTCATCAAGGACTTGAGCAGTTTTTTAGGCACGTGCTTCAAGGAGACCTTCTTCACAGGTGTGTATTCGCTTTGCGAGTGCTTGGCCCTCACAGAGAGCCTGCCTGCGACCCAACCTCAGAATCTACTCCACAGCTGAAGCTCCGGAGCCGAGGAACGCACGCTCCATGGCGAGGATGTTGACCTGAGCACATAAAATACCCCGTGAAAGCATTGATCCACCAAAATATAAATAGTAGTCACCCGTTTAAAAACGGTACTGAGTTCAGGCCGAAAAGCCCGCGTAGCCGCTTGCGAGGCTGTGGCGACGTCCATGATCCGCAACCGCTGCAAGTGGCACGGGCATAAGCATGCCGCTACCACCCCGAACCCCCCCCCTCCCCCCCCCACCCCCCCCCGAACACGCGACATGTTGCGTCCACGGAAAGGAAATTTGCCGCTAAAATGCTGGTAAAACACACATGATATGCAAATAGGAACAAGTGCGACTGTTGAAAGTGCGGCAAACCCCCCCGATGGACGCAACATGTTGGTAAAACCTTAGTAATAATTTAGGAAATGTTGTGTAGTACAATTCGTTAATCAGTCAATTCTAATGCTAACAGTGCCTTTGAATAAATCAATAGTAAAATGCGTGTGAGTGACATGTGTGTCTAATAAAAACTAATCTTAGCATAGAAACAAAACAGGTGTGATTTTAGTCAAGAACACGTTGACAACTCGGCATTTACTAATTTGTTCAAAACAATATGGAATTGGAATAACATAATAAGTTCCATTATGTCCCAGCTTAAATGCGCAAGTGCATAAGTTCGAGGCTCCGAACTTATAAATCTTACGAAACGCATGTTACATGACTCATAATATAAACTACGTTGTAAACATTCTGCTGAACCCAAGTTATAAGTTGCTGAAGTACATAACTGGCCGGATCCACTAAAGAATTGCCCGAATCCATGCTGCAATCAGTGTGTCGGTGCACCGCTGCGTGCAATCGGTGTAACGGTGTATCAGTGCGTGCAATCGATGAATCGCTGTGTTGGTGCAAGTCCAAGTTCTGAACTCTACTTCAGAACACTCCTGCGATTTAAAAAGAAAAAAAAACAGTGCAGGATCTGGCATTCGGAGAAAGGTGTTAGGATGCCAGAGACAAGTTGGGAACAGCCCCTAATCCCAGATTCGGACGAAAACTCAAATAAACCCAATTTGTTCGAAGGAAATGAAGCCTGCAAGTTCACTGACAAACCGCGATCTTTGCGCAAGCCGCGCTTGCAGCACCAGCTCCACCCGGCCCTTGACGTCCTCCGCCAGCTCCGGGCTGGCCGACGCCCCTGCCGCCGCGCCCGCCGTGTCCGCCGCTTCCGCGCGCGCCAGCGCCTCGTGGACGACGCGGTTGATGGCCGTCTGGGTGTCGTCCGTGGTGGTCCGCTGCAAAGCTCGAGGCACCAGCCGATTCACCGTGGTCCGGTTCCGCACGGGGCTCTTCTGGAAGCTCGCATAGCCCTCCATCGCCGCTTCGAGAGCGATCCAAGAGCCCGGGCTCGGGCTTGGAGATACAAAGAGCTGAGGAGGCGGCGCTTTTTCGCCCCAAGGGGAAAAAGGAAAGGAATGAAAGGAGAAAAACAAGGGTAGACAGAGGTTTGAATTTCGAAGGTGTTGAAAAAAACAATTATCGATTACGCACGACGTGGAAAGAGTGGTGTTCATGCCCGCACTATGTTTTGCCACAGTCCAGCCTGCCAGAGCTTTACCCGCCAAGGTTCATGTCATGCATGGGATAACCCAACCACCCTTGCCAGGATTTCTATCAGAGGCAAGCTGGTTTGGAGTTCCTTCCATATTGAAAACAGGCACCGCATGCCGGCCACGACAGGCTCAGCACATGCTGCAGGCAGGCCAAGCCGCACATGCTTCAAGGCTGGTTCGGAGACCAAAAAATATAGGACAACTGAAAGGAAAAATTGGGAGGGCGCAAGGCTCAGGGCTGCTAGCAAGGCGCGCTAGGCACGCATGCAGAGCTCGTGAACGGAAACAGCCCTGAACACCACTGGGCTGACACTCAAATAGCAACTGGCCAGCTTGAATCAATGCACCAAACACAGCTGCAGGGTTCCCCTCCCTTCCCCTCAAAGCCATTCATTTCGAGCAGACCATCTCTCGATTTCTGTCGGCTTCGTTCCCGTCCCCGTTTTCGCGTCCGCCTCGGCAAATGCCGTCGTCAATGGTCAGCGCCACTAGGCCCTGGATGTTGGGGAACTCGCTGGCGGAGAAGTAGAAGGTGGTGTTGCGAAACTGCGGGAAGAGGTGCTGCCTCGTTGAAAAACGAAAACCGAAGCAAAAACCCGAAAAACCAGGGTAACCGGCGCCTGTAGGGTTCCAGTGCTGTTGACAAGTCTTTCAAGGGTTTCTGCACGTCGTTTGAAACCTGGAGGAAAATGTTGCCTTTGCGATGTCCTCATAACCGCGCGAGCACGCCCCCCAAAGTGGCATCGGCCAATGTTTCGTCTAGGCGAAAAGCCATTTCTGACCAAAAAGGCTGATCCAAACTTTCGTTCTACTTCCACGAGCCCACGTCTTGTGAGTGTTTTTTTGGCCCTTGAGCGTGGGTTCTGACCATCTGTGGGCATGGATGCATTGATGAGCGGGCGCACGTGAGCGTGGGTTCTTACCATCTGTGGGCGTGGATGCATTGATGAGCGGGTGCACTTGAGCGTGGGTTCTTACCATCCATTCATGAGCGGGTGCACTTGATCGTGGGTTTTTTTTTTTAAAATATGGTTCATTGAGGAGCGGGTGCACTTGAGCGTGGGCTCTTACCATCTGTGGGCATGAATGCATTGAGGAGCGGGTGCGCTTAAGCGTGGGTTCTTACCATCTGTGGGCACGGATGTTGATGAGCGGGTGCGCTTGAGTGTGGGTTCTTACCATCTGTGGGCATGGATGCATTGAGGGGCGGGCGCGCTTGAGCGTGGGCTCTTACCATCTGCGGGCATGGATGCATTTAGGAATGGGTGCGCTTGAGCGTGGGTTCTTACCATCTGAGCGCTTACAGGTTGTCCGGGCCAACAACAGGTAAACTTGAATTCAGTCTAGCCGCTGCGCTTGTCGAGCCTGCCATGACTTGGGTGCTTTGCAGCAGGGTCAAAGCTACTAGCCGGAGTCGACATGTGGGCAACGCTGACACCTATGACTGCACCTGCAAGCCTATTGTGACAAAGAGACGTGGCAAAACCAAGTCTGAAAAGTGACAACAGTCCCGGCGGCTTGTGGGCGCCGCCACCAAAAACAAGGGATGATATTCTGTGGATGGCCGCAATCCTGCACCACTTTAAAACCATTGTTGGTATTTACAGGGGGAATCATCATTCTGTGATTTGTCAGGTGATGCAGGATACAGTAGGCCCCAAGAAAAAGGAACCTCCATCGCGACCTCCGCACTTCTTCAGATCCATGCACGTAGTCAATGCCCTACCTTTCAAGATATGGGTCATATTCCATGCAGCGCAGCTGCGCCACTGAAACCACTCGCCGCGGACCAACGGACGCGGCCAGGCTCCACAGCATCCAAGTCCCATACTGACCCCAGGTGAGGCCCTCAGCAAGCCTCAGGCCGGAAATCGCGTCGAGACGGCAAGCCTCATAGCCGACACCCAGGCTTTTGGGGAGGGCAACGCACAACTCAAATGGCAGTGGGTCAAAAATATGTAACCCAAAATGGGAACCCTGGTAGTTGGAAACATGGATTCAACCTGTGGTCCCATGGTGGTGTCATTTTGACCCACAGCCAAATAGCTGAACGCATTTGGCCTTTCAGCTACGAGATACCTTGTCCAGCTTGGCTGACTTGCGGTTCAGATTTCTAGCTGAACCGGTGCGGAGTCGGGCAACCTCACATGGGTGTGGGTCAAAATTAAAGCACCTGGGGAACGCAGTTTTGAGTCCTTGGTTCCATTTACCAGGCTTCTATTTTGGGTACCCATTTTTGACCCACAGCCACATCAAAGGATTCGACTGCATCAGCCAGGAGTCCAACATCTTCCCAGCACAAGGTTTCAGGCATCTCCTTTTAGTTGTAACCAAAGAAACGGAACCAAACCTGACATGGCCTTGACCTCTTACGGGTTTCTCCATCGCTCTGCAGACTTTACTCTTCCAAACGCTGACTTACGGGACTTTTAAAGGGAAGTCAGGAATTTCAATTTGCTGCAATTCCAAACTCCGCAATTTCTTACTCTATTTCCATTTGCTGAATTCAGGGACATTTCTAAAGGTGTGCGGAACTCCAACCATCCGCAGATTTGACTCTCATTGGCTGCTTTAACCCCAAAGGACCCCCAAATGCCTTCGGACCTCTGGGGCGTCCGGCTTGGCCCGCGGCGTGGCCTCCTCCACCAGCTGGGACACCAGAGAGATCTCGCTGGGCGGGCAGAAATGGGGTTACCCCAAAATGGCTTGCCCTGGTACATGGAACCCATGACTAAAACTGGGCGGCCAAAAAACGGCCCGCGGGCCGTCTTCCCCTTAACAAGGCAAGATACACAGACCCGTAGGAATCCAGCTTTTATGGGTTGCATCCGGTAATTTGCAGGGATTCTTGCTTAGGAGTGCTTAGATCGAACCTTTGGGCACAATTCAGGTATGGGTTAGCGAGATACCGAAGTTAGCCTTTGATAAACATGGCCGATCACAGGCGAGTGGTTTCTCCCACAGGTGAAATCCCAGCGTTTCTAGCATACACTTCCCCGGCATACTCTTCCCTAATTCCCCAACCGTGTCATTTCTTTGGCCCGTGTTCAAAGCGGGCAGCGTTGCTTGGCTAGATTGCGCACGACCCAACGCTGCCTGCAGCACAGCCCAGACCAGTGCGCAGGCCAGGCACAGGCAGCTGCGCTTGCGGCAAGGCATTGCAAGCGCGGAAACGTTGCATGCACCGCTGGGGCTTCAAGAGCTGCTGTGGATGGCAATCCGAATTGCCATTCCAAAACAAAGCGTGCTGTGGATGGCAGGATTGCCATTCGAAGAAAAAACAAACAAAAAAAAACGGCTCCTGATCGGATCTGCTGCCCATTGCGAAATGTCTGGGTGGAAGTGGCATGGCAAAGAAGCCAGGCTCTCTCCAAAACAGTGCGTGGAGCGTTGAACGTGCGGAAGTGTCACATCACTGACGGGATTGACTTTGTTGCCAGCCCGAAGGAATGGAAGCCCCCTTGTCAGCTGTCAGGCTGGCCTTCCCATGTCTCCGGCGGTTCCAAGGTGAGCCAAGATGGCCGTGCCAGTTCTCAGTGGGCAAAATGAATTCAAGTGCTAGCTCAACCAAGCAATTCCGAGTGACTTTGTGCGCGTATCAGCACTGGCTCGTGCTCTTTGAACTATAGCTCCCTGCACCTCACGGCGCCTTGGACGCCTTCACGTCAGGCTCCGGAGCTCTGTCCGGGCAAATGGACCAGTCTCAGTTTGCTGAACTCGGGGAAGGCAATCGGGTCAACTTCGCGGCGATCTGATGATAGCGATCAGCAAACTCAGACAGCACTTCAGATCCTTCCGTCACCCAAGTAGCTGGGGAAGGCGTGCCCGATCCTCTCGTCGCAAAGGAAACCCCTCATGGTGCATATCGTGCACCGCTCCAGGTTCCAGGGCTCCGGGGCTCCGAAGAACGTGACTCAGCGAGGATTTCTGACTGCCACAAAAGAAATTGGAGAGGAGCAAGCCATATCTCTACCCGGTCTTAGTCGACTTTGCCCAAATGGGCGCCTCAGGCGCCCAAGCAACGTGGCCTCAGACCAGCATCACCTCCACTTTGGCCACGCGGCACACCTGCATTTTGTTTCAGGCCTTCGACCAAACTGGCAAACCCGGGAGATGGAACCAATGCGTTGCCAACCACAGCACGCACGAGGCAAAAAGATGCGCATGTCATCTTTGGGCTGCACATCGCAAAGCTGACTCGACATGTTGGCTTGAAACACAACCCTCAGGCTGATGCGAGACCTTTGATCTGATCGGCGTGACGTCTTGAATCGCAAAGAGTGCTGCTTGCACGTTTCTCGGCAGCAACCTGCATTGGTTGCTGCGTAAGGCGTGCTTGCCACTTTGCCCGGCAACGGGAGTTTGATGTGAGTACCCACTATCTGAGGGACAGGGGAGCTGGCTTGCTTTCACTCTTCTCCTTGTTCCCCTGCATGAGTACTGCACAGTAGCGGTCAACAGTTCCTAATTCCAAATACATGCGGAAACCATGCTTTGTTTCCCAGAATGCGTTCTGCTTTGCAACAGCGTTGGCAGTGGACTGGGGCTGTTTCAATAGAAGAGTATCCCAAAAAATCCTCCTTTCAGCTTCCAGCATTGACAAAGAAGGGCCCTTTTGGCATGAGGAATCATCCCTGCATTTGGACGTGTTCAAAGCTAGAGAATCCGATCTTGATCAGCAGCTGAGAGAGGGGCGGAGCCAAAGGGAAAGCCACCATGTGGGGGGGGTTCTGAAAAAACCCACACCCCAAACCGTCCCAGCGGGGCGCTCCCCCAAAGCCCAAGGCCCAAGGCACACATCCCACAGAGAGCTGGGCGACGCAGTGCGATGCACACCGGCCGTGCGTCACAGGTGCCACCATCAGCTGGGTTGCAGTCAGCTGCTGCCACCTTCCGCGTCAGCTGGGCCCTTTGAGGCAGATGTTCATATGAAGGCTTCTGAAAGAAGGGCTCCCCTTGAAATGGTAGGCTTCCTTTCGGCTTCCTTTTGGCTTGGTTTGAGCCTTACCCGTAGAGCACGTCTCTATTGCATGCCGAGAACTACGTCCACCATGCAAGCCCTCCGATGCAGCGCGGCACGTCTTGACCTGCTCCGTGCTTGAACCCGAACCTCTTGGAGCAAGACATCTGGACGTGGAACGTGCCTTCTACAAGCAGCCGAGCCTCTCCTATTTGGCCGTTTCGTTTTCACAGCTCCCAGATTGATAGATTGTTTTCCTGGGCAGAAGCAATCCAGACCAAGCCCACTGAGCGCCACTTTCTGCCAAGGCACCAGCCCTCTGAGTCAGCCTCTGTGAGATTCCGGTTCCTCGGATTTCAATCAATCAATCAATCAATCAATCAATCAATCAATCAATCAATCAATCAATCAATCGATCGATCGATCGATCGATCAATCAATCAATCAATCAATCAATCAATCAATCAATCAATCAATCAATCAATCAATCAATCAATCAATCAATCAATCAATCAATCAATCAATCAATCAATCAATCAATCAATCAATCAATCAATCACGGTGATGGGTTTGGGGTCGACACTTCACGCTATGTCCTTGCATGTTGGCCAACTCGACTCTCGGGTTGCTCCCTTTGCACCATTTCTGCGGATCCTTCTAACTGCTCGGATTCCAACCGCGCTTCGTTGTGCGTGGTTGGCTACGTACGATTTGCCCCCCGCGGGTGTGGGTCAAAAACAGGTACAAATGTCTGGAACCCTGGTAAATGACGAAAACCCATCCAAGTCCTGACCCAGTCCAATTCCTGGTTTAACTTTGACCCACACCCATACACTTCGTGTCTTGAATCGACCCACGCCAATGCCATGCGCATAGGTGGCCTTTTGGAAAAATAGATGTGTTTCCCTGGGAAACGGAATGAATAAACCAACCATCTAAACCAGGGAAACGCATGGTTTCCCTGGTAAATGGAAGAAACCCCTCTAAACCAGTGGCTTGCCCATCCATTTTTAACCAGGCAATTCCTGGTGGCTTCATTTTGACCCAGACCCATTGCTGGAACCCGGGCAAATGACGAAAAACCCGTCCAATTCCCGACCTACACCCATGCACTTTGTGTCTCGAATCGACGACCACGCCAAGGCCAGGCGTCTCTCTGAGCTCTTTTGCCTGCGCCCAGACCTCCTCGAAGCCTTTCTCGGCGTTTTCCGCGAGCGGCGCATCCGTGAGCGCCCGGTGCGACGCCGGGTCCGCGAAGCGGCGGTTGCTGGGCAGCAAGGGCAAGGTGAAGTTGGCCTGGCGGCAAGCGAATGATTCTGGCAATCCAATGCGCAACATAGCTTACTCCGGTGAAGATATACATAATCAAATGAGCAACATAGGTTTACTCCGGTGAAGATATACATCAATTGATGGGCTCCGCCCTCCGGATCGCCTGAAGCCATTGTCAACTGCTTGCTTTCGCCCAGCCGGCTCGGTTTGGATTGCTCAACTTCGAGCGGCCCATGACGCGCTCGTTCAATGCCAACAAAGATCCGCCCTCATCTCAAATTGAACATAGTCTACCTTATCCTTGCAGACTCACTAAGACATTGCCATGTGGCTATGCTACTCTGGCATTGCAGCCATCTGGATGAGCTGAGGAATTTGAGCACAAAGCCAGGTGAAGCAAATATGCAAGCGCAAAAAAAAACAAAAAACGGGAGGGCATGCAGCCTGTTTCGTCCTGGGTTGCTTGCATGCATTGTTTATGTCCCCTGGCAAAAGAGTCGAACAAATTCTACGAGGAATGTTGCAACCTTCTCCAAACATGCTGTAGATGACTTCCAACTGTCTCTTCTGGGGTATTGTAGGCTAGCATTTTGTTCTCTTCTTGAAGCAAGAACCCAATGGACCCTGAGTGCTTGCTATTCCACATCGCTGCTTGAATTATTTCATCGGGGATTGATAGGCGATCCGGGTCAAATGACCAATGGCGCACATCACACATACATGGCTATGAACTTTAGTAGGGAAAGTAGTTGATTGGACATGGACGCCCGCCTAAACAAGGGTCCAGCAGTTCGGGTCCCATAATCAAAGTTCAGACCCACATGAAAACATATGTGTTTATATATACACATAATATATCTGTATATATATATATATTTATGGGTTTGTATTTTTTACGGGGGCCGGCAGGAAGGTTTGGGTACGGGGTATGATTCGCAGGTATGATTCGCGGGTATGATTCGGGGTATGATTCGGGGGTATGATTCGCGGAAGCAGCAGCAGCAGCAGCAGCAGCAGCAGCAGAAGCAGTAGTACTAGTAGTAGTAGTAGTAGTAGTAGTAGTAGTAGTAGTAGTAGTAGTAGTAGTAGTAGTAGTAGTACTAGTAGTAGTACTAGTAGTAGTAGTAGTAGTAACAATAGTAGTAGTAGTAGTAGTAGTGGTAGTAGTAGTAGTAGTAGTAGTAGTAGTAGTAGTAGTGGTAGTGGTAGTGGTAGTATTGGGTAGCGCTGGTGGTGGTTGTTGTGGAGGCAGTGAACAACACAAAACGGTAGAAGAACAGTAGCATCTTGCAGCATACGTTTTAAGGGGTATGATTCGGGGGTATGATTCGGGGTATGAGTCGGGGGTATGATTCGGGGGTATGATTCGGGGAGGTCCCACCTTCTGCCTTTTGAAGCAACTCAACACACCAAAAAAGGACAAACCCATATATACACCCCACCGAAAAAGAAAACAAAAACACCAAGCCCACGTGGCCTGCGTTTGCGGGCTGGGCAGCCCAGTCATGGCCCAGAAGAGGGGCCAGCCCCTAGCGGCGGCCACGCGCTGCAGCTGCCGACCCAGCGCTGTGCCGAAGAGCGTGCCGCCGTTGCCTCGGACCGGCGGACGGCAGACGGATTTGGGGCGATGGATCTGCAAGCCTCCATTTGCGTTTTCGTCCCCTGGAAAAAACAGAAATATTTCCAGTAGTGATAGATTCCCTTTAAAACCAACAGGAGAAAGAAAGAAACATGTTGTGGAGCTAGGCCCAGTTGCAGAATGTATATTTTACTGTTTGCTTCACTTTGAGGCACTGGTGAACTGTAAAATGTATCCTAAGTCTACCCCAGGTCTGCGAAGCTCAAAACTTGCAGCTGCTCCCTTTTTCGCGCCCCTTTTCGAACCAACCCCGCAGAAAAGGGCGCCCTCAAAGAATCAACTCCGCGATAATTTACTGTTCCAAGGGCTGAACTAAGACTCGGATCGCCAACGAACGGAGCTCTGAGCTCTAATATGCAGATCCGTGCGCTTGGACTCCATGTTGCGGGTTACCATGGCTGTTACCCGCTGACCTGACGTACAATGCCCCTCCAGGAGGGCACGTTTGCTTGTCGAAACACGTATGAATTGCAGAGATTTACGCAGATGTGATTATGGTTTGAGCAGAAGGCTGTACCAGTAGCCACCAAGGCGGTCTTACCCCCCCCCAGGCTTTTTGGGATCAGATTTGCACACTTCGTCCAGGCAAGATGAGTTGGCAATACTGAGAGAGAATGTAGGGTAAGGACGCAGGGTGCCATATATGCTGCGGATGCGGCTGCACTGGAGCTTGTCTTCCTTCCTGGTTTTCTTCCTTCTCCTTTGCACTTCCTCTTCCCTCCTTCCTTCCCTTGCCGAACGGGCTGCTTGCACCCAAATCCGTGAGAGAGTCAAACGTCCCGGGACATGGCCATCTCCAAACACAAACTGGCAGACAGACCGCGCCAAACAGCCCGATCCTTGCCCTTGGTGCTTCGCATACATGGTTTTGGTCTCGTGGAGAAGCCAATCTTGATCAGCTCGTTCGCCTGAGTTCATTGTGGTTGCTCGAACGAGCTGTGTCAGACCCTAGCCAGAGCGTGAGATGGAGAGAGCGAAAGAGAGCAACAACACGGGAATTTCAAGAGAGAGAGAGAGAGAGAGCGAAAGAGAAGAGGAGAGAGATAAATTCCGACATAGAGAGATAGGGGGAGAGAAATTGAAAGATAGAGACATAGAGAGAGAGATAGAGAGAGATAGAGAGGTAGAGAGATGGAGAGGTAGAGAGATAGAGAGATAGAGAGGTAGAGAGCTAGAGAGGTAGAGAGACAAAGAAATAGAGAGATAAAGAGAGATAGAGAGATAGAGATACAGAGAGAGAGAGCGAGAAAGAAAGAGAGAAACAGAGAGATTGAGAGATAGAGGGATAGAGGGATAGAGAGGTAGATAGAGAGACAGAGAGATAAAGAGATAGAGATATCAAATAGAAACATTAGACTGGATAGAGATAAGAAGAAAAGATAAGATGGGATAAGACAGGACAAGCTAGGTTCGGGTGGGTGGGGTGGGCGGGCGGGCGGGCGGATGGGCGGGTGATGCATGGATGATGGACGCATGGATGCATTGACGCATGGATACATGGACGCATGGAGGGATGCCCGACCCCTTTCATCCATGCTGCCGATCAGGAAACTCACTCCTGCAGGCAGCCGGGGGTTTCCCAGGATGTTTGTCTCAAGGTACTGAACAGCCTCGAAGGTGTCCACAGGCGGGATCGCCTAGCTCGCAAAAGCGGTGCTAGAGGCTGTGGTGCTAGCGGCATGCGGAGCGACTTGCCAACCTCGGCCTCTCGGAAAAGTCTCGGTGTCTGTTGCGCGTACCCTGCAGCTTCCGGCAAACATATCCCAACTGCTGAAATGGGGATTGGTCAAAAGAGGTCGGTGTGGACCCTTGCGACAGGGTGAAACAAAAATCTAGATGTGGCTCAAAATTAAACAGGGGGGGTTACGCAGGTTTGGTCCATGTTTCCACTTACCAGGGTTCCATGTTGGTACCGGATTTTTGAGCCACAGCCATATGGTCCGATGCAGAAGTGAGCGACCAACGGCGATCATCCTAATTCAACCGCCGAATTAGACATGAAATGGCCGACTGAGTTCCTGTCGGGCCTCATAGGGAAGCTTCGCGATGGCACTACGCCCGAACAGGGACTGCACGTTTGCGGACATGTTGTAGCGGAAGGAGAAGTTGCCCAACGACCAGTTGCCCATCATGTAGAGGTTCGGCAGAATGAGATGATCAAAGTGATCCTGGCTATCAGAAAGTGCTTCTACGTATGAGCTTGGCATGTGTGAGCCAAACTTGGGGCAGTGGTCTCTGCGGGTCGATGATCAATCACCGCATTGGGACATGGAAAAAAGCAGTGCTTGGCAACGGAGGCCGGAAACATCCCGGCACAAGTTGAGCATGCCCAAAATCTCTTTGGATGTTCTATTCCATGCCACTCAAATCGCTGTGAGCAGCAGCAGCAGCTTCTGCCTTGCTACATCAGAAACAACTAACGAAGCCTGCTCGAGAGTTGGCCGCCCAACTGTTCTGGTCCACAAAGGGTCCCGTTCATTTCGCGAAATGACGCGCAGGGGAGAATCCGTTTTTGAGCACGTTGAAACCCTAATTACACACACACATCTTAAATGGGCACGCATCACCGCTGGATTTCGCCCAGATTTCGCCCCTGCAACCCGCTCCAGCGTGCCCAGCACCTCGCCCCAGGAGCTGCAGTTCAGCTGGGGAGGCGCGAAGCCTTCAGGGATGCCCTGGTGCCAGCAGGACATGCCATACTGGCCGCTGTCGTACCTAGGAAGCCCCACAGCTGGCGCTGCGCCACATGGCTGTGGGTCAAAACCAATGGTATCATTTTGGGGTAGGTGAGGTGCACCCATTTTAGAACCTGTTTTAGTGCTTGGATGTTCACTGGGGGTACTGGCTTTTGACCCATGGCCACATCCTTCTTTGTCCGCAAAACCTAGAGATCCGAATGTTGACACACCTTTTCAGGAAGTGTTGGAGCGTGTCCGCAGCATTGCAGCCAAGCAGAAGCCAACCCCCAAAGCGCAAAGACACCCAGCATGCAAGCCCCAAACAGCGTCATGTCCTCCTCAACAAGACTAGCGTTGATGAAGGAATCTCAGTCCGTGCTCCTGACACGCTGATGCAAGCCCAACAAATGAACATTGGCAAGCAAAAAAATGTTCTCTGGAATGAAGCCATACGTTGCCAATAGAAAGCAACATGCTAACATACATTCGACAAAGCATGGGAGCAATAGCATCCGGCAGCATCACATTGCTCCAAGAAGCCACAGCATTTAGTGCAACGCGACAACTTTATCACATAGCAGCAGCATGCAATGTCGTCCAGCTGCATGAATGGCAATATGCAAGCCCGTCACTGAGTCACACACACACACATGCCAGCAAACCTATGGTATGCGCCAAGGCAAAGAAATAAGAGCACTGGCGCGCCACAAACCTGACCCAACACAAGCGTAGACCAGCCGAAACATCTCTAAGACATAGAAATACCAACAATCGCTCGCAGCGCCAGCGAGAGTAGTTTAAGCAACACTATGCAGTGCCATCAAACAGAGGGTACGTCTTCCGTGGGGCAACAATATGCAAGCCCGGTGAAAGCACATGCACAGCGTCAATCGACCACGCATGCACTGCATCAAACAAGCTGCGTGTACTTGTCGCACTTATTGAATACTACAACATGGGTCTATGGAACGCATGTAGGTGCACCATGAAGTTGCCAAGTTTAACAACCCGGAACAACTGTGACTGCAAAACCACAACAAAGCCCCAACACTGACACTCTCAAAGGGATTCACCGCCATCAATCAATCAGCGGCAGGCAACAAAATGTGCATACCACCGCAAGCGAGTCCAATATGCTGGCAACAGCATGCGCCGCAGCCAAGTACCTGTACTCAATCAAGGAAGGCAGCCAGCAGGGCGCCGAATCACCGTTCGGAAAGGACGGTACACCGAGCCAAGATGGTCAACACATGAACGTTGAAATGCATACTGTTGAACTCAAAACAAACACACGGTAGGGCCGTGAACTGCCTGGGAGTGAGAAGAACAGGCGCTTCGCGCCAAGGCGCGGCATCGTCAGGACCATGTCATGCACGTAGGTGGTATTGAAGACCGCCACCACGTCCCCAAAGCTGGGCATGGACCCGTAGTCCAGGCGCCGCATGTTGTGGGCCACGTAGATGAGCCGCCCTGCAGCCTCTGCCCAGGTGGGAGCCGTCGGCGAAGTGAAGGGCCGGCAGCCGTAGAGACGCTGCTGGACCAGGTCGTTCACCGCCTCGGAACGTCGACAGCGCCAAAACCGGATTTCCAGAGAAAAACCGAGGATGGCCGCGACAGTGCGCATGATCTGAACGAGCAAAATCACGACGCGCTCGCATCCGACTTTGGAACGTGCCCAAGAACAGAACCAAATACCCTCCCAACAACTGACATAGAAGCTGACGTTCGTGGCCTCCTGGAAGACCATTTGCCTTTTCAAGAGACCCCAAACGTCAGGTTCCATGTCAATTGCTGGGAGGGCACGTTTTTCAGCCCCAAGCAGCTTCCGCGCCTGAGGGGTGCCGGGAGTGGCATTGCCGTGCAGCAGTCCAGCCTGGCGAGTGTCTGCCCCAAGTTGGGAAACGCGCATGCGACAGATGGCCTGGTTAAAAAATAATCCGGGCAATCCCAAAACGGCTTGCCCGACCGGGAAATGGAAACCCCGAGTGGTTTCATTTTGACCCATGCCCAAATCATCATCATCTTCGGTGCATGCGTCTCGGGGGGCACGCCCAATGAAAGGCAACAAATTGCAGTTCCTCAAATCCCTAAGGGTCGTCCAGCTATAGTAAATGTCCACTCCTCTCGGATGGGTGATCAATGCAGTCGTTTGGTGCAGCTCACCTGTCTTGGCGTCCGTCACAGAACATCGAAGAACGGGTTGTCTAAAATCCTGAGATGAGGCAAACCGATCTCCCCATGCTTGAACCTCTGTGAGGAGGGTCAGTGTAATAATGAATCTTTATGAGCCCGAGGGCTTCGCGGACAATGATGTGAAGGACCACCCGTTCCATGGCGTCCTTTTGAAGGACCACCCGCATCTTGCCGTTCAAATCTGTCCCATTCTCCCCACAATCCAACTTCACCTAGTGGAAGTCTGGCGACAGACTTGCCTGTCGCATTCCCATCATTTGTTCATTTGGAGTTGGGGGGATAACCTAAAATCAAACCTCCATTTGGCCAAGTTTGGACGGCAATTTAAATGACAGCATAATCTCCAACAAAAAAACCCGTTGAGAAAAAAGGAGAAAACGCTGTTGAGACATCCCTAACGTTGGCCTGCCACTCGTTGAGGAACCAGCCGTGCTCCTCGAGCTCCGCTAACGTGACGTCCGGCCACACCGCCGTCAAGCTCTCCGCTGGCAGGGCGTGCGCGAGCTCCGCTGACCGGGCCTCGGCGTTATGCATGCGATCCGAATGTGGAGGCTAAATAATGGGACACAAAATCCGGCCTTCTCAAGCAAGTCACATGAGATGCGTTGGTTCTCTCATCAGGGTGCCTCTTGGGGAGCGTACCTGGGACTTCGAATGAAAACAGCAAAGCACCTCAGTGGAATCTACTGGTGCTAGCGAATGTTGCTGTATGCCATGTATGTTCTTTGGTTTGGATGGGTGCTGTACTTTGCCTCGAGTCGCATATTCAGGCATCCGCATTCCTTCCTGAACGAAGAGTGGTACATGCACCCCGCCTGAAAACCTCCCTGCATGTTTTTGCTGCGCAAAGGCAATGTCCCAAGACACACAGAAGAACAAGGGGGATGAATACGATGGTGCGCTCAAGATCAGCGACTGGCTTATCATGCTCCCAAATGGCTTTGGCTGCACAACACAGACTGCCTCCTGGAGCGAGGTTGCCGGAATAGGGTGCTGGCGCAAGGTGGAATTGTGACAGCCTATGTCAAAAGCGAGTGATACCAACACCATGAAAGCATGTAGTAGTATCAAAACGCATGCGTGCTGGTGGTTGCTGCCGGCTTGTGGCTAGCGCGCCACACAAAAGCTGCCGAAGTTCTGCTCCTAGCCAGGATTAATCGGTCCCTCGCCTCGCCTCAGGTACTGTACCATCTTGGCTCCCGGTTCCCCACATTTCTTGATGCCTGGACTGGTTGGCTCAGGCCTTTTCACTCGGCTCAACTTTGAGTGCAGCTCGTGCTGCCAAACAGAAACCAAACGGTCCCCAGGCCGGCGGCCAGGGCGGGGCGGCCAGCAGGGCGATCCGAGAACCGAGACCCGCGCCTCGGCGCGGTACCGCTTCAGCAGCTCGAGCGCCGAGAGCGGCAGAAGCTCCGCGCAGCAGCGGCGCAGGGCTTCCCGAAAGTCACTGGAGTCCTCCGAGCGATGCGAAGCGAAGCAAAACGCGCCGTGTCGATGGATCGATGCAGTTCCCGGCTTTACGGACATTGGACACTTCCTGGCTTCGGAGCCGAAGGCGAAGAAGCGCGTCACAAGCTCATGTAAAGTAAGGTGTAGGAGCATAGCAAGAAAGCCCAGCCGTACCAATAGAACCCCAAAGCGTTCTCCAGGCAGTGACCACCCTGGACTCACCTTGTTGCCTTCAACACGAGTCCGGCTATCGATTTCAGGAACCGGAGGCTGGTATGCTTGACAGCCATCGGTTCGAGCAGATCTGGCTTCATCCATGCCTGGGCTTTGACTGGGGTGTTGTGAGCAGGGTTGGGCCTGCGGAATTTTCACCGGCTGTGCGCAGCGATGGAAGGACACATATGAACATGAGTCATCTTGGCCCATGGGCTACCTGAATCGCCTGGGCTTCGGAGCGGGTCAAGTTCCAAGCGGCCTTGAAAGTGTGCGGCAGCCCGAGGGCGGGTTGACTTTCCGAAAGGAAAACATCCAGAAGCTCAAGGAGAATCGCATTGAAGGCATTGCCAACTACTAGGCATCAGTTGACATAGCCCATGTGGTCAAATCAAGTTGTCACAAAAACAAAAAAGTACTCATTTTGTTGCGTCCTGCCAGGTTGATGATCCTTGTTCTGCTGAAACTGAAGGGAAGCAATGAATCTTGAAGCTCTGCCCAAAGATATTCAGGTGGGTGGAACTCCAACAAAATCAAATGAATGGAGTTCGCACATGCAAGCAGTCCCCCGTCACATTGCCTGCCCAACAATTGTTGTGGCCTGTTCAAATCAAAACGAAACAGGTTCCCCTCAAACGGGATGGTGGGCCTAAACGGCCACCCCACCTCCCGCCAATTCAGCAATGCAAAGAACGGCAATAAACTGGATTCCCCAAAACTATGGATATAACAATCACCGGCCATTGAGCCATCGTATCAAAAATCCCAGTGCCCGGCATGTGTTTTGTCTGCTTATGTCCAACAACACGGCACCGATGGGGGAAAAATCCGCCGACCCCTTTGCAAAAGCAAAGTTAGTCTCTGCAAAGGGGCGAGGCGTGTTCTAAGTGGTGGTTAGGGGGAGTCTGAGGGGGGGAGGGGGGGTCCCGCAGCGGATTTTTGACACGCCTAACCTCTAACCCTAACCTCTAACCCTAACCTCTAACCCTAACCTCTAACCCTAACCTCTAACCCTAACCTCTAACCCTAACCCTAACCTCTAACCCTAACCTCTAACCCTAACCTCTAACCCTAACCTCTAACCCTAACCTCTAACCCTAACCTCTAACCCTAACCTCTAACCCTAACCTCTAACCCTAACCTCTAACCCTAACCTCTAACCCTAACCTCTAACCCTAACCTCTAACCCTAACCTCTAACCCTAACCTCTAACCCTAACCTCTAACTTTAACCTCTAACCGTGAGGATGGATGATGATGATGAAAGACTAGGAAGATGACGGAAGACTACGGGAAGATGACGGGAAGCTGACAGAAGACTACGGGAAGATGACGGAAGACTAGCTGACGGGAAGATGACGGAAGACGGAAGAGAACGGAAGACTAACTAAGATGACGGAAGACTACGGGAAGATGACGGGAAGATGACGGAAGACTACCGGAAGATGACCCTACTCTAACCCTAACCTCTAACCCTAACCTCTAACCCTAGCCTCTAACCCTAACCTCTAACCCTAACCTTTAACCTTAACCTCTGACCTTAACCTTTAACCCTAACCTCTAACCTTAACCTCTAACCCGAACCTCTAACCCTAACCTCTAACCCTAACCTCTAACTTTAACCTCTAACCGTGAGGATGGATGATGATGATGAAAGACTAGGAAGATGACGGAAGACTACGGGAAGATGACGGGAAGCTGACAGAAGACTACGGGAAGATGACGGAAGAGTACGGGAAGCTGACGGGAAGGGAAGATGACGGAAGACTACGGGAAGATGACGGGAAGCTGACTAGCGGGAAGATGACGGAAGACTACGGGAAGATGACGGAAAGACTACGGGAGATGATGGGAAGATGACGGAAGACTAAGGCAAGATGACGGAAGACTGCGGGAAGACTACGGGAAGAGGACGGAAGACTATGGGAAGCTGACGGAAGACTACGGGAAGCTGATGGGAAGATGACGGAAGACTGCGGGAAGATGACGGAAGACTACGGGGAGATGACGGAAGAATACACGAAGATGACGGAAGACTACGGGAAGATGACGATGATGATGATGATGATGCTGATGATGCTGCTGAGGATGATGAAGATGATCTGATGATGATGATGATGACGCCGCTGATGATGATGACGATGATGATGATGATGATGGTGACGAGGATGATGATGATAATCAGGAGGATGATGAGGATGATGATCTGACGATGGTGCTGATGCTGGATGATGAGGATGATGATGCTACTGAGGCTGAGGATGATGATGGATGATGATGACGACATGGTGGATGATGACGATGATGATGACGCATCGTCCTCATTCATCAGGTTGAGCAGCATCATCGTCATCCTCCTCATCATCATTATCATCAGCGGCGCCATCATCGGCCTCGTCATCCAGCATCATCATCAGCCTCATCATCCCCGCATGAAGCCAGACGTTGGAGAAAAATCCGGCCCTTGTTATCGCTGAGAGAAAGCCCGGCTCTTCTCCGTCCCAGACCAAAAAGCAGCTTCCGCATCCCCAGCATGCCAGGCATCACCCCAGACACCTGCAGGATGATGCCGGTGAAGCGGGGGATGCAAAAGCTGCCTTTTTTCCCGACATTCGAAGACCAAAAAGGCAGTTCCTGCATCCCCAGCAAGCAAAGCATCACCCCGGGCACCTGCAGGATGATGCTGGTGAAGCGGGGGATGCAAAAGCTGCCTCTTTTTCAAGACCAAAAAGGCAGCTCCTGCATCCCCAGCAAGCAAAGCATCACCCCGGGCACCTGCAGGATGATGCTGGTGAAGCTGGGGATGCAAAAGCTGCCTTTTTCTACAACGATGGAAGACCAAAAAGGCAGCCCCCGCATCCCCAGCATGCGAGACCTTGGCGCCGATCCTGCTGAGAGACGGAGAAGGGCCAGAGTTTCTCCAGCGTGTGTGATGCTGTTACGGGGGTCGGCGGCATCAGGCGTCAGCCTGCTAAATAATAAAAAAAAAAATAAGGGGGCCTGTGGACCTCAAATTTCGTTGAGATTCTCCAGATATTTTCACCCAAATCCGAGGTGCTTGTGCGTCCAGCCCCGGACCTCAAATTGTAAGGTCCACCCCTTGGTGGTTCCAACCAGACTATGGGTATAATCCAAGGTGGTTCCAACCTGTGTCCACCAAACTATGGGTATAACAATCACCAGTCATTGAGCCCATCGTGTCGGCTGTGTCGAAACCCTCCACTCAGGTGGTTCCCACCAAGGTGGTTCCAACCCTCAAAATTCCCAGGGCGACATCACCTTTTTGGGAGAACATGACTGGTGATGGTGATTGGAACTAAAGTTGGCAGCGGAATCCATGGAACCTGAGGACTGTGGAGCTGATGTACCAGGAACCTTTTCTGGGTTCCATGTGGGACCATCGGAAGACCAAACAATTCCCATGATTTCGCCACGCCGTCCAGGAAGGCCAGCACCTCTCCCGTGGCTTCGGCGCTGGCCGCCGCCGCGGCCGCCGCGTGTTTGGCGAAGAGGGCCCGCTGATGGGGCGTCTGCTCGGCCTCCGCGGGGTTGGTTGGAAGCCTGGGGGTGGAATCGAGGGGATCTATGTGGCAAGAGGAAACGAGGGGATCTAGGTTTGTGGGGGTTGGGGGCTTGGGAATTTGGGGGTTTCTGGGGGTTTTGGGGGTTTGGGGGTTGGGGGGTTTGTGGGTTTGTGGGTTTGGGAGTTTGGGGGTTGGGAGGTTATGGGGGTTTGGGGGTTTGGGAGTTTGGGGGTTGGGAGGTTATAGGGGTTTGGGGGTTGTTGGGGGTTGAGGTTTGTTGGGATCTGGAATTCCATTCATGATGATTCATGACGAAATGGCCAGTGGCCATTGGCTCGAGCCTTGATACTAGCCTGCCATTGCGCTAGAACTCCCTCAAGGGGCAAATGCCAGCGACGCCCGCTTGCTTGGCACTGCCCACAGCATTGATTAATCTACTTCATTTGCCAGGCACAGCGTTGGCCCACCTCTACGAGACTGGATCGATCCCGGGCTCCCCGGGCCCCATTTTTGGAGAGGCTGAGTGAGGTTTAGAATGCTCGAAGGAGTCAAAGGACTTAAAGGCTGGTCCTTGCTCAAAGAGGGGGTGAGGGTTTGCGTGTGGGCATGACATGGACAGGTTCTTGAAGCTGTCCGCAAACAAAGCTCCCTGCAGTCAAAGTGTAGATGAGTCAAAAATGGAGGTCAAAGCCATGATCTAGGGTTGACCTGCTTTCAACTCTTGACGATCCTCTACCTGACCTATATATACATATATGTATATATATATATATATATAATATCCCCCAATAGCCCCCCTCCCCCCCTGCATTCCCCTTTGCCCAAGACCCCAGCCCACCCAACACCCCCAACATCCCCGCGCATTCCCAGCATCCACGGGGTTGTCTGCGCACTTTAGCTAACTCCAAACCCAGTCTCTCACCCTAAATCAACCAACCCTCAACCAACCCTCAACCAACCCTCAACCAACCCTCAACCAAGCCTCAACCAAGCCTCAACCAACCCTCAACCAACCCAGCCAGCCCGCAACCAACCGTGGACTAACCCTGCACCGGCCTTTTCGAACACTTATCCAACCCTGAACCAACCCCACCCGCAACCACTCCACAGAGGGGTACCATGACCATGGGTGGGAGGGCAGCAGCTGCATCATTGGATGCTTCTTTCAATGCCTCCCTCGTATTTGTGGTTGGGGACGGTTCTCTTTCAGGGCCAAGTTGATATATATATATATATGTATATGTATATGTATATATGCAGTAGGCATGAATTTCAATTAGGCACCCTTTGGCGGACATCATTTTAAAGATTCATGTCCACCACTTTTGGTCTCCCGAATCAATTTCGTATGTTTGAAGCCTGCCACACCTCAAAACATCAAACGTATCGCATCTCTCCCTGAAGTACCCGCAAAGTGTGTTTTGTTTGAGGCTAAAAGGGCATAGAATCGTAACCATGACACATGCACGCGAACGAACGCATGTACACACATACACGCATACACCTACACATACACCTACACCTACACCTACACCTACTACACCTACACACGCACACGCACACACACACACAAACAAAGAGAGAGTGAGCGAGAGAGAGGTAGAGAGAGAGAGAGAGAGAAAACAAAACATTCACCCCCACCATTTGTTGCCAAAAATGGGTCTGGCTGTAATTCAATGGCTTTCTTTAGTGGTACGCCCCCGTGTCTCCTCTTGTTGAATGTTTGTGGACGCGGCAAGTGTGCTAGGTAGTTCTGCAGAATCAGCGAGTTCCCAAATCGGCAGAACAAATCAGAGCAAATCAGAACCCCTCTCAAGTAGAAGAGCGAAGCAACCAAACTAGGGATGTAGCAGCGCAACAGTCTCCCATCTGTCGGAACATGCAGTCGTGAACCAGCAGAACCATCCATAGGTGTCCTTTTAGGGGAAATTGATGGCCCTGATGATTAAACCACCAGCTAAACCAGGGCCATCTATTTTTCTAGCAAAACAACCAAAAAGGACACCTATGGAAACATCCATTTGGGATCCAAAGGTTTTAATCGCATGCCAGGCTGCAGGCAGAGGCTCCGGCACCGGGCCGGCGGCCGCGGCGGTCGTGGCGACCGCGAGACCCAGGAAAATCCACGCGGCCATGGCGGCCACGGGGGACCCCGCTGGCACAATGTGCCGAGGCGTGCCCCGCTTTTTTGCTTTTGCCTCGCCAATCGTAACACAGAGCGGGCTGAAACTCTCTGCTACATGGTCAGCGCTGACCATACAGGTGTGATGGGGCTGACGCGCTGCTTCACGAACACAAAAACATGGTCTCGGTAAGGCCCGGTATGTGTCTGTTTTCGCATGCACGGGTTTGCACCCCTGTGCGCGGGCATGAGCCACCATTGTCACTTGCGGGTTTCTCTCTGCCAATGATTGCTCATGTAGCCACGGCAGCCCAAAGACATTACCCAGAAACATGCCCAGAAAAACCACTTTTTGGGCCTTGTCAACCTTCTTGTCTCTTTCAAGCTGGCCACGCGCATGTCTTTGGCACCCTGTCCCTGTCGTTCTCCATTCGATTGCGGATGCTGTGCGACAGTGCGAGGGCACCGACCAGCCTCGCCCCGGGCGAGGTCTCCGTAAGAACAAGGCCAAACAACGTGCAGCACGCAGTCAATTCGGAATGTCCAACTACGTACAAATGTCTCAGAGCGCTGGCTGTCTGCCTTGCCCTCATGCTTCCACCTTGCCCTCTGGAAGTGCCATCTCCACCTCTGCGGTGTGCGACCGCCAATTCTGGAAACAGCTCCCCCAAAGCTTGCCTGGGCTTCCCAGATGCAATAGGAAAGCCTCAAGTGATTCAGCTGAAATGCTTTGAAACTAATGTTTCCCTGCTTCTGTCATTCATCAACGAGTCTCCCTACTTTCCCCTGACACACACACACACACACACACACCAACAACATTAAAAACAGATACACACACGTGCTCACGTGCTCACGTGCTCACGTGCAATCAAGACTGGGGCTCCAGTTGCAATTATGTGTTCCGCACGAAGAAACTCAAACCCAAAAAAAGTATCATGATCATAGGATGCGGCCGAAGAGGATCAAGCAATCCAAAATACCTAAGTACAACACATACATGCACAATGGTGTTCACCTCATTGGCTATCGGACATCCAGGAGAATGCCCCAATTCCCCACATGGTCGCTTTGTTCGACCTGTTCGACAGCGCCTCGTGGGTGACCTTGAAGACTCCTGCCGCTGCAACCGCGCCGAGAATCTCCAGGAAGGTGTAGATGAAAGCCTTCCAAAACGGAAGAAAGCTCGCAGGGCCACACTTTTGAACACGAGCATGACTTGAAATCTAAAACTGAATCCATGCTTGGCGGTTGGTGTGGATAGTCCCACTGTTCCAGTGGATGCATTCATGGTGAAAAGTGGGCCCTTGGCTTGGTGACCGTCCGCCCGTACGTATGCATGAATGTGGCTAGGAAGGTATGTATGATTGCATGCGCGCACGTACGCACATACGTATCTATTTCTGTAACGTACGTAGGTACGTACATATGCACGTATGCATTCATGCTTTCATGTGTTCGTGCATACGTGAAGCTCATGTATTCACGTATTCAAGTACTCGAACCCTCCCCCCCCCCCCCAAGACCTTGAAGAACATGCCGCCGTTGATGATGTTGGCAGTGGCAATACCGAACCTGGGCCGTGAGGCTGCAAAGAACCACCCTTCCGGGAGTAGTCCCTATCATACCAGTGGAGCAGGGGGCGGGGGTTTCACAGATATATGAACTATGGCTTGGAGCTCGCTGCCTTTCCCCATCTCTTATCTTCTCTTGTTTTCTCTTCTCTTCCTTTCTCGCTTTCCGCCTTTCTTTCTTATTTTTTGCCTTGTCTTTTCTTTTATGTTATTGTTTTTCTTTATTTCCGTCTTTCTTTTTTTCTTTCTTTCTTTCTTTCTTTCTTTCTTTCTTTCTTTCTTTCTTTCTTTCTTTTCTTTCTTTCTTTCTTTCTGTCTTTCTGTCTGTCTGTCTGTCTGTCTGTCTGTCTGTCTGTCTTTCTTTCTCTCTCTCTGTCTGTCTGTCTGTCTGTCCGTCTTTCTTTCTTTCTTTCTTTCTTTCTTTCTTTCTTTCTTTCTTTCTTTCTTTCTTTCTTTCTTTTGCCTTGTCTTTCCTTTTATGTTCTTGTCTTTATTTATGTATGTTATTTCCCTTTCTTTTCTGTTCTTTCCTTCTTTCCTTCTTTCCTTCTTTGTTTCTTTCTTTATTTGTTTCTTTCTTTATTTGTTTCTTTCTTTATTTGTTTCTTTCTGTTTCTCTGCCTCTTATCTCTCTCTCCCTCTTTCTCTCTCTCTCTCTCTCTCTCTCTCTCTCTTTTTCTCTCTCTCCCTCTCTCTCTCTCTCTCGCTCGCTTTCTCTCTCTCTCTCTCTCTCGCTCGCTTTCTCTCTCTCTCTCTCTCTCGCTCGCTTTCTCTATCATGTTGGTTCTCTGTTGTTTTTGCTGTTTCTCTGTCTCTCTCTCTCTCTCTCTCTCGCCCTCTCTCTCTCTCTCTCTCTGTCTCTCCCTCTCCCCCTCTCTCGTGCCCACAAAAGTAGCGCGCAAATGGCTCACGTTTTGGTGCACAGCCGTGCCAATGTGCCTGTCGCCGAGGCTGCTCTGAGACCTCTCCGCACTCGCTCCGAGACCGCCATCGCGACAGATGCCAAAGAGCTGAATTCACGCACAGGGCCACAGTGTCTGCTCCTTTCTATTCCCCAGCTCTCCGTTCATCAAGGAAACCCAGCTCAATGAGTTTCAGTACTGCGCAAGTTCCTTCTAAGCTTCCTTTGATAATGCCTGGAACCAATTTGGCACAAGCAGAAGAGAGCAAGCAAGACAAAGAATTCTCGCGGAACTCCTGCTGGGAAGACTTCTTTGCCGGTGCTTTCCTTTTGAACTCTTGTGTGGGACAATCTCCAGGCAATCGCCAAAGAGTGTCCAATCAACGAAAAGGTTGGCCCCTGCCCCCTCTCCCCCCCCCAAAAAAAAAACGGAGCCGTTCCACTGAATCTCCCCAAGGGCAACTTCTCTCAGCCCGCTCCGAATTTCCAGCTGGGCGGCGACACCGCGGGGTTCAGCGATCCCCCCGAGATGCCTCCGATGGCAAAGCCACCCACGGTAACGCAGGCGCCGATGGCGAGGCCGAAGAGCTGAGACGCCTCAAGCGGCGCAGGTGTCATGTCCTCTCCTTTCAACGGTGTCCCGGTTTAGGGTCGGTTTAGGGTTGCTTAGGGGGTTGGTTGAGGGTGGGTTTAGGGTGGGTTTAGGGTATTTTCAGTTTTGGGTTAGGTTGGGTTGGTTTAGGAGTAAGCAATTGTATATCCATTGTATATCATTTTGACAAATAAACGCCATGTGTGCTCAGAAACGCCCGTTGTGCTAAGATCCATGGTGTCCTTCCCTCATGTCGTCATTGAAAACCAGTTCAACACCTAAGAGCAAACGTTGATAACGTTGACCCCATTTTTTTTTAACCCCCTGTTTATTCATAGGGGGATGTCCCCGGTTGTGGGGATTCGGGCCACTTTGCAGCCCCCACCCACACCCATATTCATGAGGGGTCGATTCATCCAGCGCGGAAGCCGCGCTTCGCGCCTTGGTGCGCTCCGAGACCGCCACACAGAGCACCACGAAGCAGAGCACCTCGAGCGAATGGCACAAAGTTAGACTTACATTGGGAACTCGAGTTCCCCACGTGGGCGGCTGAGCGGCTTCCTGGTGTTTTCAAGTGGGTTCGAGATTTGGGTGTGGTTGTCCTTGGGGGGAAACACCTTTGAAAACCACCAGCTGGTTTTTTGAGAGTGGCTCAAAGCTGTTGCTATGTAAGCGCGCAGAAAAATATCCTGACGTCGTGCAAAACTTGAGGCCCCTTGGACTTTCAAGCCACTCAGTATGTAAAATTATGGCCATAGGCGGGGCAGGCGCTTCCAGCTTCTACACAATGCCTGCGCAAAGCTTTCAGGCGCAAAGTTTTCAGGCGCAAGGCTTGCCAAAAGTTCATTGACCTCTGCACATTGACCGCTGCAAATCAAAAAAAACGCTAATAACGCTAACATTGCCCGCCAGCCCAGCACTCAAAGAATTCTCAATGTTGCGAGCAGCCAAAGTGGACGTGAAGATTACCTCACCCCCGCCCCGACTCAACGGCTTCTAGTGGATGCTTACATTTCCCCACCCATCCCCCTCCCGCCCACCCCGCCCCTGAAAAGCGACATATCTCCGGAAGTGGAGCATATGCTGAAAACCAAGGAAAACAGCATGACATCTCTACTTTGAGCAAACTGTTATGAGCCGGATCCCGGAACCCTTCGAAAAAGGTACAGCCAGACCACTGGTTAGCAAGACCGCTTCCCGGAAGCTTATTGTCTCGCTTTATCGAAGCCTGGAACACAAACTCAGTGTTGCAACAACCCTCTTTACGATGTCGGCGTTCACGATGCGTCATGGCAAAGGGAAGGCTCCTCACTGATTTCCTTCTGGCGAACTGGCATCGCAGTAAGAAGCCAAGCAGCAAAAGTGTAGACAGTCTCGGCCACGGAAACTCCTGTCAAATCTGCTGAACAGGATTGGCAACGGCATGACAACCACACTTGTGCAATGAGTTTTGCGAGATTGACGGCTGGGTTCTAGGGCGGAACAATGTTTGGGGTGCTGGTGCTGGTGATTGGTTTGGGTGCTGTTCGGGGTACAACCCGCCCCCCCCCCCCCTCCGCCTGCCCAGGTGCTGAAACCCACTGGGCCCAGCCCAAAGGTCTGGCCCTGGTAGATCAGTGTATACCTCAGCCACACGCGGAGTGGTGGACATGGTGGACAGCAGCTGTGCTGGTTAGGCGGTAGGGTCGGTGTTAGTGGGTCCTCCCCATAGATTCTGGAGGAAAAACGGAAAAACGGTGCTAAACCAGCTTAGAGCAGAAGGCCCACTGTGGTACGAGCATTTCATGGCTTGGATACCGTGTAAGCCACCAGCACATGCTTTCCCAAAGCCTTGAGGAGATCCACCACCAATCCCAGCGGTTGATGGGACAAAGGGCCGTCTTCCAGGAAAGCGGGACTAGCACAAGAAGTGCTCCAGAATGCTCCACTCAGATTCAACGTAATCAAGAATTGTGTCAGGATTTCTGCTCGAATCAGATCTGGTTGTGCAATCAACCACGTGTATCCTGCTCAAATTGCACACACACACACACAGGTCATGCATAGGTATTGTGCCTCTCGCAGAGACTTGAAGCGAACGGCTCACTTTACAGGCCTGAACTTGATGTTTGAGGCGTGTCTTGACTGTCATCCCACCATCACGCGTCTTCCTTAGGCTTCCCCTCCCCCTCCTCCCTCCGTCCGCTCCTCCCGCACCGAGCGGCGTGAACGCCGCAGCGACGCCGCCCGCCACCTGCACTCCCGCGAAGGCGCCCGCCTTCTGCGGGGTCAACTCCGGGCAGCGCCCGGAGGCCAAGATGGCTACGGTGACCGCAGGGTTGAAGTGCGCCCCGGACACGTCCCCCAAGGCGTAGACCCTCAAGCCGGAAAAAACCGGCTGGTGCGAGAGGTAGCGACTTGTGGGAATGAGCCCTGCCGTCATTTGTGGCTTCCTGGGGGATCCCCAAGTTCATTCCCTCATTCCCTACCTATCGCACCAGCAGGGGAAAAAAGAAGAGACGTTGCAAGAGCAACTGCAACTAGCTGTAACCGGCTGATGAACATTGCCACAGCAGAAAGCTCCAGTGCACAATCACGCCGAGACTTGGGAGGTTGGGCTCGCCTCGCATCGAAAAGCGGTGAGCCAGGGCACATGGAGGTCAGGGCGGCTGCGATGGAGAAGGCGGCCGCCTGAGACTGGCTCAGCACGTTCAGGCCAACGGTGAGGACCAGCATGTAGGTGCCTCGGGTTCAACTCGAGTCTGTTTCACCGGGTAAGTCCACCAGGCGCAACGGGTGCCAGCTAAAACCACCCCAATTCAGCTCCTAGTTGGTGGTTTGGATTGGTGCTTTGGGGGTATCTGGGTGGTGCAAACACGGTGATTCGCAAGAAAATCCGCACGCCCAGGCACCCAGGAACTCGCTGACAAGCTCGGTGACCAGGGTCTTCTCGGCGCCAAAGTCCTGGAAAAGGCAAGAACTGCCTTGCAGCCTTCCGGCAACTGCCTCAAGCAGAATCGGTTCCCAAGACTCCCAAGGACCGCTGGGTTGACACCAGAAATGGCACCTGTCAACCAAAGCGACCTTTGGCTGAAAAGCACGGTGAACATGCGGTTGGCCCTCGGAATAGGGCTGTGCTCGTCGCTCTCCCTCTTCGCACAAGCTACAACGCCACCCTTTTGACAGCCAAAATTAGGCTGCCAAACAGTTTGGGCCAACCCACCGGCAAACAGTTGGCACCAACTCCCAAGTGGATCCTTTGGCTTCAAAATACAAGGCGGAAATCCCTATTCGAAATGATCTGTCAGGGCTTCTCGAGGGCAAGCTGGCTCAAGTTCAATGGCTTGCCCAGAGAACAGCCTCTGGTAATGTTAATGTTGGTTGTATCAACTACCTCTTGAAGACACCCTGTTCTCACCAGAACCGGAACCTCTTGGTGCCTTATTCATTCAAGATCTCCTTGCTGCCTCACTCTGCAGTCCCTCCATGTCCTTCCAACGCGTCCTTTCACCTGCCCTTCCCATCCTTTCATCTGTCCTTCAATGTGAGTCCCCGTGTTTCCACGTTCCATCTCCTGCCACTCACTTGTCCACCGAAAAGTCCTAGAAACACCTATCGGTCAACCCTCTATCGCCTCTACCAAAAGTGGACCGAACATCTGGAGAGAACAGGTCCCGACTTGCTGGGCCTTCTCCATATGGCCGTGGTTGTCAAAACCATTTTGGGATCCCATTTTGGTCGGTAGGTGAATTCACCACCCGCTTTAGAACCTATTTTAGTGGTTGGATTGGGAAGTTCACTGGGGGTACGATTTGGAATTTTGAGCCATGGCCATGTCCTACCTTCTTCCTGCGAAACCCCCGCTCCGTATCTCCGGCTCTCCTCGGGCCGCACCACCTTGAAGAGTGCCGCAGCCATCGCAGCGCCCATCAGCTCGAAGACGATGTAGACCAACGACCACCCAAAGCCCTGCTTGTGCGCGCGCGAGTCGCGCATACGGGGACGCACGCGCCCCGCGCGAACGGACCAGGTGCGCCCAAGGAAGAAAAGAAATAGCCTCCAAGGAAAAGCGAAGCCTCCCCAGTCAAAATCGGCTGATCTGTCTGGGTGTTTTGACACTAGCATCTCCCCCCTGGCCAACCCCAAGTGGCTCTTCAACCTGCCAGTTCTGTCCAAACCCGAGGCATCCCTTGGAACTCGCCTGGAAGATGCTGGACACATCGATGCCCAGAGCCACCGCCGGGTTGAAGCAGCCCCCCGAGATGGCGCCAGCGCCATAGGCCCCGGCCACCACGGTGAAGGCGATGGCGATGCCGTAGTACTGGTTCTTCTCCGTGGCGTTCTTCTTGGCCGCGGCCACGTTCATCACCTGGCTGAATCAGAATCAAACGGTACTAACATGGTCTACCCGGAACCATGTAAAGAATTAAGGAGGCGGCCGCAGCTAGTTATGGTCGCGATTGTCCCTTACTAACCTCCACTGGCCTGGGTTTTGATTGGACACTAACGCCAACTTGTTGCCAACGCCTCCGGTTTCGGGAACAACAAGTAAGCCAAGCAGCTTGGATGAGGTCCAACTACGGACACCAACACTCCTTCACCAGTAATCGCAAAATGCGTATTAAGCACAGACAAAATATGCAGTTTCCTGCAATGGGCGTGGCAAAATAACGGACGCGCGAAAGTGACTGAGTCCTCCCGGCTTTTGTGTGAAATTCAGTGAGCCCCCCTATGTCCCTTTCTACTAGTAGTTGACCATTAGACTACTGGACATTTCGACCGAACCGCAACAGGCGATTCAGCTCCATGTTGAAGGACACCATGTGTGCGCGCCCGTATTCGGAAGAGCCCACCAGCAAAGCAAAGCAAGCCTGAATCATTGAAACCCTCGGGTGCGGCGTACAAATCTCCCCCGTTCACTGGGAAGCCATGACGGGCCGACCACAAAAGTGAGCATGCAGGTGTACAGCAGCTCGCACGTACCTTAGCTCGGCGGGTGTACTGATCCTTGCGGTGGTGTTGCAACCAGCATGCGGAAAGCCTATGAGGCTCTCAGTCAAGCAAAGCAAACCATTTTTCCATCTGCATTTTCCGCACTACACACCCAAGATTTCGGTTGTTGTGTTTTTTTACTTCCTGGGGATGATGCCCCCCAAAAAGCTTCAACACTGCTGGACTCCCAGGCTTTGCCTTTGAGCAGCTCATATGAAACCATGAAAGGAAATCAGAGAGCCAATCGAGAGCTGTGCTTCAAGACAGCTTCTTGATTTCAAGACCTCGCTTTGGGGAGCAGCCGCTCGGCATCGATCGGATTCAAAGGGGGTTAGTTCCAAGTGAAACAAGAACTTCAGGCGGGAAAGTTTAACTGAACAAAGCCACACCCAGTCTGACCACACTCCTGACCAATCTGAGTCACAGTCAAAACCTGGTCAGAAGGAGGTTCATCCCAAAAAACCCGGCAAAATAAAAAAAAAAAAAAACGCCTTCTGCGCCACCCCACCCCCACCGGCCCGTTTTAGGGGGCTCCACGCCGCCTGCGTGGAGCCAGGAGAAGCCTTTGGCAGGCGCCAGGTTGAAGCTCTGCCCAAAGAGCAGCGAGTAGCACACCGCCGCCGCCACGCCCGCGGCGGACTGCGCCCCACAGTAGACGCCCACCGTCTTCCAGTCGAGTCCTGGGCGCCGAAAAACCGAGCGACGCGGACTCGAGCCAAGGGGGAAGTGAATCTGGACCCCAGATTTGGCGCAACCCCAAATTGATTAGGTTGGGAGGGGTGTCCTGGGCAATTTTTACAAGACAAATGAAGCAACATGCCGGCTCCAGCCTTCACTTGCAGGGCTGTCTGAGCTTCTTGCTCTCTTTGCCCCCGACAGTGAATTTACCTCCAAGTCGCATGGGCAACAACAAAAAACGAGCGACGCGGACTCGAGCCAGGTGCTGTAAGTGAATCTGGACTTCAGATTTGGGGCTCAAAAAATGTCTGAATCCCCCGCTCAATCCAAAGACGCCTTTCTACTTTCATAAACTGGGGTTTGTTGATCCGGGGGTCAACATGAAGTACGAAGTATCCCAAAGATGATGTGGGGTCATTCTTCTTCCGACTTTGCTGGCTGCCTATTGCACCCCCGAGGCAGTCCTGGACCACCAAGGGCGCGTGAGAGGCCCAAAGTCACGGAGACCGCTGGGTTGAAGTTGGCGCCCGAGATGCCGCCCAGGGCGTAGATGCAGACCTCGATGGCTCGGAGATGAGTTGGGGGTGGCCACTGCGCGATATGTCCTTCTCAAGTCGGCATTTGTTCCATCTGGTGGGCTTGGGCTCTTGCCCTCTATGATCTCGACCGATCTTCTATGCCGACCTCAAACCCCCAAAATGGGATCCCCAAAATGGGTGGTGAAGTCACCTACCAAAATGGGATCCCCAAAATGGGATCCCCAAAATGGGATCCCCAAAATGGGTGGTGAATTCACCTACCAAAATGGGATCCCCAAAATGGGATCCCCAAAATGGGATCCCCAAAATGGGATCCCCAAAATGGGATCCCCAAAATAGGTGGTGAATTCACCTACCAAAATGGGATCCCCAAAATGGGATCCCCAAAATGGGTGGTGAATTCACCTACCAAAATGGGATCCCCAAAATGGGATCCCCAAAATGGGATCCCCAAAATGGGTGGTGAATTCACCTACCAAAATGGGATCCCCAAAATGGGTGGTGAATTCACCCCCAAAATGGGATCCCCAAAATGGGATCCCCAAAATGGGTGGTGAATTCACCAAAATGGGATCCCCAAAATGGGATACCAAAATGGGATCCCCAAAATGGGTGGGATCCCCAAAATGGGTGGTGAATTCACCAAAATGGGATCCCCAAAATGGGATCCCCAAAATGGGATCCCCAAAATGGGTGGTGAATTCACCTACCAAAATGGGATCCCCAAAATGGGATCCCCAAAATGGGTGGTGAATTCACCTACCAAAATGGGATCCCCAAAATGGGATCCCCAAAATGGGTGGTGAATTCACCAAAATACCAAAATGGGATCCCCAAAATGGGATCCCCAAAATGGGATCCCCAAAATGGGTGGTGATGGGATCACCCCAAAATGGGATCCCCAAAATGGGATCCCCAAAATGGGATCCCCAAAATGGGTGGTGAATTCACCTACCAAAATGGGATCCCCAAAATGGGATCCCCAAAATGGGTGGTGAATTCACCTACCAAAATGGGATCCCCAAAATGGGATCCCCAAAATGGGATCCCCAAAATGGGTGGTGAATTCACCTACCAAAATGGGATCCCCAAAATGGGATCCCCAAAATGGGTGGTGAATTACCAAAATGGGACCAAAATGGGATCCCCAAAATGGGATCCCCAAAATGGGATCCCCAAAATGGGTGGTGAATTCACCAAAATATCCCCAAAATGGGATCCCCAAAATGGGATCCCCAAAATGGGTGGTGAATTCACCTACCAAAATGGGATCCCCAAAATGGGATCCCCAAAATGGGATCCCCAAAATGGGTGGTGAATTCACCTACCAAAATGGGATCCCCAAAATGGGATCCCCAAAATGGGTGGTGAATTCACCTACCAAAATGGGATCCCGAGAAAAAAAGAAGAAAAAGGAGAGAAAAAAAACGCAAAAACTGCCAAGGGGCCATCAGCGCGAAGGCGATGGAGACACCGGCCCAGGTGGCACTGCCGCCCAGAACATTGCCTCCAGTGAGTGTGTGTTTTCCTCCCGGGCCGATCTTCGCTAGCGATTTGGACGCTTAGAACCGCCCCTGTGGCTTGAAATACGGCTGAATGAGGCTTAAAATGGGCCCAACGAAGGCACACTGGCACACAGGGCAGGCGCTCTTTATGAAAAGGGCCGCTTGGTTTGGCCCTTAAAACGGAACTGGGCTTTTACATGCCCAGCTCCGCGTGAGCGGATGGAACATCTACCCAATCCTCACATGAGGCTTACGCGTATTGGTGAGCTCGATCCCTCAAACTACCAACCCCCAAACAAGTCAAGACAAATAGACCAAATAGAACTAACATAGCCGTGTAATAGCTTCTACTGGGACTTTGAGCGTCTCCGAGCCTGAGCCGTCGCATCTTAACGCCATGATCCACAAGACTCGGCCAAAAGAAGCGCGGCCAGGTCACAAGATATCACCTCCGCAGGCACTTGGCTAAAGCGAAAAAGAGCCCAGGACCCCTTCTCGTAGAAGCCCGGTGGCCGGGAGAAAAACAGCGTATCCTTTTTTGGTTGGTGAGATTTTAAAGGAATCGGAACCCTTCCCCCCAAAAAAGTTGAAAACATGGGCAACGGAATCCACTGGGCAACTGGACCCCTTGGCCAAGCGGCACCCCACCGTGAAGACGAGGAGAAAGGTACCCACGAACTCCGCAGTGCACTTGGCCGCGAGGGTCGGCTCAGACATCTTCCTCGGTTCTCCCTTAAAGGGCCATGGGTGAACCAATTCCCACTAAAAAAGACTAAAATGGCGGTGCCCCTACCCCAAAATGGTACCATTGGTTTTGACCCACAGCCAACTGAAGCCACTAAGCTAAGCAGCTCGGCCAAAAACAACATGTGGGGGTACTTTCTTCTGGTGAACCCCGAAAATGGCTGGTGTCCCTTTGGCTTCCCTTTATAACCATACCAAGAGACGGTACCCAAAAAAAAAGATGGACCCATGTGCGGGGGCTGGGATAGCCCAAATTCAAAGGTGAACTTTAGCGGCCGGCCGACCGCTCCAGTCATCGCCTGGGGCGACGGCTGGTCTGTGAGCCGGAATCTTCAATGAAAGCGGGGGACAACCGCAGGGGCTGAATGGCTGCAGCGAGACTGCCTGCAAAAGCACCAAAGAGGCCCACAGTTGCCAATCTTGATCTGTTGGTGTCCCCCGCTCTGGTTGGACACGGCCCTTTGTGCGTCCATCCTTCCCGACGGCCATTAATCACTCTCTGAGCAAGAACCCTCAGTGAGAGCAAACAAGAGCTCCCCGCTAGAATGTACAACTCAACGTGTCTCGGTTTCGCTCTAACCCCTTGACATGACCTTGTGGAAAGTCTTGCGCAGCCTACTTTCTGCTTACTGGCAATGCAGCAATGCTGCTTTCAGCGCACATGCCGGTCTGTGAAACCTCGATTGACTCAAGCGAGCAATGACCAATCAACTCTTATTGGCAACAAGTCAGGCTCGGACAAAGGACACAACTTGCTCCGTCAGCTTGAGAACTCCGTGGTCATGGCTCAACTGCATGCACTGGCTCACTTTGGTGATGGCACCTGATCGTCCCAAAGAGACACAAATTGCACCAAGCCTTGGCTGTGCTTGCGGACATGACTCCAAAGCCTCCTGCTCTGCCCTCTGACACAGACAGCAAAAAGCAGATGCTTCTCGAGCAACCAGACTAAGGAAGAAACCAAAACACACATTCAGCCATTAGTCATTAGTGTTGTTCTCTTGCCCTGCATGGCACTGTGGCACTTGGACAGGGGTCCATGATGAGCGGCTTGCTGCTCCCAGCAGAGCTGGCTGCAGATGTGCGCTTGAAAGTCGGGCCGATGGCAAAGCCATGGTGTATCATAATCAGCAGGGGCTTCAACGGGATGGGGACGACATGCCAAGTCAATCAAAGAAAATCGCAACATCTTATAGACACTGAGACAACCGACAACGAAATTTGATTAGAACAAGGATAAAACAGTGCCCTGCATCGAACATCGCAGTGAATGCATTCAACCAAAATATGAAGTAACAGCGCTGTCATGGAAAAAAGAATCGTCAACTTTGTGCTTCCCCTTAGAAATATGTCCAAAAACGAAGAGTTCCCCAGTTTGGACGAAACACCGCATACACCCAAAAGGCCAACCGCGCCGTTTTACCCACCGGGACGGCCGAAAGGGAAGACACCGGGCTCCAGGCGCGTGGCTGCGAGTTCAGCTTGTCGTACATCTCCGGCCTCGTTTCAAGAGGCCAAGGTTGGAAGCTGACGTGTTTGGCGAAGGATTGGGTTGAATCCATACTCGAGCTTAGAGGTTCTCTGGGCTCCTTCGGCGTAGGCTCCGCCAGGTTTCGTGAAATGGGGGGCAATGCACGATGGTCCCGAAAGTGGTCAGCCATGTGTTGAAACAAGTCCCCAGCTTCGTGGCCAAGAAGCGAGAAGTAAATCCCTCCAAGGAATCAGTGTGAGGGAGTGGAGCATTCCAGCTGGTCCCATAGGAGCATCTCGCTACTTTGAGCAGGGTACCTCCCTCAAACCAGCGTAAAAATGTGGAGGGGGTCATCCTGACAAGGACAAAATGTTCAATTTGTCTACCAAAGCGGTCTGTCAGACTTCAAATTGCGCGGCAAACACTTCAATAGAAAAACTCATGGAGGCTCGCCCAACTGACGCGTAGATCCTCTAAAGAGGGTTTCGCTTGCATGTAAACAAGTGATCTGTCCATCCAGCGGCGGCTCTTCGACCTTGCATATACTGCAAAGAAGTCCAGCTGCTCTGCAACACGTTTCAAAAGTGCCAACTCTGATTGTGTAGCCAAGTGCCTTGACATCGAACCACTGGCCAGCATGAATAATTTCATGTCACTCGTGTTTGTCTTGGCAAATCTGATATTCAGAAAGCTGCAAAATAGGGTGACATCCCTCTTACCCAGCCCCCCACCCTACCCCCAAAGTTGACATGGGCTCACACCATGCCGGATTCCCGTGAGCCGGAAGCTCAACATTCATGTTGCTGGCTCCCGAAGCCACTTGCAGCTCACGCAAAAACTTTTGCAATTTCCCCAGACTTTGACAAACCCAGTTTGAAGAACATCTGCCCTAAACCCTAAACTCGTATCACGTTTTACGCGCTGGCTGTCTACATGGGGAAAAATCGGGCTGACGGTCATCTCCATGTTCCCAGCCGCCCACATTCGGTTTGAACGGCTACCGCCTCACGGCGCAAACCAGCTGATGAATTGAGGGGCACGTCTGCTGACAAAGCGCCGAAGGAAATTCCAAGCTGATTTGCCAGGCCCAAGGACTCCAACGGCCACAGCTTGCATTTCTTTTTTCTTTTTCGCTCCATCAATAGCTTGCAGCACAACAAACAGCGAAGCAGGCACCGGGACACACTGGCCACACCAAAAACGCCAAAGAAAGAAGCACGAACACGACAAATAAAGGCCGAGACACGTTCGGTCCTGTGCAGGCATCACGTGCTTCGGGGGCTCGAGCTCCTGTCGTTGCTCCCCAGCTCAGCAAGATCTCCCCTCCCAGAATGATTCGTGGGCGCTAAGAGCCACATGGCCACTGAGCCTCGAAAATGGGCATAAAACCCACGTGGTGCCCAAGGTCAAAGTCATAACATCCAGGCCACCAGCCCAGGCCTTGAAGATCCGCACGGGAGCTCTTGCAAGCTGCTCTGGACCTCAGTGACAAGTGCTGCAATGTCTCAAGCGGCTCAGCTGTTCTGAATAGCAACATGCTCGCACGGCCAAGCCTGCATCCCTCAGTCACCACATACTCGCAGAGAGCGGAGGATGTTGCCAGGAATTCACGCTTCGTAGTTTGCCTTGAACGCACTCCACATCAAACGGTCCGGGCCTTGTTACCCCCAGCTTGCCGGTGCAACACGTGGGAACAATGCTGGGAACGCTCCAACAAATAAGCACTCCAACTGGATCCCGCTGGATGCTGGATCCCGCTGGGCGCTGGGCTGCACGTCTTGAGCAAGTACCGCAGCATGTGGGCCTCGGGATCCTTGCCAATTTGCGCGACGGGATCTGCTTTGCCATATCGATGCCCTATGGCAAGCAACCTCCGCTCCAGGAGCCTTGTCGCTTGCTTGAAAGGGTCCTTCAGTGCGTGGAGTGTTCCACCGAAACTGCATTAGAGCGAGGGCGAAAAATTGCCGACCCTGGAACCGTGTCCTCTGGCTTGTTTGCCATCAGGTGATTCACCATCTGCGTGACCTCACATATACAGCTGAAGCACTTTTTGCAAGTAGTGGACCAGGATGTGCTTGCAACTGGGCATTCGTGGCTGGCTCACAGGTGATACTGAGGGAATCCAGAGTGACGCAGTGCGGCTGCCACAGGTTGTGAATGCGGGGGTAATTGGCACAGTTGGCACAAGTGAGACAGCGACAAAGCATTCATATTTTCAATCCCAGCAGACCTTGCAAAGATGATGCAATGGAGTTGACAACGGGCAAGGAGGAGCGTCGTGAGTCGAGTTCAAGCCCACGAGGGTCCGGCAGTTCTCTCCAAGTCATGCTTGTGAGCATACCTCCGGGGTAATTGTGACGGACTTGATTTGGGCGATTGGATTTTTGCCGGGCATTTGAAGGATCATGCCATGCCCAACTCATCAAAGCAAACGTGTTGATCCCCAACTCGGCCCTTGCCCCGATACGTCGTGTGACCTGCTTTCTCATGCTGCACTTTGACTCAGCTCACTGAGTTGGTCTTGGCTTCGCCGGAACTGCCGTTCACAGGGATCACCCTTTCCAAGGACCTCTGTGATCTCATTCGAGTGTCTCACAAACTGATTGGCAAGGCCAACAAAGCAACAAACCAACACTTCCTTTCTGACACTCGAAATTGACAACAGCTACATCCTGTGTGCCCAAGTTGCCTCCGGGGAGGTGCTCTGGGGGGACAGGGTTTTGTGCTTACACTGCACAGCAAAGAGGCCAAAACGGGGAAGACGCAAAAACAAAAAATGCCAAACAAAAAAAAAAGCGCGCCACTCAGTGCTCTGTCTGCGTGCCTCTTGGCGTCTTCCGTCGCCTTTCCAAACTTCCCGGACATGGCGCCTGGCGAAAAAGCCCAGAGCCGCCTTCAGGCCTCAGACCTCAGACTGGCGCTGGTGACTCTGCGGATTCGGAATCCGCAAGGCTTCCGGCCATGGACGAACCAGGTGACCTCGGCATCCGGCGCCTCGACGTCGCCACGGGACGGCTCGGCACTGAGAGGAGCCAAGAGGCCGGGCAAGCGGCGCGAAGACTTCAAGCCATTCTGGATATGACTCGGTTGCGAACTCTGCGAAGCCCTGCTAAAAGTGACTAACTTTTAGTGGTTTAATACGGAAAACCCATTAGTTGGCAGAAAGTTCTAACATCCCTTGGCAAAATGCACCAAAGATGATATGCTGAAGCTCCACAGGTTGTTGCGTCTATCCCCTTGTGGAGTTCAAGAGGGCATATGGCTCAATATCTGCAAAGGATGCATCATGGCCAAGCTCTATGTCATCCATACCTTGCCCAGGCCCTCCATCAAGTAGGGCAAGGCTTGCTTCGGGTGGGTGCAGAACCAAAATCGTTGGCCACAAGAAAGCGCTCGGTCTCCAAAGAAAAGGACTCGCATGCGGATTGGGGACCCTGCGGACCGCGCGTAACGGCGGTAGGATGTTTGAGTCATTGCAACTACAAAGAAACAACGTGGCACATGGTTCTGGAAGTTCCTGGGACGAGCTTCCTGTGGACTAGCTGAAAAGCGAAGCCCTGGTTCTGCCTTCTTCTTGGAAGGCGGTAAGCCAAACCGATGTGTTCTCCGTTGCTTGAGCTGTTGGCGCTTGTTGGTCAACTGCTTTGTTGCAACGTTCAATGTTAACCCTGGGCAATCGATGTTTCAAATCCAGGTGGATTGGAAATTTTACTGGGTCTCTGGCAAACACATGGCCAGCATCCGCCATCGATTCGCATTCAACAAGCCAAGCAAATGGCCACATACAAAAATATACCGGCATCTCACTGTACTCCCACAGAAAATTGCCCTCCGAATCTTGAGCCATTGCGTAGAGGCAACGATTGAACGCCATTCCGCTTTTGGCGCCACTGTTAAGAC